CGTTCCGATAGTGTAAATCTCAATGTATATACTACTTGTAAAGCAAGTAACCTTAAAGAAAAGAATGGTACCTAAATCCACACATTTACAGTCTCTGAAGTTCCAGTAGTCTTGTCAATACCTTTTGATATCATCGTTGGAGTTTGTGAAGCCACAAATTAAGAAAAACAAGTAGGCAGGTTTCTTGAAAAGCACGGTACCCCTTTGGACTTTTTTTTTTTTTTTTTTTTTTTTACCCCTTTGGACTTTGGACCCTGAGAAACGATGAGCTTCGCGCACGACTATTTAGTGAAGTCTTAGGTCAAGCAATATAGCTTGCTGGCTCTCGAGGCAAGTGTTTCTCCATTTTTAATATGTCCAAGCAAAATCATTCCGTACGCCATTGAAGATGGAGTCGTTTCTCTCTCTCTCACTCAAACCTTCTTCTCACACAGAGCACATGCGCTTAATACTTTCATACGGAATATTATAAAAATCTCCGGTTCTTATGGGATTCTTTTGCTAGAGCTTGGATAATACCACAATACTACAGTAGCATCATCTAAGATATCTTTGGTCAGGTGTTTGGCTTGATTGGTGTATATCATATGTATTAGAATAAACAAAAATATAGTCAAATGATCGATTAGTAGAAATACTTGAAGTTTATGTTAGATGATCATTTAAAATGTTTGTTTCAGTTGGTAATGAAATTTTAAACTTTCTAATTACATTTTCTTTACTCATATAGCTTATAGTAAAATCATTTTTTTAACTTGAAAGCATGATTTTTTTGGGTTCAAATGTTAAGAGTTTTCAATGTTGATAACAACTTATTTTTAAGAACTCCCACGTGGAAACAGGACTTCCAAAACTAGGAAATAAATAAATTAATACAACCAAAATAAAATGCGAAAAGCTAAAGAGTGCTCAAAACATTACTAATTTAATAAATATTTTAAATAGAAAAAAAAAAGTAACGGAGACAAGTTTTAAAACGTGAAATTGTGAGGGGAAAATGGTATATACCATAGGTCACCATAATTGTTTGAACTTTGAACTTGTTGGATCTAAAAGGTATCATGATCTCTCTCACGTTTATCCATCGCACAAAGCAGCACACGTACCTAAAACTTTAATATTAACTACGAATACAGAAACACGAGTAGTTTAACTGGTAAAATTGGTGACAACCACGAGGAGGTGAAGAAAAAGTTGGTTGTCAAAAGGACGACAAGATTTAAAGCAAAGAAGAATGACAGAAGGAGACTAACTCACATAATAAACCTTAGATTAAAAAGATGTAATCGTAACTTGAGTCGTTTATATTTTTTACTTTTTCGAACTTGTTCTTTTAGACGACCAAAAGTTAAAGGCAATTTGTGAATCACGAGAACCTCACGTGCGGTTCCATTCTCCATGTTCGAGGACTTCACTATATCCAATGACAACAGCGCGTAAACTACATCAGACCACAACTAGCTCTACTTGGTTAATTGTGTAGCTAATTATTTTACTAACTTCAATCTTACTGTAATAGTTTAACTGTGAAGCTGTGACCTAGCTCTCTATACTTGGTTAATTGTGTAGCTAATTATTTTAATAACTTCACTCTTAATAGTTTAACTTTGAAGCTGTGATATAGCTGTATGCGACATTGCGACGATTTGTTTTTACAATTTTAGTTACCTTTGGATTTAATAATTTTTTTGGTAAGAAGAAGAAGGTTTACTTACTTTTCAAATCATACCAACAGGTTGTCGGTTTTTTGGTAAAAGATTGATAGAATCGAATCTCAATTATATTTAGAAGAATCTATAGTTTAGGATTATGTCACCTAATTAACGCCTAACTGTCCCACATTTAGTTATAGTTTGGTCTTAATAACTGCTCTTGACGTTTCTTTCTCTTTATCAATTTCGGCGCAATGCATTTCTTTATACTCACTAGTCTATAGTTTATATATAGTTTGTATAGGGATAATTTATGTCTGACTCAGATCGCAAAACAATAGAGACTTAACATAATAAATTCGATCCTTTTAATATTTCTCCATGTGTACAAGATTTTGGTTAAGTACTTGTTATCTGGAACTGATTGATTTGGAAATATCATCAGCTTACAAAATCTTATAAAGTTTATCAAACGAACTAAATGTTCGTCTTGTTGATATTATCATCAATCACAATCAGCCATAAAATTCAAATCTAATTTGTATGTGGAAATTACGAATTCAGGGACCACCCTACGTGTCGATTTTGATGGTTAGTATAGTTGTCCCGACAATTTTGATTGGTCACATCTTTTGCTCACGTCCAATTCGGTATACACTTGGGATTTTGGAGGAAACCAAAATATCTAAGACAAACGAAATCGGATAAAGTAATGGCTCACGTTAATAATGACCGGTATAGGTCTTAGTTGGTTACATAAATGGTAATAGTAAGATCCCACTTTACAATTTTGGGTTTTTGAGTAACGTTTACATGAAAGAAAGAAAAGCATAAGCAATAAGCATGTGATTGAGGATAAATAACGATATTTAGGGCAAAGATTCCTTCATGGTGGGGACCACGTGGGTATGGAGGGGCACAGTGTCCGGTGGGTTAGGGAACAGTGCACAAACCCCCAAAGGACCTACTCGTTGCCTCTTTCCTGGACCGGTCTAGTTCGGTACGGTTCGGTTTCTGTCCCGAGCCACCACGCTCCCCTTTTTCTCACTTGTATATATAAGTCCTCTTCATTAATCACCTTGCTCACTATCATTTCCTTCCACAGAAAAACAAAACAAATACCTAAATTGCTCTCTCTCTCTCACACACAAACACACATTCAGTTCCAAAAGGTTACTGTTTCTTAATCAGCTCCAAAATATGAAGACGAGCGGTTCCAGCGTAGGAGGAGCAAAGAGGAAGATGTGGAGCCGAGGAGTAGGAGGAGTGGTTAGAGAGCAAAAGGCTAAGCTATACATCATAAGGAGGTGTGTAGTCATGCTTCTTTGTTGGCATGACTAGCAAAATAAAAAATCAAATCATCATCATCATCGGCTTTTATGAAGAGTGAAGACTAACTATATATCTTGTCTTTTTCTTTTTTTTTTTCTTTAACGGTTTAACCCTTGGGACGAAGCTTTTTATGTATTGGCTTCTATATGGAGTTATATATGTATTTTTGTAGTAGTTTTTCATCCCACAGAAGGGTTTTTCAGATGTAAATTAAGTTTCTTTATATTCTGAAAGTTGGTTCCGATATAAATACCCTAACTCACACCAAAAGATTGTAAAGGTAAAATACTAGATTCTTACTTTTACGGATGAATCTTTACCATTTTTCACTCACACCAAATACTTATTAGATTTTTATTTCAAAGGATATTAAAGAAAAGAACAGAAGAATTGAAATAACTTGCATGATCAATCAAATTCTTCACTATTCACCAAAGAAAAACATATTTGAGAAAAAAGGAACACATGCTTGTAGTCAATGTTTGTAAAATACGAAAGGTGAACCATCGTCTAGTAAAAACTTAGAAGATTTTAAATTATCTAAATGTTTATAAATTGTTAAAATAACCTGCTCAATTATAATAATAAATTCGTGGAAAACCAGAAATGATACAATACGTTGAATATACGGATTTTGAGACCAAAAACACACAAAAAGCTACGCAGATATTATTCTTCCTGTCTCAAAGTAAAGTTTTCAGGTTGTGCATAGGATGCCACGTCAGAAGAATTCTGGTGTTTGTTGTTGTTCATGTCTTATCCTCTTATAGAGAAAAATCCAATTTCAAAACTATCAAATTATATGGAATATGTATATAAAAATTTCTTCCCGTTGGATGATTTATTACATATCGTCATACAAAATTATATAAAATTATATTATTTATACCAATACAAGAAAGAAGTATTGTGAAATGAAAACATTATTGTCGGCAACATTGAAGAGACGTCCCCTCTTATAATATTTCTATTCATAGTCACAAACGCCAATGTGGCAAATTGGCAACGAGTATCACAATAGAAAATTAAAATTAGCAATTAGATTATGCACAAATATTGATTTGTGTCTTATAAGATTTGTACCTAACGTTTCTTTTTTAACTAAGCGGCAAAATTGGACTCTGCAAAACAAATTGCCGCAAACAATTAAGAGAAAGATAAAAGATGGTCTTCTACTTCTTCTTCTCTGAATGTCTTTCTCACAGTTACCAAAAATGGTCTGAGATCACATTCAGTTCCACACATGTAACTAGATTTCTATCTATTCTTCATTGGTTTATAATTTTTACTTTAGTCGTGTCCAGGTAATTTGTAAGGTGATTTTATATTGATTATATCATAGTCCAAAGATATTTTTATGATTCAATGCTTTCAGGTTAAGATAAGAAGAACAAAATAGAAGATTGGTCAAAGGGCCCATGTGCGCGGCCTAGTTTTGGCTAGCCCGACCATCACCACTCCACTTCCATTCATTTTTTTCTGTTAGTTTATTTTTTAAACAATATTATAAATTCGTTAATACTGTTAATTATATGAGGATTTTGAAAATCTCAGAAGATTTATCTTAACTGGAATCATAATTAAAAGATGAAAGTGTTATCTTAGGATATTATGATCTTGAATCTTGATTATGGATTTGGCTTTCTGCTTCAATTTGTTGAAAAGGTTGAAAGTGGTAAGAAAATAAAAACCATTACGTACATTAAATCCATATTGTTTGAACGTTCTTAAATCTTAAGTGATGGCAAGAAAATATAAACAAGAAAATCAAAAAGAAGAGAGAGATACAAAGGTTGATAATATTAACATATAAACGATGGTTTACAACATTTTTATCTACATGATCCATTGGAAAACGAATTTGGACATTTTTGTAAAAAACGAATTGGATTTTCCGTTGCAAGTTGTTAATCATATATGTAAGTGCTTGCTTCATCACTAAAACCAAAACCTAAACAAGCAACGAAAGAGAAGAAAGATTATTCTGATTAAATCATTATGGTCTCCTGTAAATTTCTACACATCGTATACAGGCATACGTTCTTCAATCAGGACACGACAAATCGGACATTTCTTGCATTTCTCGCAGCACGTACTGCAGAGGACGTGATGTCTACATGGGAGTAGAACCACATTGATGGGATCTTCAAAGCAAACTCTACAAAGAATCTTCTCCTGAAAATTAAACCAAATCGTTACTTAAATTAAATGTCACTGGACGTTATTAAACATAAAACATGTGAAAAATGAGTGTATGTAATAATACATTTTGAAGCTTCTCAAACTCCTGCTGGCTATAACTGGTGATATCTGTTTGCTCACTTAATGCAGCTTGTAGTCTCCAAATCTGGTGAGAAAATTTAAGAATTCAAGATCTTGCTTAGTTTCATAATATTCAAAAATGGAATGACTTAATCAAATCTCTTATGTGTAAATGTATTTACCTCTTCAACAAGATCAGACTTTGGCATTTTCTTCACAACCTCTGGTGAGAAAGTGTTGTATCTAATAAAAAACATAGAGTATAAGTCAAAAGAGCCAAACTTTTCACATGTTACCAAAAAAAGGTGAGAGCTTTTTACCCAGTAGCTTCTCCAGTGTAGAGCCTAGCTTGTTCCTCTCTGCTTCCTTCATCGATAGACCACCAACCAAGTAATCTGTTAATCACACAACACAAGAAAGATTAGTGTTTAGGTGGAGGACTCATATCACCAAAAGACTCAGTTTGTTAGCAAGCTTTGTACCTTGCACCATGTTGAAAGAATCCCAAGAACTCACGAGCTGATGTCGTTGCAGTAAAATATCTTCCATAAGAATCACCACTAGATACTAACAAGACAGATTTCTCCACCAACCTATATGTAGCATAGAGTATCCCAGCTCCTTGCAGCAGAAAAAGAGGCACAAACAGAACCAAAATCGGAATGTTTCTTGCAGAAGCTGGCGTCCCCTGGGGTGTAAGATCAAAGAGAGTTAGTGTAATGGATTTGTCTCTGTAAGTGTAAGTGTAAGTGTAAGAGTGTACCTCTAAGCGCATGAAGAGGATGATTTGGAAAGTAATGAATGGGATTTTCATAACATGTCCACCGATATCTTGAAGACCGCATATTCTGTTGCTTTGCTGATGTTCTTCGTCACCGGTTACAACTAGTCCTCTGTTCCAGTCTAGATATCTTACTTCCACTGAAGATGAGCTTGGTTCCGGTACATGTGAATACCTATGAATTGACTGGTTGCTCCATTTTGTACAGACAAGAAAGGCAAAGCACTCTGCTATTCTGCAAGATTGAGAAGACAAGAAAGAAGATTGTTCAAACTCTGCAAAGAAGAAGGACTTCAAGAGAGAAGAAAGTAGTTTACCCGAAGTTTATAAACAAGTCCCACCATCCTAACGCAGCTACATCACCTATATAAGGGAGCACCAGATATGGAAAGAGAGTCGTCAAGAACACATCTAAGGTTGTAGATGGAAGTAAGAGGATCATTAACTAAAATCTTAGTTAAGTACATGTGCAACATACCACATAATTTAAGAAGAGTGAAGGTTGTGGCGGCGATAAAGAAAACCATAGAGATGGAAACCCAAAAGTGCTACAAAACAAATACACAATGTCAGAACCAAACCTGCAGAAGCAAATCAAGAAAGATTATAGAACATATCAAAACCAAATTTTTTTTTCTTTCAATATCAAAGATAATTTAGATTTAACCATGTGTAAGGGATCATATTTGAAAAAAAGATTCAAGCTTTGAGGTATAAAGTATCTTGAAGAAGTAACTTACAGGAAGTGTTTCCCATATGGCTTCATCACTCATAGTTTCCTCATCTCCAGGCATGAGTGTCCTGCACATTCTGCAGAAAAAGTTGCCAATCACTTAAAGGGCAAAAGAAGAGAAAGCAAAGAACAATCCAAATAGTAAGAAGGGAGAGACAAACTCAAACGTTAAAGATTTGATGAAGTACCTGACATTATCTACCAAAATTGCTACCTCAAATGCAATCAACGGAAGGAAGACAATCTTTAAGTCAACAACTGCAACAGAGAGGACACAACCAAATCTATGATAAAACCACAAGCCATACATGCCGTGTGATTTAATAGAATGTTGAGTTATGGCAAAATACCATATTTATCTTCAAGATGTACACAGAGCAGGATCTCAAAAGCAACAAGTAGTGGCGTTGCCATGACTGAATGAAAAGGAGCCCACTGCCACAAGACCAAAATTACAACTTTACAGGTTATACAACGCTGCTAAGTAAGACTAAAAGGTCCAAACTTGAAAACAGAGAGAATCAATAAAAATGTCATACATGTCGATCATGAGGCATTGACGGAGCAGGCAGTGAAAATCTACCACGCGCAATCACAGCATGAAATAACCACAACGGTGTAAATATAACCCTGTAAAAGTCAGATGAGAGTGTATTGTGTAAGCCATCCAATAAAGTCTTAACCTTTAAAGATGGTAAAGCTCACTGCACAACTTCTACAATTAGGCATCACTAAAGATTCAAGTGATCAAAGCTCATTCATTCAATTGTATACCAAATCAGCATGAAAAAAAAATCCCTAATTCACTTCTTCCCCTCATATGAAACCTAAAAATCCAAACTTTATAGTCTCTTCACAACTACACTTTAAATTCAAATTCAGAACATATAGATTCTCATTAACAAAAACTCGGTTTACAAGAAGGAACTCTGTCTAAGTAACGGAAATTCAGAGAATCTAATTAATTGATTTCACACATTTGATCAATTGGGCAATACCAAACAGAAGTCAAGCCAACGAAGCTGAAGCAAAGACAGAAAATTGAGATGAGAAAAAAAACAACTGACCACCATGAATGAGAGACGACATGATCAAGCCTGAGAGCGAGAAGAAGCGTGAAGGAGAAGAGCAAAACATGCGCGGAAAACGCTTGAAACGACTTCCAAACTCTTCTCCAGCTCATTACTCTTCTCTGCACCAACATTTTCGCTGACAGAAGAAATCTTACACGAAGCCCTAAGAGCTCTAAAATCACTCAGAAGCTCAAAATCAAGATCCGATTTGAGAGAGAATCTGGGGATTGCGCGGAGAGGGAAACACACAGAAGGATGATGATGAGAAAACAGATTATTCTTGAAGAAAGAGACATTTTTTCGTCTCGCAGAAAGGATGAGGTTCCACGCTAAAGGCAAAACTGGTCATCTTTTTCCGATAATACCCTTTCTCTTTTTGCAGCGACTGTGGATAGAATGAAGGGTGATTCGGGAAATGATATTAAATGAGATATCTTATTTTTCGAGCTTTGGACAGAACAGAAGGAGATTTGGAGCAGCGGTTACTATTGTTGGTTAGATCTTTTTCTTTTTCTTTCAGGACATATACGATGTGACATGAGATTACAGTTTTTTTTGTCGTCATTATTGTCTAAAATACAATTTATACTTGTTCTTAAGGATTTCTTCTTCTTTTTTTGGTCAATGAGAAAACAGCAAAATCTTTAAGTGTTGAGAACAAATTTAATTTTTTTCCTTGAAGGTAAATAATCTTGTAAGATATTATTGACTAATTAAATTTAAGCTTTAATAAATAAATATAAAGTTATATACATTCCATCTCTGTGATCTTATGTAAAAGAAAATAGACAAATCAAGATATAATAATTTAAAGGGTTTTTGGATTTTGTAATAAAGCTTAACTATTTAGAAAAACAAAGAATAACAAAATCGAGTAATAAAAAAAAAGTATTTTGTTCTTCCCTAGTAGTAATTGATTTTTAGTTTTGCCGCTGAAGTCTCTATACTTCCCAAGTAATTTTTTTTTTTTTTGTAAAAGGATATACTTCCCTAGTAATTGACAAATTATAATTTTCAGTTTTGGAAGAAAGTATTCATATTACATAAAATGAAATCGAGTAATAAAAGAAAATATTTTGTACGTGTGTATCAAAATACTACAACAGTCAATAATTTTTGTTTCGTGAATAAGGAAGTACAAAAGTCATTTCTCTCATTCATTCATTAATAAATTAAATATTAATGTCTTGTCGTGCAAATATATAAAATGTCTGGTTAGAGATTCTTCTTGTTGATAAGATGGATATACAGTAAAACCTCTATAAAGTAATAACGTTGGGATCATAAAATTATATTACTTTAACGAGATTATTATTTTATCGAGAGATAATTAGACCAAAAATTTAATTTGGGACTCGAAAATTATATTTATTTATCGAGGTATTACTTTATGGAATATTACTTTATAGAGGTTACAAAGATAATCAAATTAGAATATGCTGAGAATAGGGCATGAACAATGTGGAGAATATATTTTCTTTTAACTAAAAAGAGTATGACAACTGTAAAAGCTTGTTCTTCTCTCGGAGCTTCATTGTTGGGCCTGGTTTGGGCTTCAAATTTAACAACTCTTTTCCTAATATAAAAGTGGACTGAAACATTTTTTAACAAGAAAAAACAGAGGATTAAAAATTGAAACAAATGTTGAAATAATATCTCCAATGCAAATGGTTGTACTGTTGTACAGTATCTTTGTTGAAATAATTATATATCGGTAAGGTTAAGCTATAATTTGCAAATCTCCAAAAAACTGAAATTTTTTGTAAGTTTTTGGGTTTCATATATATAATATATTATTATATGAAGATATAACAAAATGAAATTGAAGGTCATGTACAGAACGCCAGATTAGGAGTCACTACTAGACAATTAATATGACCGTCACTTGGGTAAAAAATGTTGTAAAGATAAATGAAATGACGACAGTTAGGGTACACTAGTACGTACCAAACATAATAATAATTAATAACGTCTTACGTACTTTACTTTGGTGATGCAAACTTAACACAAATGCGTACATCAATTACGTAAGTTCTTCGTCATGACCAATCACAATCACATACATGGGGTCAAAACTCATAACTTCATCCATTTGATATTTAATTATCACTTATTAACTCTAATAACTTCTCCTTAATGGAAACATTTGCAAAAACTTGCTGTTTCTCAAATGTAGTTAGTTTTATGCGCCACCTGTCACCTTTTTTTCGTTTTTGTTTCTAGGTCTAATTCTTAAAATTTGGCTGTGTATACATGAGAAGTGGATATATGTAAAAATTGGTTTACACGAAAAAGATTCTACAAGAGAGACGTAAATACACAAGACAAAATAGTCAGACAAGCATCAACGTACGAAGGTCAGAATCCGAACTTGCCTCTTTGTGTGTTTTCTCCGGACTAAATCAATTAATTAATGACACACATCATCTTTGGTACGTTTCCTGTTCTTCTTCATTGTCTCTTTTTGGTTTCACTTGCACAATTGCACAAAAGCCAAAAGTAAATTCAAATTCCATGAGAAATGTTGCAAAACCCATGCATCATCTTTTGGCCATACATATCTAGAAAGATTATCATCATATAACCAACTCAAAACAAGCAAAAGAAAGTACATAGAACCAAACCAAGCCCCAACGGATGCAAATATCTCCGTTATACATACACACACACACAAACACAAACACACATATTTATAGTATAACGTGACGTACAACATTCATTTCCATAACTAACCATCAAGAACACAAGTAATTAATACACCCAAAATGAAAAATACGCGACAATAATAGATTACCTGAGATGTTGTTGTTGTTGTTGTTGTTCGACGATTGTAATAGTGTTGTGACTACTCATTCTCTGTCTCTTAGCATTTCCAGAAGAAGTTGATTCTTCAACATTGCTCTTCTCCATCACAGCCTTCAAAGCTTCCTCTATCGTCCCTATACAATACTCTTCCATCTCCTCCTCACCGGAGCTCTCTTCTCCGGTGATAAACAACACGTTCTTGACACGTCCTCCGACGGTAGTTATCTCCGCTTTGAGCGTTTTGAGACGCATAGCTTTCAACGTTTTGATCATGTCCGGCAAGAGATCCGACCTGTCTTCACAACAAAGCGACGCTTTAATGACGAATCTGCCATCTCCGGTTTCTTCCTCCTCCGTGAAAGCTACAGTTAACTCGTCGCTCTCCGTTGGTACCAAATTTGTCTCTGAGATCACTGAAGTCTCTCTCTTTAACTCTTTTACGTGTTGAATCACTTCCGCTAGTAACGACGCTTTATCAGTCTGCATACCAAAAAAAAACACATAACATAATTACAAACATATTTTTGTTATTATCGAGGAGAAAATTATGTGGTCGACGAATTTATGATTTGGTCCGGCAATAAGTTTTTTTTTTTGTTGCTTTTATTCTTTTTGAGCAGCGCCGTTTGTTTCTCTTTATTACATCAATTAACCAAGAAGCGACATCGTCGTTCCATATTCCCACACTTTTTATTTATTCTACAGTCACTGACTGATTCTCTCCTCGGGAATTTAACAAATACCCATAAGATCATTGATTCAACAAAAAACCTTTGAATAACTTATAGTTCCTTTTATAAAACCTAAATGTTTAAAGAAAAAAAAGAGAGACAAAATGTGACATGAACTTTCATGTCGCAGCTGCTATGTTTGTCCATTTCAACTCCTACGTTGTTATAATATTCTTAAATTTTTTAAAACATCACTTCTTGATTTAAACGGTATGTGATGATGAATGTAAATAAATTTTTTGGGACTTACTTTGGTTGTGTTTGGTAATATGCTACGGAGCTTAGCGAGATGATTGTTGATTCTCTCTCTTCGTCTTCTCTCAGCTTCACTATGACTCTTTGAAGCAGCTAAAGCTTTAGCATCCATGATCTCTTGTGCTGTCATCTTTCCTAGCTCAGCTTGTAACCCGAAAGGACCCGACCCGGCTTGCACTACCGGACCTAAAGCCTCTGACAAGATCCGAAGCTGTTCATTATGATGATGATGATGTGATGCTGACGTGGCTCCAACAAAACCCTCGTACCCAAACTGTAGTCCCTGTTGATGAGCTCGACTTCTGTTAAAGAAACTCCCGTAGAAAGATGCTGGAGAAGAAGGAGGAGGAAATGAATCGAACGGTGGTTGGATCGGAGAAGGCCATATTGGGGAGACGGAATCTTGGGAGTAGATAGTGAATCCGGATCCGACGTTGTTACTCGGAGCTCCGAAAGTTTCGGGCTGAGAGGGGTCGTGATGATGTTGGTGATGATGATGAGAGATGAGTTGGTGGAAGAAGAGGTCATTTTGGTAATTTTGGATGTTGTTCATGGCTCCTGAACTATCTACTACTTCTTCTTCTTTCTTTGCGCACATCACTCGTTTCTATGAAGTCTTAAAAGTCTCCATCTTTCTACTCTTTTTCCTCTTCCTCTCGGTCTCTCTCTCTCTCTAGATATATATATATATATATAATATTTATATTATATATATGTAAGTATATATCTATATTTTTGTGTGAAAGAAAGGAAAGGTTGGTAAAAGAAGGTAGGAGAGGAGGCAAAAGTTAAGAGAGTTAAAAAGAGACAAAAGCTTGCTTTCGAATGCAGATTTATATAGGAGCACTTATGCATTTTGTATATGTGTTTCCAAGGATATATGGAGTCTTGCAACTTGTGTATTGTGTTGTGGTGGAATTATTATTTTTAAAAAGGTAAAAAGGTTAATGGGTTTAAGATTCTATATCTCTTTAATCTACCCATTTAGATCTAATGCTTCATTGTATATACCTAATTTACAGATTAACTTGATAAATTTATTTTACTACATTTTTACTTACATTACGTACGTATCAAATGGATTGGAACTAATATTAAAAACTGTTTTTTTTTCATATTCTAGACGAGTAAACTACTAGAGAGCACATATTAATTGCGTGGAATAGTGCATGTATGTACTAAATAAATCGATTTTTTGTCTAAGAATCCGAAATTGATGTAATTAAGCAAACTTGTATATCATTAAATTTGATACTCTCCTCCATGATTGGATAAAAATAAGGCCTTCTCATGATCAAGTGATCGCGTACATATGATATTGAGAATAAGGTTTTAAAGTGAGCTGAAAATAAGGCTTTTACTAGGATAAACGCAGGTTTGTTTCTCTAAGGACGTATGTACAACTTTTAGAATATGTAGTATTTCACGTACCGAGAAAATGATAATCTAAACCAGCGTACATAATTTCATATCGTGGAATCTCGGTGTAGCCAATATAAAGGGCCTCACGATTATCACAAATTCATAGTGTTTGAGTTGTGGAGCATACTATGTTTCAATCTACTGTGTATGACCAAATGACTAGGCACGTTTGATCGACCAAAGTGGTCAGGTTGACGTGAATGTTGGAACGGAGGAGGTAAACTCCACTCCTCAGAGGATTGGAGGGGACCCGATATATCTTTAATATTTATGTCTTTTTAACTTCTGTTATGGAATTGTAATACGCTCTATCGGGATGATGATTTTCATCGGACAATCAAACTGAATTTCCTTCTAAAACTTGGTAATAGACTTTTTTGGACTAATAATCTGGTTTTAATACTATATTAAATTATTAAGCTTCGTAAGTTTTTTATTTATTTAGAGACGGATATAACTATAAATATAATTCATGATAAACTTTGCAACTTGTAGGTTTTCGTAGAATAATATATACTCCAACAATGTAGGTTTTGGTAACTTGGAGTATATTCTTTATGGATGTGTCATGTGTGTGTATGTATGGATAGTGTGCAACTTGGAAAGTCACTCTGCAAGTCGTCTTTGCTTTCAACTTACGGAAAGCTCAACTAAGGAGTGTAGCTATCAGAAGAGAAAAATGACAAAATAAATATTTTCTTATTTCATAGTGATCGATCCAAAAATTGCTTTAAATCACATCCCCTCATAGGATATAGGAGAGCTTGAGTAACAATATTACCGAAAAATAAATAAATAAAAAGAAAAACACAGAGTGAACACAAAACACACAGATTGTCGGACCGACCAAAGACTAAAAAAAGGCTGGCCGTATCATCATGACCTTAGTCTCAAGCTTGCAATCAAAAAGCCCTTTTGCTTTCCTTCGCACTTTCATTTCATTCCAAAAGGCTGTAAGCTCTCAATAAATTTGTCGTTTTAATTTTTTAATTTTTTTTCCTGTGAATTTCATAAAATTATTTATATACTTGATCATACAATACTGAGAGTCTCTGTTGGCAAATATACTTGATCATCATACAAATATACATGCACGTGTAAGTATTTATAATAAAAAAGTGAGTATCTTCTCTCGCTTGGCATGTCCATGTAATTATTATGAGAATAAAGAATATTTTTTTAGTTTGGTGGATACTAGTATGCCACTTTCTATTTATCTCTAGAATGGCAAAAATACGGGTTGCATTAATTTCAGATAGGACCTTTATTTCATGTACAAGTTCGCTAGCAAGTAGCAATATATGTATAGAGTATACTGAATTCATATTTTTGTATTTTTTGTCTGTAAAAAAGAATTACTTAACAGTAGACAAAAGAAGATAGAAAAAAGCTTGGCGAGTCTTTCTGAATTTTTTTAGAACAAGTGGTATAGGTTTAAACTTTAAAGTTTGACCAACTATGGTATTAGTATCAGAGACTGTTTAAATCATATTGCAAGGCAAAAAAAATGTCATAAAAGTCGAAAAGAACAGAATAATTAACACAGCAAAAAAAAATCAGTGCTCTATCTCTTGAGCTTCATTTCCCACGCTACTCCTTTATGGCTTCCCCAAGACCTTTTCATCATTTTGTCTTGGAACGTACTCCTCTCTCTCTCTCTCTCTCTCTCTCTCTCTCTCTCTCTCACCAATTTTAACAGAATAAGTATATAGGAGTATAATTTATAGGCAAAAATTCTTCGAGTCAGTTCATCATATATGTCCATCTGAGAGCTTAATAGGCTTGGTTATAAGTTCAAATTTTAAACCTGAAACGTTATAGGATAAAGTAATAAATTACACCAAACAAGTTCGCATAAATTAATAGATAACACAAGAGATTTAACTAATCCTCAATTACTAGATTAAATCATGTCGTTAATCAAACTAAATGAGCATATAAGTTGGTTACAAATAATAGTAACACTACATTTTATACCTAGACCAATTCATTTTGTATAAAAATATCATTTAATAACAGATACATGTCAGGTAACTGTTAAAGTATGGAAAATAAATATATGAAATGTATTCTTAAAAAACAATAATCGGATAATGCAAGTAGAACACAAGTAATTCGAAGAATATAATCTTAGCCGAAGGATAAAGGTTTTGCGGATCATTTTTCTTTTGTAATTTTTAGTAGCCTAGTTTTAATCGAACTACAAGGTTTTATTTTCCAAGAGTCAAATCGTCTACATGTGTTCACCGAAATCTAACATCAATGATATTTCCTGCGATAAATAAATTTAATCATCGAATCAGTCTCTAGGAACATCTTTAAATTTTCTTTACATAAAAACCAAAAAAAAAAACATCGTTAAATTTATTTAAAGGGGAGAAAATAAGTGAAAGAGAAGAGTTCCAGAACGAAACAGAAAAGCAAGAAATAGAATCATCGAAGGAAAAAAGAGGAAAGCAAATAAACAAAATAGAAAACTCAAATAAAGAGGTTGACCGGGAAAGTGCGGACAAAAACGCAGTCTTTGTAAGAAGTTTGGTTAACAAAAGTAAAAGAAAAGACAAATCAAAAGACCCATTTTAACTCTTTATTTTATTCTTGTCAACATGAAGAAATTACACTTTTATTTATGGGCCTTACTTCCACCATTTCATTTTCCACATGTTCCCTTTTTCTTACCATTTTGGGGTAAACATTTTGGTGACTTTTGTTTAGTTTTACACCATATATCTATTGATTTATTATCCAACCATGCTTAAAAAAATCTAGAGGGTACTCGCATATTGCACTTGTAATTTACCATGCAATAACATGAGCTTTTAATTTCATAAATAAACCTTTTTTATATACCCTATTGGTGCGCTGATCTGGTCAGTTCAGATAGAAACACACCAAAATGCTTCATAGTGAACATTCCCTCGCTCAACGGTCTAACGGACACTATGAGCACAAGGCATCACCTAGTGTAAAATGAAAACACTTTTTTTTTTGCAAAATGTAAAATGAAAACACATGTTTTAATATTTTCCAAATTTTGAGACAGAATTGGGTTTCCTAATAGTTAAATAGTAATAAACTTTGAAAACGACCCCAAGAAAACTTTACATGCTCATCTTTCATGTCTACGAACTATTGTTTCATTGATCGATCTGTTGTAAGCCTCTACAACATCTCGAAGATGAACCATTGATCAACTGGTGACTCGTATACTTTTACTATTTTTGGTGCATCGATTAGTTTTCTTCCACTAAGACTATAAAGAACAAATGGTCAGTATTTTTGTTACACGCATGGGTCTATTGGTCCCCTCCTTATTTTTCTTCTTTCGTACCTTCTCAAAAGTCTATGTCGCTATTTATTTCTTCTTCTATACTAAAATTATTTTATTCAAGGAAAATAATACTCCACAAACATAAATGAAAGTGTAAATATGATGAACTTATTTTATTTTAACATATCCAAATGACGGATCGATGATCGTTGTACCACCACAAACATTAACACATCAATCACCACTAATCGACGATTCTTCCCCAGGAATATTGCGTCACCTCTACCCTATGATTACGTTTACGCAGGTCTCATAAGTGTATATAAATGAATAAATACACTTTACAAAAGATTAAAATTACCAACTAATCTATCAAGTATTTTTTTGGAGTATTTTGGCAATTTTCTCTAAATATAAACAAACGTTATTGAACTTCTTTTTATTGTTATTGAAATCATGTTTTTGAAACAAAGAAATCCTTTTCAGTATTCATAATTTCATATGCATCTTACACCCTCGAATTAACATAACTAAAATTTCGTTATCTCTACCAACAACAAATATAAAACATTAGAAACAACGCTGCATTTAAATTATACTTCCTTATTAATTTAAAAAATATATATCGCCGTTTAGGTTATGTTTTTTTTTTTTTTTTTTTTTTTTTTTTTTTTTCTTTGCGCTAGAGCTAGGTTAATTTTAGTTTAATTTATATTCATAAAATTAATACTGTAAAAATACGAAGAACTGATGAGAATCAAATGGAGCTAAATGTTTTGTTCATGTGTGTGTCTTTCTACATATATATTGAAATACTTAAATTAGTTGGTAAAACTTTTATGAGATATTTTCTATAGGGGTGTTATTGATTTCATTTATTGAAATCAATTCCAATAAATTTAAAATACATTAGATTTTAAAAATGAATTGTTATTTAGAATGATTTGTTATTCATTTCACGATCTATAAGTTTTATAATCTTTTCATTTTAAAATATTTGTGTTATTTTAAGAATTCATATCAGTTGATTCTAAAATCTCTATAATATCCCATGAATTCTGTTTTTAATAATTTACTCATAGAACTTCATTGAAATTCATTTCAAATGACTCATTTAACAAAATTTTAAAAGTTATCTACTTTGAATAGTACTGGATTTTAAAATTGGATTTGAAATCTTGATTGAATAACACTAGACTGAAACTCTATTAATGATAGATTACAAAGCAGATATCGAATAACACTGGATATTTTAAAACTGTTGAATAACACTGGATTTGAAACTCTATTAATGATATATTACAAATCAGATATCGAATAACACTTGATTTTAAAACTGAATTTAAAATTTTGATTGAACAACACTAAATTATAATTCAATTTCAATTCATTTTCAATACAACATCCAATAACATGTGATTAATTGTTGAAAAAGAAGACGTAAGATACATATGATTTACATATATCATTGACTCATAAAGCAGTCGTAAAATATATATTTAATGCGTGGAACGATGCCAAATGTCTCGAAACATCTACACAACGTATGTGATCATTGACATATCTGCAATCATATGTACATATCTACTTGACATATATATCTCTAAGATGCTATAACAACAAGTTACGGTAAACACCGTATTCCAATATCTGCAATGATATGATATAAGAATATATTCAAAATAACCTATAGCGCGCGCTTAAGGGGATGATTGGTAAGGGCTGTGGTTGCTCTGCACAGCCCTAAATCTCTCTACAGCAATACAAAATTACCAATCACGCTCTCATTCTATTTCTTTCCATTTTTGAAACACAGAGCAATTTTTTTTATTTATGGAAGTTCCGTGGCTTTGGAAATCAATTTTTCTAGAGCACCAAATTAAGTGCTCTTAGAATTTTCTTTTTTCTCTTTCCTTATTAATCTTTCAACATTTATTTTTTAATCTATTATTTCTATATCTTAACTTTTTTGTTTTAATGCTATATTTAATGACACAATCTACAATAAAAAATCTTACAGCACTAAAATCTAGAATCACAGCCAAAATTTCTACAGCATTAATTCTACAGCAAAAAAAGTAAAGTTACAGCCACAACCAATCAGGCCCTGAATTCGTAGGTTTAGTGAAACCAATTCATCGCTCACGTGTCAATATCTTACAGCACTAGCTATAACCGTAACTTACCGGTCTTCTGTTTTTTTTTTTTTTTTTTTTTCAATATAGGGGATCGGATAGCAATCTAATAAAGATTTGAAGATCAGAGTAGTATATATTAGTGGAGAACAAGAAAGAAACAAAGGTAAGTGCATGAAACTTATGTGGTTTGAGTCATAGATCAAACATTATGAGGGTTGTCTGTCTGGTCTGATAAAAATGTATATTTCATGATGCGTAATTAACCTTATATAACTAAATTAGCTTTTGGGGACAGTCAAATATAATCAATGTTCCTCAAAACATTCTGATGCAGGGGCATACTTCGAGAAACACCTAGAATTTTAGCTTGCTTTCTTTTTAAGTTATCTTTTTTTTTTCTTAAATAAGTTTGGGTTTTATGGGACTTTTCCTATTAGCATTAGAAGTAGATTTCCTTTTTGCTTAAGGCTTTTAATCGACTCTATAAATAGAGCTCGATCTTCAACATTGCAAGACACTTTTTTTGATTGATTTATTGCAGAGTTTTTATACTCTTAAAACCCCTTGTTTCGAATAGAGCATTGGTTCTCGACGAAAGCAGGAAGACTTGATCTTTAGGTATTCGAAGACTAAATAAAGATCTTGTGTTATCGTAGCGTGAGCTACACTAGTTGGTATCAGAATCCAGCAGCTTTAATTTCTCAATTAAAGCCGATCCAAGCTTTTTGTGGTAGCGATGGCTCCACGGAAACCTACACCCGAAGAACTACACGAAGAGTTACGCAACACGTTGGAGTCGTTTCAAACGGGTTTACAGGATGCGGTCCTTAACGCCGTGGAACATGCACTAACGACGGTGTTGGAGAATCAACAACGCAACGGACGCGGTCACCAGCCACGACAACACGACGACGGCTCGGATGATGAGGGATTAGCGGAGAATTTATTTGCAGAGAATCGTAATGACGACCGCAGAGATAATCAAGACGACCGTGGAGCAGATCACAACCACTATCATCACGACGCTCGCAACAACACTGCTTCCCGGTGGGATACAGGATTTCGACATGATATTCATGAGTTTTCCGGATCTCTTAACCCCGAGGAGTTCATTGATTGGTTGAACATGGTCGAGGAAATATTGGAGTTTAAGCAAGTCCCGGATGAGATGCGAGTCACGTTGGTTGCTACTCGTTTCAAAAGCCGTGCCATGGCCTGGTGGCAACAACTCAAAGAATCTCGGCGCCGTGTTAACAAACCTCGTATTGCAACATGGGAGAGGATGAAGAAACACATGCGCAGGAGCTTTCTTCCATACAACTACGAGAGAACGTTATATAATAAATTGCAAAATCTCCGCCAGGGCACACGTTCAGTTGATGACTATGCTTCTGAATTTTTCCACATGACAGCTCGCATGTCATCTATGGAATCTGAAGATCAGTTAGTCTCTCGCTTCATCGGAGGTTTGCGTTCACAATTACAGGTTGCTCTTCAGCAATTCAACCCAGTCTCTGTTTCAGAGGTTCACCAACGTGCTATTGCTATGGAATCACAGCTCCGGTCGGTTTGGTCATCATCTACATCTCGGAACCAGTTTCCCAGTCCAGCTTTGGCAGACACAACGATAGGTGCACCTATGGATGCTTCGACATCTCGTTCTGACTTTCAAAAACCAAGTCCGCAAACAGAAACAATTGGTTCCTCTCGACCTACGAGACCTAATGCTTTACGATGCTTTTCTTGTGGAGAAAGAGGTCATATTCAAACTTCATGTCCGAAAAACACTAAACGAGGTTTGGTGATCCAAGAGAGTGAAGATCTTGGTCCTCAATTTGATGAATATGACTCAGATCATCAACATGATGAGTCGGTGGATGAGATTCGTGGAGATATTGGCCTTAATTTGGTTTTGCGTCGCAACTGTTTGGCTCCACGTGCGGCACAAGAATCATGGCTTCGGTCTAATCTCTTTTTTGATCCACTTGCACTATAAATGGGAGGGTTTGCAAGTTGATTATTGACTCCGGCAGCTGTACCAACGTTTTAGCTAGAGAAGCGGTTCAGAAGCTAGGACTCAAGACAGAGCCACATCCAGCACCATATCCGCTTGCTTGGCTGAATCAAGACAACGAGATGCGTGTTACTCAACGCGTGTTGGTCGCTTTCTCGATTGGGACTTACAAAGATGAAGTTTACTGTGATGTTGTACCCATGGACGCTTGCCATCTCTTATTGGGACGACCATGGCAATTCGATCGCGATGCAACACATAAGGGCCGACTTAACACATACACCATTGTCTTTGGAGATCGTACCATTACTCTACTTCCGTCGAAAGATCATGATTCTGTGGTGCTTTCTTCTGGCCCTACTCCCACTGCTATCAATCCTTCACCAACGAAGTCTTTGTTGACATTACCAAAGGAAACCTTCGAAACAGAGCTCAAAAACTCGGAGCTCGTTTGGGCGCTCGTTGCTGCTCCCTCCTCTGTCTCACCATCTCATGATGTTGTTCCTGACGCTTTTTTCTCTCTTCTTAAGCAATTTAGTGATGTGTTCCCCGACGATTTACCTCGTGCGTTACCTCCTCTTCGAGATATCCAACATCACATCAATTTGGTCCCTAATGCGGTTCTCCCTAATCGACCACATTACCGCATGAGCCCGCAAGAGCACGATGAGTTAACGCGACAGGTTGAAGAATTGCTTCACAAGGGCCACATTCGTAAGAGCTTGAGTCCGACAGCGGTTCCAGCTTTATTGATTCCTAAGAAAGATGATTCTTGGAGAATGTGTGTAGATAGCCGTGCTATCAACAAAATCATGGTACAATATCGTTTTCCAATTCCTCGTTTGGATGACCTTCTTGATCAGATAGGACATGCTTCAATCTTCACGAAGCAATTTGACTTGAAAAGTGGATACCATCAAATCCGTATTCGTCCCGGAGATGAGTGGAAGACAGCTTTCAAAACGCGTGAGGGTCTGTTTGAATGGATGGTCATGCCTTTTGGTCTCTCTAACGCTCCAAGCACATTCATGCGAGTTATGAATCAAGCACTTCGTCCTTTTATTGGCAAGTTCGTTGTTGTCTACTTCGGCGATATCTTAATTTTCAGCAACGATTTGCAAAGCCATCTGTTACACCTGACGGAAGTTCTTCAAGTTTTACGCCGTGACAAGCTTTTTGCAGCTCGAAAGAAGTGTCTTTTTGGCGCCTCGCAAGTCCTGTTTCTCGGCTATATCATCTCTGATAAGGGATTACAGGTGGATCCCAGCAAAGTTGAGGCCATTAAATCTTGGCCAACACCACGTTCTATCACCGAAGTTCGTAGTTTCCACGGTTTGGCTTCCTTTTACAGACGATTTGTCCATCACTTTAGTGATATCACCGCTCCACTTACAGACTCTATGATGGGCACATCGTTTCATTGGACCCCAGAGGCAGAAGTGGCCTTTGAAACTATAAAAAAAAAGTTGGTTTCTGCGCAGATATTGGCTCTTTATGATTTTTCTGTTGTGTTTGAACTCCATTGTGACGCTTGCAAGTTGGGCATTGGTGCAGTTTTGAGTCAGCAAGGACGCCCTGTTGCTTTCTTCAGTGAGAAGATTTCCGGTTCCCGCGCCCGCTATAGCATGTATGATGTCGAATTTTATGCTATTGTCCAAGCAATTAAGCATTGGCGCTATTATCTCTTTCATCATGAGTTTATTCTTTACACGGATCATGATGCTTTGAAGCACTTGGGCAGTCAAGAGAAGATTTCCGCTCGTCATGCTTCGTGGATAGCCTTTCTCCAACAGTTTACTTTTGTTATTAAACACCAATCCGGCCGTACTAACAAAGTAGCTGATGCTTTGAGTAGACGTCATAATTTGCTCGCCACTTTAGAGGTCTCTGTTCCTGGTTTTTCTTCCTTTGCAGAGTTATACCCTCTCGATCCTTTTTTTGGACTTATTTGGGAAAGTCTTCAGGAAGGTCACCACCCTGATTTTCTCCTCCAAGACGGTTTCATGTTTCGGGATTCACGGCTTTGTGTTCCTGCTTGTAGCCTGAGGTTGCAGTTGATTACAGAGTTACATGGAGAGGGTCATATGGGGAGAGATCGAACATTGCAGTTGGTTGCTGAGTCGTATTTTTGGCCAACATTACGTAGAGATGTCGCACGTTTTGTTGAGAGGTGTGTTGTGTGTCAATTGTCTAAGGGTCCTGCAAGTAATGGTGGGTTGTACATGCCGCTCCCTGTTCCGACTCAACCTTGGACAGACATAAGCATCGATTTTGTTTTAGGGTTACCTCGGACGCAACGCGGTTTTGACTCAATCTTCGTGGTCGTCGATCGTTTTTCGAAGATGGTGCACTTTGTTCCTTGCAAGAAAACCACAGACGCGGTTCAGGTTGCTACTTTGTTCTTCCGCGAGATTTATCGTCTTCATGGCTTACCCTTGTCGATTGTTTCCAATCGTGACTCGCGCTTCTTGAGTCATTTTTGGCGTTCTTTATGGAAACTTCTACGTACTAGCCTTGATATGAGTTCGGCTTACTATCCTCAATCCGACGGTCAAACAGAAGTTGTAAACAGATCTTTGGGCAACATGCTGCGTTGTTTGGTGGGAAGCAATATCAAGTCTTGGGATACGATTCTGTGTAAAGCAGAATTTGCTTTCAACCATGCTGTGAACAGAAGCACCTCCTTTAGTCCATTTCGTGTGGTCTACGGTATTGTTCCACGAGGTCCTGCAGGTCTTGGCGTTACTCCGGATGCGACCCGCGATCATGGTCAAGCTATTGATTTCGTCGCCAATCTTTCATTCATCCACGCTCAGATTCACGATAATTTACAAATCGCTTCTGCCAAGTATAAGGAGGCTGCGGATCGCCATTGCCGTGACGTTCAATTTAAGGTAGGTGATTTGGTGTGGGCAATCATAACCAAAGACATGTTTCCTCCACGAGAGTACAACAAGCTTAAGACACGTAAGATTGGACCTTTGGAAGTTTTGGAGAAAATTAATGCAAATGCTTATCGTGTGAAGCTTCCATCCGACATTCGGTCTTCTGATGTCTTCAACGTCAAACACCTATGTCCGTATGTTGCGCAAGATGAGGCTGAAGATTCGAGGGCGAATCTTTCCCAACCCCGGGCGACCTGATGCAGGGCATATTTCGAGAAACACCTAGAATTTTAGCTTGCTTTCCTTTTAAGTTATCTTTTCCTTTTTTTAGATAAGTTTGGGTTTTATGGGACTTTTCCTATTAGCATTAGAAGTAGATTTCCTTTTTGCTTAAGGCTTTTAATCGACTCTATAAATAGAGCTCGATCTTCAACATTGTAAGACATTTTTTTTTGATTGATTTATTGCAGAGCTTTTAAACTCTAAAAACCCCTTGTTTCGAACAGAGCATTGGTTCTCGACGAAAGCAGGAAGACTTGATCTTTAGGTATTCGAAGACTAAAGATCTTGTGTTATCGTAGCGTGAGCTACACCACATTCTCCCATTAATTGTGTCCTTGAGGCAAGACAATGGTTTTTTTTTGTTTGTTTCTTAGCTCGATACTTCAAAAAAATATGTTTGCCATCATTCGCAGGAGGCAATGGCGACACTCTTGACTTCTATGCAACCAAATCATTTTATATAGAAGAGACGAGATATATATATATGTTTTTAAATATAGGCGATAATGGTCCTTAACTATTTTCATTATTACCATACTCTACTAGCAAACTCAGGGCCTCGTTATTTTTTGCCATATAAAGATACAACCAGAAAAGTGCATGAAAAATATTTGTTTTGGTACCACATCCAATGTTAATGTTACCATACTATACTAGCAACTCAGGGGTCTCATTCTTTCGCCAATCAAATACACGATGCATTATATATATTTTTTTTTTTGTTAAAAGGCCTTCATTAATACTTAAAAACATAGCTTACAAGCAAGATTACCAGAAGATGAAATAGAGAAGAAAAATAGAAAGAGAGGAAGGAAGAAAAGAGGAGGGATGGAAGCTCGATAAAAAGAGACTCTTTCTACAGACCAGTTTCCCAGAGGCGTAGAAGAGGATCACCTTTGCACGAGCTCAAGCTTTTCAACGCAACTGCCCTGTTTTTTAGGACAGACAAGATGCGGTTTACAATAGCTATAGGTGGGGAAGTGTTACCTTCATGATACCGTCTATTTCTCTCTCTCCAAATCTCATAGATGCTGGCCTGCCAACCTTGAGCCATCGCAAGAGATTTGGTAGAAGAAGATGATCCTGATATCACCCAAAGTAAGGAGTCGGACCAGGATATAGGAACAGAAACACAACGGATCCTAACCATTACAGACTTCCAGATGAGAAGAGAGTAAGGGCATGAGAAGAATAAATGATCACGACTTTCTTGGGCATGACCACAAAGGAGACAAGATTCTTCCACATCTAGACCCCAAGAGAGAAGACGCGATAGAGTTGGATTCCTGTCAAGAATAAAAAGCCAAGCATTCGTAGAATGCTTTGGAATAGCTACATTGTTCCACACCAGCTTGTACCACGGAACTTTAGGTTTAGACTCTCTGATAATATTCCAAAGCACTTTACTGTTGAATTCTTTAGAGATGCACCCCTCGACAATCCAAACAGGATAATCTGACGAATTTGAAATAGCAACAGAGGAAATGAACGAGAAAACCTCTAGGTGATGGTCAGATCTTGCTGGCGGGAGAATCCAGTTTAGGTCTGATATACAGTCTTTAACTAAGGCATCCTGAGGAATACCAATGATAGCAGGAGCCTGCGGTCCCAAGTAAGAGATTAGAGGACCAAAAGGTGTCCATGGATCCCACCAAAAGAAAGTTTCCTCCCCAGAACCAATTAAGATGCGCAAGAAGGAGGAGGCTTTGTGACGTAGCTTTAGGATTTTCCGAAAAGTCCAAGAGAAGGACGGGTTCTCTTGGTTGAGAGACCAGAAACTTTGCCGAGATAAGTATCTATTACGCATCCACGCAACCCAAATTGAACCAGACTTAAAAAACAGCATCCACAAAAGTTTTAAACCACAAACTTCGTTCCAAGAACTGATTGATCGGATGCCGAGCCCTCCTTCAGCTTTTGGATAACATACCTCCGACCATGAAACCTTCGCACCCGTAGGACAGTCTAGTTTTCCGTGCCACAGAAACGAACTGCTTAACGAGTTTATTTGCCTTATCACCGTTTTGGGGAGAAAGAATGCCTGAGTCCAGAACACTATTAAGCCCGAAATAACTGAAGACAACAGAGTTAATCTTCCTGCAAAACTGAGAGGACGATGCATCCAGCTGCTCATCTTCATTCTGATTTTTGAGATCAGGGGATCACAGTCATTTACCGAGAGTTTTTTAGAGGAAAGCGGGAGACCTAAATACCGAATTGGTAAGGAGGCAGCCTCTAAAGAGAATCTGTTTCGCAAGTCATTCAAAACCTGAGTGGAGACCCCGGAACAGAACATTGACGTTTTAGTAATGTTCACCGCTAAACCTGACATCTTTTCAAACTGAGCGAGAATTTTGAGCACTCCGTCAACTGAGTCTGCTGAACCCTCCAAAAAGATAAGCAGATCATCTGCGAAAGCGAGATGAGTAAGCTGAACATTTTCACAGTCTGGGTGGAATTTGAATATACCTTCCTCGGCTGCTTTGTTCAATATAATGGAGAGAATGTTCATTGCCATAACAAACAGAATTGGGGAAAGAGGATCTCCTTGCCTGAGGCCCGTTTTCCCTTTAAAATATCCTGAGGTGATCCCATTTATACTCACTGAGAAAGATGGAGTGGAGATACATTTCTTGATCCAAGCATTGAACTCTGCAGGCAATTTATAAGCAGACAGACAAGTAAGAATAAAATCCCACCTCATGGAATCAAAGGCTTTCGCTATATCTACTTTCAACGTGATTCTGGGAGAAAGATTTTGGCGATGGTATCCCTTTATAACTTCAGCAGCTAAAAAGACATTCTCTAAAAGTAGCCGGTCTTTTATGAATGCCGTTTGATTTGGCAAGATCAATTTAGGTAGAATTCTCTTCAACCTATCTGAGAGCAGCCGGGAGATCAGCTTGTAGATAGTATTTAGGCAGGAGATGGGTCTGAAATCCTTCAACTCATCAGCTCCCCTCCTTTTTGGAATCAGAATCAAAGAGGTAGAATTTAGTGCTTTGGGCATGAACGGGGACAAGAAGAAATTCTGAACAGAGACCGTAATCTCCTCACCTAACACTTCCCAACCTCGTTTAAAAAACTCCACTGGAAAACCATCTGGACCAGGTGTCCTATTCAGCGGCATTTTAAACAGTGATGATTTGATATCCTCTACAGAGAAAGAGCTTTTCATCATTTGCTGCTGAAACACAGAATAATGCTGGGCGATAAGACTATCCAGCGTTGCCTGTAGATGTGGACTGAATTCTCCTTTTATAGAGTTGTACAATCCAGCGTAATAAGACTCAGCAATCGTGTGGACCTCCTGAAGAGATGATGTGCGAGTCCCATCAGACTTGATAAGGTATTTGATAGCGTTTGAAGCATTTCTCCCTTTTGTGACCAAATGGAAAAACCTGGTGTCGAAGTCACCTTCACCTAACCATTTTATCCTTGATCTTTGTCTAAAGAAACTTTCCTCTGCCAATATCAGACGTAGCCAATTATCACGTGCTTCTTGTTCCAACTGAACATTTGCCGACGTTGGATTGTTTAAGACCTCAAGTTGGATACGCTTAAGTTCACGGTTCGCATCTTGCACCCTAACTTCCAAACTGCTGAATTTCTCTTTGCATAAAGTCTTCAGCGGTCTTTTCAGAGTTTTCAGCTTGAAACCAAATTTTTCCAGAGTAGAAGCTCTTTCACCAGCCAACAGCCATGAGTCCTTTACACACGGAAGAAAAGAAGGCAAATTTCCCAAGAAGTTATAAAACTTGAACGGCCTCGTACCATAAGAGGGAGGAGGAGTTACTAGTTTCACATGACCAGGAGTATGATCCGAGAATTCCGGGGGCTCAAAGATGCAGTGAGAGGATGGGAACAAAAGTAACCAATGATCATTGATTAAGCATCTGTCCAGTTTTTTTGCCACCGGAGCTAAAGGACACTTATTTGTCCAAGTGAACGTTGGACCTTGTGATGCCAAATCAAAAACCCCAAGATTTGACAAACAGTCTCCAAAGATTCTCATCGCAGAAGTGGTGTTTGTAACACGAGAGTTAGAGGTTTCTTGCGGAACAAGAATCTCGTTGAAATCTCCATTTAACATCCAAGGCCTGTTTGCAAGATTAAACGAGACGTAAGTATCCTGTAACGATAACCACAGCTCTTGTCGCTCATCCAGATCGTTTGAAGCGTAGATAGCAGAGTATATAAAAGAAATCCCATCTTCTAAGGTAACCTCGCAAGTGATTGATTGCTTGTCCAAAAAAAGGGGAGTGATAACCGTCGTATGCTTAAACAGAATCCATATCTTCCCCAAATCCGAAAAAGGATAATTAGTTATAGAAGACCAACCGGGAGCGATCATTGATATAATATGATCCTTATTTACCTCCCTAACATGCGTCTCAAGAAGTGGTCCAAAAGAAATTGGCCTAGAGTTGATCCAATTTTCTAAAGGGCGATGCTTCGAATGCTCGTTTAGACCCCGCACGTTCCAAAAAAATGTGTCACACATATAGATAATTTAGTTTTGGTGACAACCCCCTGAGATCAGAGGGAGATCGCCACCGGAGATCGGTGAGTTCTTGGACATCCATTTCCTCTTTTTTCTGGAAGCTCTTGGAGAGCCTAAGAAGAAAGGTGTTGGTGGAGATGCTAAAGCCTCGTTATGGATCACAATCTCCTGACAGCCTTCGTCTGAGAGCCCATCCTCATCATTTGACAAAGCAGCAAAAGCATTCTTGGAGACTATTCCAGAGTACAATTTTTCTGGGGTCGGCACCTTCCTGGCAGGGGAGGCACGAGAGACCTCTTTGAAACCTTTCTCTCCACTGATAGTTTTTTCTCCAGACAGAACAATTGATCTCTCATCGTTGACGTACATACCCACTGATCCCAAGTTGGACTCACCGGAATTTTCTACGGGCAACTTACTGGCTTTAGACATTGGCATGGTGTTGAGTTTTATCTGAGACTCTGTACATAAGAGAGACCTTTCCTGAGATACAACTTTCTCCGGAACCGCACTTTTGCTAGTACGGTCTATTAGAGGATTAGGGACCGAACTTTTGCTAGTACGATCACTCTTCGAAGCTGACTTCTTTGACATCTTTATCTCACTCCACACTGCTTGCTTCTTTACCGCTTTTTCTTTTCCTCGACCTTCCCTGGCTTTTTCCTCAGCAGACAAACCCGATGATGAAGCTCCGTCCTTGTTCTCAGCAGATTTTGGAATCTGGGGGCAGAGATTTTCTTTATGGCCAATCTCCTTACAGATGGAACATAAAGGAGGCAACCAGGGGTAACTAACTTCAAGTGTCACAATCTGACCATCATCTCGTTCAATCTCCATTGTGGGAAGCAGTTCCTTGGTAAGATCAACCACAATTTTGATGGTCGCTGAATTAACACTGGTATATGGTTTCGCATCAACCACCTCACCTAAAGGCCGAGCAATAAGACTGGGGCCTACGTCCGTGATCAAATCAAAAGGTATGTTTTTGATGGTTGTCCAAATCGGAGCCTTCTGCAAGGATGGCGGATTCAGGCTATAAGAAGCTTTCCATTCCGTCACAAAGAACGGAGAGTCTCCAACTCTCCATAGCTCGTGCTGCAAGACTCTCTTTCTTAATGACTCGGAGGGAATGCGAAAGAGAAAGGCATTGGAAGTTAAGTTGTGAATCGTAACTTTTTTATCTTTACCCCATAGGTAATTTAGAACCCCCCAGATCTTGCCATAGGAAGGAGGATTACCGTAGAAGATACCCACGATGTAGTCAGAGTGAAGTTCAGCACCACGCTCAAAAACCTCATTTGGAATTTTCACCCTTGGGATACCTTCGGATGAATAAGAAACAGGGACCGAGGAAGTCTTAATCTTACAAGTAGATTTTAGACTTTTTGCCCAATTAAAATCTCCGCCGATATCTTTCGGAACTGAGAGAGAAGCTGTCGATTTCGGAATCGATTTAGCAGACGTAGCTTTCCCAACCTTTGCAGATGGCTTAGTAGTGGGAAGAGCACTATTAGTTTCTTGGGTAGAAGCCTTGGACGGAGAAGCAGGAGGAGAAGCACCCAAGATTCCTTTCTTGGTGAAGGAGGAGCCACGAGTGACAATAATCACCGGCGGAGGTGACTGGTTTGCTTCCCGCATCAACGAATCTGGGGAAGAACATGGAGCAGAGGGGGGGATGAAAGGAGAAGAAGGATTGAGAATCAGGAGATCCGGAAGAATTGGAGGGTTAGGGGGACGGGGGTCACCCATCGGAACCGACGAACGGAGGAAACAACGCCGAGAAAAAATTAGGGATTTGCTACAGTACCGGAATCGCACTTTTTGTTCTCGAGAGAAGAACCCGAGAGAGTGGATTTTTTTTCGAGAGACTATTCAGCAACCAATTCAAAAAAAAAGAGAGACTAATCAGCCGATGCATTATATCTTTATATGGCGAAAATGGGAATATCACATGAATGTTAATCAACAATTAACATGCATGTTTATGATTAATACTTTAATTTGCATGTAAATATGTGTCTAGAATGAGAGTGTTATTAGTATCGTGTGTGTAATAATATATATGCAGAAAGTGTATGTGTGCGTGAGAGACAGATCGTACGCCTCACATATATACTCAAGACTTCGCCGTTCCTTCAATCTGACGTCTCGTACCACATACATTTGCATCATTACATCGGTCCATACTTCTTTTTTTTTTTTTAGTTAAATTGTGACCAAAGAAAAACCTATTGACTGAATTTTTAATTTTATAAAACCGTTGTCGGAAGAAATATCTGTTGACTGAATTCGTTTCACCTAAAGTTGCTCTAGTAATATGTCGATAGCCGAAGGCCCGTTTATTTTCTTGACCATAAGAAGGGTAAGCCCATTTTCCAGTGCAAAAGAATGACAATCTCCATAAATTTCGTTTTACTTTTTCTTTCTTATCGAAAATTCATTTTTGTGATTTTTAATGTGAGCAGAATAGTTGTGAAAACTGAAAAGTTAGAGAGCGTACGTTTAAAAATCGAAGTGCGTCTACTTGCATGTATGGGTTACCATTATTTTTACTTGAAAATTGAAAATTTTAATTATTTTTACTTGTAAATTTCAGGTAGTTTGGGTAGGATATATCATATATGTAGAATGAAGTGGACGACCCGAATTACTACAACCTATTGCATGGTGAATGAGTTTGTCGAGATTAATTTTGATCATTTAGTTTTTGTTGTGAACTTGTGATCATATATAAAAAAGATTAGGAAATAATATTTGACAAAATGGTACCCTTGTTACACCCTTTTTTTTGTGTGTGGACATAATGCACCTATTCGAGACACAAACAAGGACGGGTATGAGTTATGACCTAGGAAACATATAATTGCCACACTGCCTGTCGCTTATTAAAGCTCACAAATTTTTTTTTTATAAAAAAGGTAGATGATGTGGCCAAAAAAATATTTACGACAAATTTAAATAATTCGTAAACCAAAACAATTAAAATTAATATAATTCGTTAAATCATAAAATAATGATAAACCAAACATATACTGATATATTGTAGTTATATATAGTATCGTCGCTATATGTCACTACGCATATTCAAATACGTATAATGCATGTATATTTGTCGTTGTATAACAAAATTGTACTTGACTGGGAAAAAAAAAAAAAAACAAAATTGTACTTGACTAATAATAACATCAAAATTTCTACCTAACCAATAATTATTAACATGGTGGAGGCACTGCCAAATAGGCATGTTAGAAAGATTCTCATAGAAAAGGGTTCATCATCATTAGCTCCTGAGAATAACTTTGTGCTCATTTTCTTTCTCACTTTCACTTTGAAGCGATCTTTGTGCTTCTTCTCACTTTTTCACAACTGAAACTAAAATATCAATGAAATATCAAATATAAGTGTATTTGTGTTCCTCAGCCATAATGGGACTCTCTCTTTCTCATTAGTAATGATACAAACTGATAAAACTGTTTACAAACAAATTATGGTATATAAGCTAAAGCTACTTTGCAACCTTTGCCCATAAAAAAAAAACAGAAAAGAAAATCGAATATTTGCTTTTACTTACATGATTATATATATCCTAGCATTATCAAACCTTAATACCAAGTAAAATGATTATTGTTTTTCGGAAGCGATGTGTGGTTGATTATAATGGTATACTGGTGAGACGAGAGATTTTTCCCCAGCTTTACTATTTCCATATATTTTCAGCTTTTTATTCTAACAACCGAAAATATATTTTTAGTGCTTTAGCCCTGTTGACATTTCTTAACATGTATATAGAGTTTCAGCACGATATATTCTTATTGATGACGATATTTAAAAAGATGATGTAAAGTAGTTAATTCTTGGTTTTTTGTTTGTCAACAGTTCTTGTTTATTATATTAATAGTTTTGTGGATAGTAAATTCGAGTTATAGGAACAAAAAACAAACAGATTATTTTTTTGGTCAAACACTTCATTTCATAACTTAACTTAAGTAAACAGTTTACTTAAAAAGCCTGCCGTGATATATTTGGACACAAAATGTGGAGATATACTTTTATAGTATATAGTTTTTGTATGATGAAATGTGGAGATATATGGGGTGAGAAATACTGGTCAAGTGAGTCAAAGGAAAAGCAATGAGAGAGAGTAGGCATTAATAAAAATTGAAAGCTATGGGTATTGTAGGCTCAGTTTGTGTCTGTCTCTTATAAGTCCTAACCCTAACTGCCTACCTATATACTCTCCACCAATCACATCTCGCTCCTCTTTTTCTTGCATACATGAAGAATCGAACAGATGGACTTAGCAAATTTCGAATATAGAAATCTGAAAACTTAAGAACTTAAAGACATGAATGAGAAAGATGTCAACTGGTCTTTACAAATCACCGATCTAGAAACAACAATAGATTTTTAGTATTTGCATTAGCACATGATTTTGTTTAGACTCCTTCCTCTCACAACTTATTTTTAAGATTCAAACAGATTATTTTATTGCACTAACAGTATACGGCCCTAACCATAGATTTTGTCTTAAACCATAAGATTTTGATCTCTTTTTGTCTTAACATATAAAATGGCTACAAGCCTACAACCAAGCCCGGACTGGGGCTAAGCAAAAGATACCGGCCACCAACATTTAAAAAGCTTTTTAAGGCCACGTATTTTCTTAGGGAAATGATAATATTGATATCTTGACGCACATATTCTTGAATTTTCTGGTGTTAAAGAATTGTTTAATGAAAATTAAATGATAGATGGTTACGTCCCAATTAACTCGGCAAATTTATTGACACCAAAAAAACCTCAAAAGAAAATTTTGATATCTCTTTCAGGTAATTCGGTTTAGACCAGATTCTTGTAACACGTAACCGTGGAATCCTAGAAAGTGACACAACGATAATAACGAACAAACAACAATTCTCAACATCACAATTTTTCTTCTTCTTCTTTGAACTCCAATATGAGATGAAGTTTGATTTATAAGCCTATTAAACAATGCTTGTCTACACCTTTCTAAGCAAGAAAAACTATAAACAGAAAAATTCTCGATCTTTTATAAGATTTAGATGCCAATATTATCTTCCAATAAAGCACAAGTGATAAAATGAAGAAGATGGGGTTGCTATCAAACAACAAAGCAACGCCCACGTGAAGGGGTAACCAAAAATAGGCCTTAGACTTGGTCCCTTTCGTTTTCACCTCCCACTTATTTTCATAACCGTTAATCACTATCACTCCCACAACCTCCTCCTTAACCTTATCCCATCCACACCACACTTATTAAGCTTTTCCTTTTTCAATAAAAGTACTTCCATCTTTATACCTCAAATATAAGGGTTTATATTTTATAATATGAGTAAGCTACTCGATAAGAGTCATAAGTGCTATTATAAGGGTTTATGAGTAAGCTATTTCTCAAGTATAAGGGTTTATAATATGAGTAAGCTACAAGTTTAAGAGTCAAAATCATGCAAAGATCGGCAAGTTTGGTCGGTCAATCATACGAACCAAGTTTTGAAGTTTGTAACGAAGTAGGAACAAAATTGATTGTGCTTATAAGTCACCTCATCGCCCAAAACAAAACTACTAACACTATTTCTTTTAATTCTTCTAACGTGATAAATCATACTATATGTATCAAGCGTACAAAAAATACAAAGTTTAACTGAAAATGTTAACAATTAACTTAGTTATATAAACATAAAACTTAGTTGCTTTTTTAACAATACATGTAATAAGTTTTAGTAAACTTTCATTTCTATAACTGTGTATTGTTTTCTGTAAGTGTTGTTTAAAACGAATAGGTGTACTATATATATATGAACTATATATATATTCCACACAAACTATTAGAAAAAGGTTATAACATAAATATTTATAGATTAGGTAATTTTGATTATATTTGCTACACATCTAAGTAATTAAATATATATATTGATTAAAATTTGAAAATTTCAACTAAAAATAACGTGTAATTTAGTTTTATGAGATTTTATATCCTTATTTCCATTTTAGTATAGTGTTAAGGGAAGATATTCTTTCGGTTGATAAAAGAAGAACCTGTTGTGCTCAAGAGCTTTTACTTTCGTCAGTCTCTTTTTGTCCTTCTTCCTCTACCTATCAACCTTTATAGCACAAACACACACCGACTAATAAATCAAATGGCTTGACTGAAGAAGGGAAAAAAATATTGTGTATTACCTATCTCTCTCTTCAATCTAATGTTTCCTTCTATAGACACAAATGGCTATGATCTCTTTGATCCCTTCCATCCCCATCAAACAACCATGCTTCCTTCTTTCATTACTCACATCCAAAGCCCCAGTTCTCACCATCATAACCCTTTACCTTCTTTGCCTTTCCCTACAGATTTTCTGGATGAATCTTTCCTGATAAGCCAGGTCTTCCTACCACAGCAAGACGCAGCACAAATTGTTGTTGAATCTCCTATAAAAGTTTGCAAGAAGCTTGAGAACAATAAGAAGAATGAGAATTGCGTTGAAGGAACCACCTCACAAGGCGGTGGAAAGAATGTTCCAAGGAAAAGAATGGGAAAAAAAAGGGACAGACATAGTAAGATCTTCACCGCTCAAGGTCCTAGAGACCGAAGGATGAGGCTATCTCTTCAGATTGCTCGCAAGTTCTTCGATCTTCAAGATATGTTGGGTTTCGACAAGGCGAGTAAGACGATCGAATGGCTTATCTCAAAATCAAAGGCTTCCATCAAACAAGTTAAAGAAAGTGTGGCTGCATCTGGAGGAGGAGAAGACTATGAACATCTACAGGTTGATGAAAAGGCAAAGGATGAGTCTTTGAAGGTCTCAAGGGGAAGAACAAAGACGGTGGATAACTCTGGTAGGAAGAAAGAGTCAAGAGAGAAAGCTAGAGAACGAGCAAGAGAGAGAACAATGAAGAAGATGAAGCTGAGATTTTCAGGACTAATTGACACCTCGAATACGCTTTTAGATCCTCATCCAGAAACAAGAAAGATAAAGATAACCGGTGGTGCACAAGTAGAAGGGGAAAATCAAGAACAAGAGTTGAGTAATAATGTGAACATGGTTGAGTGTCAAATGGATTCTGTGAGCATCATAGAGAAGTTTCTTGGACTAACCAGTGAATCTAACTCCTCTTCCATCTTCGGAGACTCCGAGGAATGTTACACAACTCTTAGCTCAATAATCGCTAGTACTTCAACAGCAGGTAACAATTAACAATGTGCTGATTAAAAGCCTTAATAAATGCACATTATTTTTTGGATCAAATTTTTATTGTTGGCTCTTCACTAATCTAGGAATGGTGACACCAAGGGAACACAAACCAATTCCGACAGAAGCAGTAGATGAGGAGAGAAACCTGATTTCATCCTTTTCTCTATACGATTATCTTTGCTACTGAAGATAATGAGGTATTTGGGGTTCTCTATGCATAAAAAAATTGAGCCTCATAAGCGAAATCTTTGGCATATATATATTTATTTATATAGACATTTATCTGTGTGAACGAGATGGGTTTTGTATGCTAATTTGTTTTTGCTTAGGACTGCTGGATAACTTTGAAAAGTCTAATCTTTATGGTTTCAAATATATCACTATGTAGCGAAATTTATGTCACCAGCACACAATCAGTCAAACACATAGCAAAATGACAGTCCGTTAGTATAAGTAAGTAAGCTTTAGTCAACCACATTCCAAGATGTGTAAAACAATACTTCAGATGCTAGACTTTGATTTACTTTGTGACTTTTTCAAGTATGAGTAAAACAACTTCCGTGGCATTTAGATACCATACATGTTTGATTGTTTGGTTAGTACTCTATTTAGATGACCTGTTTCTACAAATACGCTTGTAATTTGTCATTGGTTTGGGATTGCGCATTGCATTAACAAAATATCTTCTTATATACCCAACAATTGTACTTCTAAAATTGCTACTGCTCCAACCTGAATCATGTCGTTTTTTTCTTTCCCAAACTCTCAAACTTTTCAGCTGTTTTACAGGCGAGACGCCCATATATATCCCCAAAAACAAATTGATAAAATGTGAAATCGCTTATAAAGTAGCAAAATCTACCCCCAAAAACAAATTGATAAAAAATTATACAAACTTCCACCAATATAATTTCGACCAAAAAAAAAAAGCTTCCACCAATATTATAATGAACGAAACGGAAATTCTATGCCATGTTCCTCCTGCTACATGCCCTAGGGTCGTAGGGCTACGGATATACAATATGGGCCTTGGGCCAAAAGGTCAAGTGTTTTTCTTTTATAGCGAATGGGTTTACAAAACAAACCATTATAAAAAAACTGGAAAAGGAAATGGATTAATATAAAATAATCAAATGAACCGAAACAAAGTTTTGTTTCCATAAATATATAGAGGTTAATAAAATTGAACCATGTCTAAAATATATGTAATCATATTATACTTACTAGGTTTGAAGCCCCGCGCAAGCGCGGGGTTGTTTACGATAGTTTTTCTGTTTAATTTTATTTATACTCGTGATTTGAAATATGATGGTTTTGTGTTAACTTTCATGTTTTTGTTATGTTTTGAGTTAACTAAACCACTAACACTAAAAAATATGAATAATTTGTTTTTATTTTAATTTATTAGGATATTAACACTCTGCTTTATCTTGAGTTTTCTATTTCTAAAATTTTATCATGTTATAATATTATGTTTACTTCTATTAGACGGTAAACATGTATATGTATTTGATTGAAGGTTAAAATTTATAAATATGTATATGCATTTGACTGAAGGTTAAAATTTGTAAACATATTCTTGTTTTTCACTACAATTAAATTTACATATAAAACTCTATTTCTATTTGTTTAGAAAAACAAACTCTAACTCTAATGTTTCATTAGCTTTCTATTGTCTTAATTAATTTATATTCAACTTTTTAACTTGTAAACACATTCTAACATTTTTAAGTAGGATAAACCTTTGAATAATAAAGTAAATATATACTATTTGAAGTTGAATATTTCTTTACTCCATCTCTATTTTATATTCCAACTTTTTGATAACTTTAACATCAAATTATCACATACTTTCTATTAATTAATCAATTTATTTGTATATTTTTATTAAATATGAATAAATGTAAAGAAATATGAATAGTCATATATTTATTAAATATTTTAAATACAATTTAATGTTTTTGTGCTGATGTGGACACTCTCAAATGGAGAGAGCAACTCCCTAATTATATATAAGATATACAGATTGAATCATATTGATATATTTTTTAAAATACTACTGAACTAACCAAATCAAATTTGCATCAAACACGTTTATATGATTTTATTTGCTTTCAGTTTCTTATAAAACCGATATAAACCAGAAACCCAAAAAGGAAAGACCACAATAAGCATCCCTAAATAGACCAATACCTCCGCTCTTAACTCTCGCACTATATACTGCGATAAACTAATTTATATAAGATGCACAAGAAGATAAAAGTAGTAATATACAGTTCTAACCAGAGCCGTCCCTGAGTTGTGTAGGGCCGCAAGCTAGAAAAAAAAAAAGGCTGTTAGTTTATTAAGAAAAACGTTAATAAAATAAAAATTAAAGCTGAAAGTAGAAGAGACTCGAACTGAGGACACCAAACCTGAAGAGCTATAAGGCATAACCACTACACTATGAGACACTTCTAAAAAATAAGGGCCGAATAATCTTATATAAAGAGGAAGGGCCGCACACACCCCCTAAACCCTAAACCCTAAACCCTAACATAATATATAGCAACATATAGCAACAATTCTCTTTAGGTCTCTTAATGTTGTTTCTACCCTTCTTTCTCTTGTGAAATTGCTCTTGTTATAATTTTATAATCCTATACGCATTTCAAAAATTTGTAAAAGCCAACTCATTGACATATTTCATGTATAACAAGTGAAAAACCATGATATGTAAAGTTCGTACGCATATATTGTGCATATTCAGGTATTCACTTATTCATAATTAAATACTCATGGAGAAAATCAGAAGAGGTACTTTTCTCAGATGCAGCTACGAGAAACAGTGGAGAAACTAACCTGTAAATGTAAACTCCTTCTTGCTTTTTTTTGTTTTCTCTCACGACCACCTAACATTTGATCATAGGTGAATCTATAAGTATGCAAACCAGATATTGTGTGGAGTGTTTTACATACGCTGAGTAGGAAAATTATTAAGATCTGACAAGAGTGAAGCATTTTAAGAAAATCTTTTAAGAATAGATATGGAGGCTATGGAGCAGAAGAGAGGAAATAAAGAAACACAAAGGTACGTTTTATTTGTTTACATAAGGCCAAAAACCTCACTCTCTGCTTTGAAAGCCTTCTAAATTTATGGAGCAGAAGAGAGGAAATAAAGAAAGGCGTAAAGTCTATGTGAGCATTTTACTGTGTCTAGGAGTTTACTATGTGAGCATTTTAAGAATAAAATTACGGAGCAGAAGTGTGTAATTGCGTCTTTAGACACCGACCGTTTCATCCGGTGTAGGAGTACGAAGCCTAAGATTTGACCACTTCGGACAAAATTAAGTAAATAAGAGATCCAATAGTATGATCTAGTCTGACATATTTGTTCCCAAAATTAACAATAATTCGAAAATTAGCTTATGGACATATTGTTTGCTGGATAAATTTGACAATAATGTGTAGTACTTTCATTTGCTGGGCATTGCCGCATTGTTAAATTAAAAATGCTTTTTTTTTTCTTTACTAGGCGATAATAAACTAACCAAAGAAGTAGACAACAGAACAGAAAAAGCTACTGTTTTAACTGGTTTTCATTTATTAATTTATTTATTTGTTTTGTGTGGTAACAAATGAAGAATGAGATATGGATGTCGAGAAGTAGATATTTTGGCAAAGTGTAGCTGCTTCTAGATCTTACGTGTTTTTATAACATAGACACATAGACTTGCACTGCAGCTCGATCGTACGGACCTTTGCAAATGTAATGCCCCAGAACTCTTACATCACAGAAGTATTGACATTATAATAATGATGAATCTCCCACGTACATAACAATTCAATAGAAACTGTTTGAATCTCTTATCATACCTGTTTCATTTTCCAATGATACTTACATTCTTAGCAAAAAAAGAAAAAAAGATTCCTTAATCCTTATCACTCTTTACACTTGACATATTTTTTTTGGTCTTAATCTAATAAACCTCAATGTTACCTTGTTTAATTAACCAGCTTATGTTTTGTTTACTTTCTTTTTTTAGCACTTTCGTCAAGTGGCTTATAGGTCATTGTCGTTTTGGCCATGTAATGGCATCAGCCATCAGAGGTTCGACCCCTCCTCTTTGAGGGTTAAATTGTGGGCAATGAAGGTAGTAAAAAAGTGATTTTTTTTTACCAGAGAACAAACAGGTAACTAAACACACAAGAAAACCGGGCACACGGGAAACAAACCCCTTGTACAATTCCTAACAATTTCAATTGGCATTATAAGATATTTCTTCTTCCTTTAATCCATTATATCTATGTATTTTTAGCAGTATATGAAACTACCTCCTAAAAAGATTGCAGAATTTCATTTTTCCTCTTCTATATACATTTACATATTTAGATGGCAGCAGTTGATTTTACTATTCATGCATGAAATTAGCTAGCGTCGTGGCAATTGACTTCAACTATAATTCATTGTTTGCACTTGATTTCAATGAATTGTGATACTGCACACTTCTTCAATATATAAAAAAAAATAGATTTTGGTGTTCCTTATTCTGACTAGCGCAATCATATTTCGAGCACTCAGCGTTATAGTGCAAAAGAAAATATAAACAGTTGAAAAGGCTGGCTTGGAAGTGCACCTTACCCACCAGTTCAACAATCCACTCAGGAACCTTTCGTGCATTGGAAGACCTTTAATCAAATGTACAATTTCATCATATTTTTCTTCTTCACTATGAGAGGTTCACAAATCCAAGTTAAAGAAAAAAAAATCAAAGAACTTTCTTAAAACTATATTGCCTTGTAGCTAAAAACTTAAAATATCCAAGTTTTCATATGTACAGAAATTACAGGTATTCGTCGGGACCTTAGTTAATTAGTTTAGAAGCCCTCCATTCTAAAATACACATATGCTGCATGGCAACAGTATCAAAATCTTTAAATTTTCTATGAAATTTATTTTTCCTTTTTCCTTTTTTCTTTTTTATAATATGGGTTGCAAAATTATGAGCATCTCTCTATGGTTTTATCCACATGTTAGTTTTTTTTTTTTTTTTTTTTTTTTTTTTTTTTTTTTTTAAATGCATGCGTTATAAGTTGTTTATTTTAACTGGCATAGTGCATTATAAGTTTCTGATTTCATATACAGACTAAAATTTTAATAACCGGAGGATATATAGTTGAAGTACATCTTTATTTCCAAAGTCTATGAAAATTTTGAATATTTTTAACATTCAAAACGTTTAGGATTGACAACCATAGCTAAAAACATAATGAAAAAACTGAAGATATATCCCAATTTTTCTCAACCACCACAAATCAACTAGGTTTTGGGTATTTCATCCTCAACTGATTTCACATTAACTCTGTATTGCTATACAACTATAGTCTCATCTGATCTTGATATGGAACCCGGCCTCAGCGGACAAAAATTCCAAAAAAATCCAAACCTCTTTATAAAAGTTATTTATCATTTGATATTATTTTGATATAGGAGTATTGCATATCTCTAGTCTCTAGACTCTAGCTAAGTAGTATTTTTCTTATAACCAGTGTTTTTTGTTTTTGCTATAAATGATTAATATTTGAAATTTAACATGAGATATTATGATTATGTGCTTCAAGAAAAAAAATTCAAACACAATGAATATATAAAGTCAACCGTTGATGGACATAAACAAATTTATTGTCGGAAAAAATATCAAAGGAAGTTATATATGAAACGTGGTTTCATTAAAAGTCCACGACGCAATATCAAATTTTCCAGAGCTATCACATGTAAAGGCAAGGAATCGATAGTTCATTAACTAGTCTGTTCACACGTCGACTATAATTAGACCTATAAATACATTATGAATGATTGCAATCGTCTCCTGCAAATAGCCAAATATACTATTCCATCGATTACACAACTTTGTAATCAAAGATTTCACTATTCCAAAGATTTTTTTATATTTTAGTGTCACGATTCCAAAGATTTTTTCATAATTGCTAAGTCGCAATCATGCCTCTTTTTTCATTCCTTGATTTCTAAGAAACCTCGATGCATTTAGCTTTGTTTTCTTTATGCGGTTTAATACTCCATAATTATGGTTTTCCTTTAGTATATCATAATTGATCACTATAGGTTTCATTTATGTACGTACGTATTATTATCGTCAAGCGCAGTAATCATTCTCATGATCATCTTAAAGTTGTTTAATGTTTCTTGACTTGATATTTTGGCTGGTTTATGTTGCAAGAGTTTGTTTATTTTCAATAAATGTGAGAGTAAACACACAAACAAATGCCTTATTAAAATTACAAATATAATAAGAATCATAGTATTAGTAAAATAGCCATGTAAAACAGTTTTGACTACCTCTAAAGACTAAAGCTACGAAAGACCAGCCAGTAAATGAAACCACGAAATTATATATACCCAAATTTTTTGACACAAAAAATTAGCTAATACGTACCTTTATGGAAATAGAGCACACATGATAAAGCATCTTGCGTTGAAAAGACAAAATCCCACTTCTTCACATCTCGTAAGCTTTACATTTTGTCAACTATATAATAAATATATATATATACAGCTGAGCTCTTACCATATTGTCTTCCAAAATCCAAACCGTCCAAGAAAACTTTCTTTTGTTTTTTCCAAGTACATAAACAAACATAAAAACAACAATAACTTTTTTTGGCCTTTTCTTATTGGTTATTAATAAGATTTTGGCCTTTTCTTATGCTTAAGTTTCTTCATTCATCGTTTACTTCCTCTCATCTACGATGGCCTTGAAATTCTCTCAGATTATGTTCGTAGCTCTCTGGCTCTCTCTCTTCTTCCTCCTCCTCCACCACTTGTACTCCTTCAACTTCCGCCGACTCTACTCTCTAGACGCGGAGAAGCCGTCGATATCGAAGCATCGTCTCTACACCATTGGATTAGTCAGCAGAAGAGCTCTCTCACACAGATTCGACTTCACGCCTTTCCAACGCCGAGAGAACAACTACCATCACCGTCGTTCCCGCGAGAAACCCACCGGCGATGAGATCGATCCTCGTTACGGAGTGGAGAAACGCCGTGTTCCCTCCGGACCTAATCCGTTGCACCATTGATTTGAGTGGTAATATTTGAAGACAACGATCAAGCCTTACCTAGCTTTTTTGTTTGTTTTTGCCTCAAAGAGGAAAACTAAGATTAATTACGCTTTTTATTTTGTTTTAAATACGATTTTTATATTTTTTTACAGTTTGGCTGTTTATACATTTATTTGTTTTTTATAATCAAACTAGGATATTTTAGCTTGTATTTAACGATTGTATCGGCAAAATTTTGGTTTCTTATGTTGACTGTTATATACTTATGTATATTGATCATTACTTAAAAGTTAAATTGAAAAAATTAGTCGTTGATTACAATGATGGATCTTTAATTAATTTCTTTGACTTTGGGATTAGCCAACCAGTAGCTGCGACGGCACGTCACAACTTGGAGATATTCTAGATGCGTTGTTATACCAACGATAAAATAATGAATGGTGTAAGATAAAAATAATGAATTGTGTAAGATAATTAAACAAAAACAAAATGGTAAGCAAGTAGTAGTATTAAATTTTGCAGCAGAGAAAACTAGGAACTATTTCATTTTTTAATTTTGTTTCACACCAGCGAAATTTGGACTACAAGTTTAATATAATTTCCTTTTGACGCTTATATAGCAAGCAACGCAAACAATTTTTGCAAATCGTCAATTCTCATTTCGAGAAAATAAAAATATAGTACGACTGTATGAGTATTGATCGTTTTCCCTTGAGTATATTGATTATTGAGTTTTTTTGGTTTTTGTTAAATGTGGAGTCTATCGACATGTTTGAAGAAAATATCATACCAAAAAAGACATTTATTTGGTAAGTCTGAGCATGACTTTGGCGCGTATAATGTCTTGCTGTCTTTTCGATAGAAACAAGGAAATTGTCATTTTACTTAAGTTTCACTGTCTCTCAATCTCAGGATGTGCCGACTTTTCCCTATTTGGTTGCTTTCTACACCACCAACCAAATGTTACTTTAACTTGTTAAATTATTATATTTAAATTACATAAAATGCATAAACGAATCCACTGCAAATGGTAAACGACTAAAATTGATCATTTTGGGTAAATGATATCGTCACTAGCATATTAAAACGATCGATTTGTGGGCATTTTGTTTTTACGATTTTTTTCTTCTCATAATAGTTATTGTTTGACCAAAAAAAGCAGCAGTTCACATTAGCCTATGTTGTGTACCCATCATTTTCTCAATGGGACAAGTTTCTAAGATTAGGTTTGTGTGGTATTTAAAATGTGTAATATGGTTTGGTACAAAAAGAAAAAGAAAATAAAATTCAATAACACACTGATTAATATTTTATTTATACATATAAAATATTCCTTTTCTTTCAACTACATTAATTCTTATAACTTAATAGAAAAAAAGAATTGTGTAAAATATATGTAAACAAAAAGAATTATACTGAAAGTACTGAGTAAATCATAGTAACAACTAAATTAATCCAATCAAGAACCAAAATGAAAGGTTATGATGCAAAAGTATCATTTTGAAGCCAATCAATAAAATCATAATTGGAAAAAGCCCAATAAGGCCCAATAGCTAATCCGATGTTTGCAAACTGCAAGTGGAAGCATCGAAGAGTTTGGTGGAGTCGGAAGTGACGATTACAGAGTAGTCTTAGAGCGGAGGAGAAGTGTTCTGTTCTGCAACTGTTTACTACTGCTTCCACGGCGGCGCGTGAAACAACCCAACAAGAAAGCTTTCAACTTCCCTTTTGGGCCTTCTTCTTCAGTTCCTCGATTCGAGTGTCATTTTCTTGATTTCAGATCTCCGTCAAGGCAAAAGTGTCAAAATTTGGGGTTACCCTCTCTTCCCCTCTTCAATTGATGCATTTGGGTCTCTAGGGCTCGACGGAAATGTTCACTCCGCAGAAGAATCCATGGTCGTCGACCGACCGGAAGGGAAAGGGCATAGCTTTTGCCGACGAAATCACCACACCTTCTCCGCCAACAAGTCTCCGCCGGGAGGATGATTGGCGGAAGTTCAAAGAGGTTGGGTTGCTCGACGAAGCCTCTCTGGAAAGTAAAGACATTGATGCTCTCTTAGAGAAGAACCTAAAGCTTGAAAAAGAGGTAAACAAAGTTCGGATTTTTATTCTTCTGCACTTTGTGAAATTAAACACCTTTTGATGTTTTTTCAAATTCCGTTGTTGCAGCTGTTTGATTACCAACATAACATGGGGCTTCTGCTAATTGAGAAGAAGAAGTGGACTTCGGAAAATGAAGAACTCAAGCAAGCATTTGATGAAGTTAACGAGATGCTCAAACGTGAAAGGACGTCAAATTTGATTGCTTTAAACGAATCTGAGAACAGAGAGGAGAAGCTGAGGAAAGCTTTGATCTCCGAGAAGCAATTTGCAGCTGAGGTAACTAAAAAAAATTCTTCTTTTTTTTGATTCTTCTCTCTTTAAATGAGTTTGATGTTTATTAGACGTTTTCTAATGTTGTTATATTTCAGCTTGAAAGAGATTTGAAGTATTTGCAACAAGAACACTCTGAGGTGAAGTCTACTTCTGAGGCAAAGTTAGCTGAAGCAAATGCTTTGGTTTTGGGTATTAAGGATCATTCTTTAGAGGTGGATAGAAAGAGAGCTGTTGCTGAAGAAAAGCTTGCAGTGATTAGTCGAAAGAGTTCTGAGTTAGAAAGGAAGCTAAAGGACGTGGAGACCCGTGAGAAGATTCTCAAAAGGGATCATCTTTCTCTTGTTACAGAGTATGAAAGATCACATTTTTATTTACTTACTTGTTTGTTAGTATGGATATTTGGTCTCACGCTTTCTCTTTTGACTTATGTTTCTTAGACGAGAAGCACATGAGGCAGTGTTCTACAAGCAGAGAGAAGACCTAACGGAATGGGAGAAGAAGCTAACGGTTGAAAAAAGTAGTTTGTCTGAAGCTAAAAGAAGTGTTAACCATGTAGAAGAAAGAAATACTGAAAGTGAAAGAGCTATCAAGAAGAAGGAGATGGCACTTGGAGAGATGCAGCAAAAGATTGATATTGCTAAGTCAGAGTTAAAAGAGAGAGAAGAAGCCATAAACGCTATGCTGAACGATATTTCTATGAAGGAAAAAGTGAGTTTTCTAGTTGCAGTTAGTTTTCACTTGCGGTAACATTTGGTCAGAGTTATAGCATTTGGTTGTTGTTTTCAGGAATTTGAGGCCATGAAGACTAAGGTTGATATGAAGGAGAAGGAGCTCCATGAGCTTGAGGAGAAACTTATTGTGAGGGAGCAGGTCAGCCTCAACTTTCCTGAAACTTTCTTTGATTTTTTATTTGAAATTGTAATAAACACATCATAGAGAAGTGACACGGTGATTAAAAATTTAACAGATTGAGATTGGGAAGGTCCTTGATGATCAGAAGGCTGTTCTAGATTCCAGAAGGCAGGACTTTGAAATGGAGCTTGTACAGATGAGAATATCCCTTGATGAAGAACTTGAGAAAAAGAAAGGTGAAATTGAGCAGCTGCAAGTTGAGATGAGCCACAAGGGAGAGCAGCTGGGGAAGAGAGAGGAGAGTGTGAAGGAAAAAGAGAAGGATCTTGAAGCAAGAGAAAAAGCTGTAAAAACCGAAGAGAAAAAGCTGCATATGGAAAACGAGCGGTTGCTCGAAGATAAGGAAAGTCTGCGTAAACTAAAAGAGGAGATTGAAGAGATCGGGGATGAGACAACAAAGCAGGAGTTGAGGATTCGCAAAGAACATGAGAGTCTCAAGATAACGAAAGAAGAGAGACTCGAGTTTCTAAAGCTGCAGTCTGAACTGAAGGAGCAGATAGATAGAGTTAAGCAAGATCAGGAGTTGCTCGTGAAGGAACGCGAAGAACTGAAACAAGACAAGGGGAGATTTGAGAAAGAGTGGGAAGCATTGGATGAGAAGAAGGCTGACATAAGTAGAAAGCAAAAGGAAGTTACTGAAGATAAGATAAAGAAGGAGTTGGACGATGTTGAAGATCTTGAAAAGCAGAGAAGGAATCTTGACATGGAGAAAGAGATGGAAGAATTGCAGTACGAGAAGCTTGCTCTGAAGCAGCAAAGAGAAGAAATTTCTATCGAGAAGAAGAAGTTGGAAAAACAGTTTAGTGATTTGTTCAAGGACGTCGATCAGGTAGATGAAGTTAGAATCTCTTTGAAGGAGCAACGAGACGAGTTATGCAGTGCAAGGGAGCGTTTCGTAGTATTTCTGAGAGACATAAAGATCTGCGATGTCTGTTCCGTAAAATTCAAGAAGTTCATTCACCCTAATCGAGTAGCCGACAAACTTTCCGAAGATAGCAAAAGCACATCTTTGATTGCTACACTCGCTGCGGCCAAGCAACCTGAGGATTCTGTGCATACATCTTACATTGAGACACTCAGGCGAGTGGCAGGCAAAGATCATGAACCATCTGCTTCCGAACAGAGTTTCACAGAGAGTAAAATAAATGGAGGTCATGAAGTTTCCTTGCAATCAGAGTCAAAGAGTGGTAAACCTAGACGTGGTAGAGCTAAGGGTAAGTCTGTTAGAGGAAGGTCGAAGGCAACAGAAGCTGCGTCTAGAGATTCAAAACCATCTGAGGCTGAAACTCCAAGGAAGCGACAACGTGAACATGTTTCTAGAATGACAGAAAGTGAACACGCAGCTGGTGATAGCGATGATGGTGTAGACAGTATCGCAACTGGTGGACGTAGGAAGAAGAGACAGACAGTGATTCCAGTCTCTCAGACGCTTGGTCAAAGCCGATATTATCTCAGGAGACATAGAAAGTAAGGCCCTTTTGCTTGGTTTTTGAATTGGAAAAATCTGGAGTTCAGTTTACATGTGAAACTTATATTTTTGTATGGATGATCCTTTCAGTGTAGGAACAGAAGAAGATAAAGCACAAGCATCAACAGGTGCCATGGAGAAACAAGAGAGTGATATCAGAACAGTTCCAAGTCCAGAGGATAATCTTACTCCACCACAAGTTGAGAACAGGCAAAATGGTAAAGCTGAAATATTAGTGGAGACGGTAACAGTAACACAGAAGGAGATTGTTGAGGTATGATCTTTCTGTAACATTTGAGTTAGATAAAAAAATTTCCAGCATGTGCATATGTTCTTTCTTTCTTACTTAAAGGAACATGTGGGCATGTTAACCTTACAATTTAGTTATTCTGAGCCATTGGTTTGATACAGGTTGAAGAAGAGACTGAGTTCAAGGATAACAATATGGTAAAGACGCCAGTCAAAGATCAACAGTTCAGAGCTGAAAGAAAAGAGCATGGTGAAGAGGATAAAAATGGGAATTTTAGCATGATCCAAGAAGAAAATGAAGAAGAAGAAGGAGAGGAAACAGAGCGTCCAGGTGAAGCTTCCATAGGAAAGAAGATTTGGGTCTTTTTCACTACCTAATCATTCTCTCTCTCTCTCTCTCTCTCTCCCACAAGTAGGATTATTCAAGAGGAAAAGAAAACATCTTGTTATGTGTTGGTTCTTTTTTGTTTTAACTTTACTTTCTTTTCTAAGTGACTGAAACAAAAGAAAGTAAAATCTTGGAAGCTATGGGCGTTTTAGGAACTGCAGGATTTGATTCTACTTTGCTTTCTTCATAGATAAATGCTGGTGTTGAAGGAAACCGAACTAGATTCAGAGGTAAGAAACAAAGTTACTTAAGTCATTGTCATGGACCTGACATCTTTTTTTGGTTATGTTTGCCTGAAAACCGCCAAACAATGAAAAAGTGAGAGTCCAAAACACAAAATGGTTAAAAAGCAGAAAAGGACTAGACGGCTTAGATGTAGGATCTTACCAAGATTTCAATTTTTAATTGATAGATTTATAGTGAGTAGATAGTAGATATGCCTCACCTTTCAATGTTAAGACAAAAACAGAGTGGTCCAAAAGAAAGAAGGCCATGCATGAACATCACTTACTCCTCATTACACTCTTTGAAAAAATATCCTCATTTTGCAAAGTCCAGTGACATTGAATTAGCCATGAGTAATGTTTGGTTAATGTAAAAATTTAGTTAATTAAGAACATTAAGAAAAACTGATTAGTTGTTCCAACCACCAATTAAGCTTCTTCCTTGTTATTTTTTAGTCTTTAACCATCTTCTTCCAAGGTTTGTTTTTAAATTCTTTTTGAAGAAATATAGTAGTAACTGTTTTTGAAGAAAATGACACTTCAGAAACCTATCAAGAAAAAACCAATGAAAATTAATAAATCTGGAGGCTACTGCAGAATTAACAGAGTCCTCTTATATTAAAGACTCGATATTTTCTCTGCCTTTCGCTTTCACTCTACCTTCTTCTCTCTTCTTATCATTTTCATTGCCATTATTGTTTACTTCTTTTTCTCTGCTTTGGTTACTGTGTCTTTGCTTTTAAAGATTTCGTTTTTATGAATTTTAATTGCTAATGCTAAGTCGTTGTCTAAATCTCTGGTTATATACCCTATAACTTTACAACTTACTCCAATTTGCTTATATTATATGGATTAAACAGCCATAAATCTGTTATGAGCATGTCAAAAATTGTAACCTTATAATATTTTTTCTGTTAGCCCATAATTTTCAATTTTGTCATATTGTAAGGTGCTTATATATACAGCTGTGCTAGATGTAATCATAAGTTAGAGAAATACAGATTTGTCTTTTCCTCTCTTGTTCTTTCTTGGGGTCTTCTTCTTGGCTTTTCCTCTGTAATAAACCCTAAAGAGCAGCAAAGACAGAAACCTTCTAAAGCTTTCTCTTCTTTCTCATGACATTTAATTGTCTGAAACCAAAGTCTTTAGGAGAAAAAAGACTTTTTTTTTTGTTCAAAAGAAAAAAGACTTTAAAGGGTTATTTTCTTGAACAAAAATCTTGTGAACAAATCAACCAACATTCATGGTTTTCAAAAGGGTCCCATGAACCTATTGTGGTGAATGGTGATATATTTGTTTTCATCTTCCAACATTTGCTTCAAAGACCCACCTAATTATTGATTCTGTTTGTCTTTTTAAACGTTCTCTTGATATAAACAAGAGGAATATCTCTAACACAGATAAGATCCACACAACACTTGTTTTTTTCCCTTTCTTCTCATTATAGCCACAATGAAGATGCTTACATTCAGAAAGAAGCAGCATTTGGTCTTTTTACTATGTGTGTGGTGTTTGGTGGTGGATTGGAGCAAGGCAGAAGCAGATGAAAGTGAAGGAGGTCCAATGGAGAAAACAGAGCAAGCTGCTCTCTACTCTACAATTCAAGGCTTTGTTGGTGATTCTTGGAATGGTTCTTATTTGTATCCTGACCCTTGTGGTTGGACTCCTATTCAGGTACACTCTCTCATCATTTCTTCTGATCTTATTTTGGGTCCTTTCAAGAACAACAAAAAGTTACCAATTATGAAAAAGAAAACAAAAATCTATCTTGCCAAGTGGCAACCAATGATATAAGATGTTTAAGCTTATCAAAATTCTGATTCTTTGAATTCTATAACCGATCAAAATGGTTGAAAAGCTGATGTAAGTAACTTTTTTGGTTTTGCCAATAACGTAATCTCACGCCAGAAGATAGAAAAACAGATTCTTTTACTTACTTTTATTAGCAATTAGTATTCAAAATTCCTCTGTTCCATTTGTTGTGTACTCAACTTCACCAGAGTGATAATTGTTTATAGTTATTAATTTGCTTCAGTCTCAGAGAACAAATTCACTTCCTTTTTGGTGTAACATTACATTTCAATATATTTTTTAATGTTCTTAAAATTTTCAATATTTTTGTTGTTTTATCTTTTCAGGGTGTGACTTGTGATATGTACAATGATCTTTGGTATGTAACTGCTTTAAGCTTGGGGACTATGCGAGACAACTCTCTTGCTTGTTCTGAGACTCCAGTGATCAGACAAGAACTCTTTGAGCTCAAGCACCTCAAGTCTCTCTCTCTTTTCAGCTGCTTCACATCACCAAACCGATATCTAGCTTCAATATCAGATGAGAAGTGGCTTGATCTCTCTAAGAACTTGGAGACACTTGAGATCAGATCAAATCCGGGGCTGATAGGTGAACTCCCTTCTGCCATCACTAACCTGACCAACCTACAATCTCTTGTGGTTTTAGAAAACCAGTTAACAAATTCCTTGCCAGAGAATTTAGCCAAGTTAACCAGACTGAGGCGCTTAGTACTGTCTGGAAACCGGTTCACAGGAAGAATACCGGAGATTTATGGCTTAACCGGACTGTTGATCTTGGATCTGAGCAGGAACTTCTTATCTGGGTCATTGCCTTTAAGCGTTGGAGGGTTGAGTTCGCTGCTGAAACTCGATCTCAGTAACAATTACTTGGAGGGAAAGTTACCTACAGAGCTACAGGCCTTAAAGAACCTGACTCTTCTGGATCTTAGGAACAACAGATTCTCAGGTGGATTGACTAGAGAGCTCCAAGAGATGAGTTCTTTGGTAGAACTTGTTTTGTCCAATAACCATCTCGCCGGGGACTTAACAGGAATAGAGTGGAGAAATCTAAAGAATTTGGTGGTTTTGGATCTTTCAAACACAGGGTTAAAAGGGGAGATTCCTTGGTCAATCTTGGAGCTCAAGAAACTGAGGTTCTTGGGTCTAAGCAACAACAATCTCAGAGGGAAACTCATCCGTCAAGTGGAAACCGAAATGCCTTGTCTCAACGCTCTCTATGTAAATGGAAATAACATCAGTGGAGAGCTGGAGTTCTCTAGAATGTTCTATGAAAGGATGGGAAGGAGACTTGGTGTTTGGGGAAACCCTAATCTGTGTTACCATGGAGATGAAATCAAGAACCATCGTGATCATGTTCCTTTTGGAGTGAACCAATGCAAGGCGGTGACTTTGGTTTAAGCCAAATATCATCAGAACGGTTCTGACAGAACCCTCGTTTTTCTATCAAAGGGTTTGGTAATAACATCTATGCATTTGTTCAACTTTACATCAAATCTTAAGAAAACCAAATTATATCCTTCTTTGATTATTTCTCTTTTTTAGTTTGTTACTAATAGTAGTGTTCTGCCTTCAAGGACCAAACGTAATGTTGGTATTATATGTATTTTTAGAAATATAAGTTTCAACTTTATCAAGGAAGAAGTGCATGACTTTTTGCGACATGTCCAAACGTGGGAGGTATGTTTGAAGTTTATTTTGTTTTGGCATTTTATAAGATACAGAAAAAAATCTATTCAAAAGAAGGAAATAAAAAACTATTCCGTGAAGAAGTCTGATATTAGATGAAGAAATCAGGTGGATATCCAAATCAAAACTGGAGTGAATGAAAAAAAAAATGTGACTCATGAAAGCCACTTGTCAAGCTGTCAAATATAGTGTATATAGCGAGTCAACTCTCCAAACTACTTTTTCTCTTAATTTCTTAAAATACCTTCTCACGCAAAAGATATAGTTGGTATACATTGTTTTTACGTGTTTTCTGCATGAATTTTCACAATCTTCCAATGTAATACATACATCAATCTGTGTATGAAAGCACTTAGTTAATTAATGCTATACATTCGTTTAAGTCGTGTAGATCCATGTGTTGAAAGCACTTGGGTTTTTTTCGTATCATGATTATCCTACAAAAGTTGCTAGTTCTAAATCTAATTCTTTTACGATATGGTATAACACTTTCGTCCTTTATTTTAGCCTTTTAGTGTCTAGCATGTAATCTTATACACGTTTTGACGGTTTTACATACGATTTCAGCTACTTCTTATAATTTAGGTTACTAATTTTTGTTTAATTTTCTAAGGGTGTTATCTCTTTTTTATTTGCGCCCGGAAAATATTTCTGTGCTCAAGATGTAACAATAATATCATTTATTGTATGATATATACGAAAGCCAAAAGCTAATCTTGCTTCACTATTTCATTATTCCTATCTTATGATAATTACTGTTGTAAGTTGAAAATTAGAAAACAAAACAAAACAAGCAAACAGTGATGATGTCCGCAAAACCTTTAAATATTATCGTCAACCAAATAAAATATAAAACCTTGAAAACAGATTCACATTTCGTCCTAAGTAAAATGGACTTCATTCAAAACATATGTAGAAGAAAACAAATAAAAGTCGAAGGCGGCGACTGAAAACTCAAAGAAAAACACAAAAAGAAGAAAAACTCAACCTTTGAAAATTTTCGATATTAAAATAAAAAGGAAAATTCAAAGTCGCATTAGCGTAGGATTCACTCCTCTCTTCCCATTCCACTCTTTCCCCCACATTTCCGCCACACTTATTTCCACATCAAATCCCACACATACACATGTTATATATACACACACAAACACATTATTTGTTCATCATAATCATTTCATTCATTCTTTACTTACAAGAAGAAGAAGTGAAATAGAAAAAGAAGAGATATTACCAAATGGCTCCGTGTCGACGTACGATGCTTCTCCTGTGTCTTGTTCTGTTTCTGGCGGCGAGTAGTTCTTGTGTGGCTGCTGCAAGAATCGGAGCCACGATGGAGATGAAGAATAGGAAGAGCTTAGGGTTTAAACAAAACCATATTTTTGGTTACCTACCAAAAGGTGTTTCCATTCCTCCTTCTGGTCCTTCTAAGAGACACAACTCTCTTGTTGACTCTCTTCCTCACTAATTTATCATTTTTTTCCTTCTTTTCATTCATTGTATTTTTGGGGTGTTTTTTGTAGATCAGATCAACATAGTTTCATAGGATATAACTCTTGGTATGTACTTGCATATGTCTATATATACACTTTTGAATTATTTGATTTGTATGGACTAATATTTGTTAAGGCCATGATGGCCATATATATAAAGATCAAGAAATGGACTAAGCTTGTTAGCCTTGTTTCTAATCTATACTTGTAATTAAGCATCTTCATATGCATCACACATCCGATGCTTAATCAAACACATGTTACTATCAATCTTATTATGTTCTTTAAATTTTTAAAATTTTCTTTGTTATGTTCTTTAATTACGTCACAAGCTCGTGAAGATATACTTCAATTATTAGTCACCATTCCACTTTCGTTTTATAAAGAAACAGCTAAAAGTTACGATATTAGTTAAATACATACACCAAATACACTTGTATTGTTACATTTGTCTTTCTCTTAAGAAGATATACATACTTTTTTAAAAATACATACCAATTATGTCCAATAGTTTTAAGGAGATAGTGGATTCAAACATAGAGAAATAAATCCACAAGACATAGAACAAACATGTTAATGCAACACAAATCTTTTCTCTTAAAGATTATAATTAAATTACAAGGAAAATAGAGACAAGACAAAGAAACTTAAAAATAATAAAAAAGAAAGAAAGAGGGGCGTTCCGAGAATTGAACTCGGGACCTCTCGCACCCTAAGCGAGAATCATACCACTAGACCAAACGCCCTTTTTGAAACATTTGATTCAATTTAACAATTTCTATAAACCTCTCAGATTTCGCCGTCGCCATCGCCGGAGAAAGGATTGAATCCACTTCTCACCATTTTCTCAAGCGGCCAGAACAAAGGCGTCGGAAGATTCCGCCAATCGAACCAATCCCAACCATCGCACTTCTCCGGCTCCATATTCCTCGGCGACTGATTCGGATCCACCAGCGTCGCACGCATGAATACAGTGACGTAGTGCGATGGCTTTGGTGCTTCCTTGAAGACGTTGTTAGTGACAGTCAATAGCGTCATCTTCTCTATCTCTAGCCCCGTTTCCTCCATCACTTCTCTCGCCGCACATCCTTCGAAACTCTCACCTGCTCAGAAATTCAATTAAACGGCAGAGATTAGCTGAAAATTTTACAGAAGCGCGAGTTGGATTTGGGGAGAGAGAGATGGACCGAACCGAATTCGAGATGGCCGCCGGGAAGAGCGAAGGTGGAGTGGCCGATTGAAGAGCGGCGAAGACCTAACAACACTGAATTTTCCTTGACGACGAAAACCACGACGGCGACTTTCGGCATCGGAACTTCTTCGGTCTCCATTTTTTTTTCGGTCTCCGATTCGTTCACTGAAACAAACGCCTTTATTCGCTACTTGTTTTAGCGTTTACTTTATTGACTATTTGAAACGGTGTCGTGTGATTCACTTTCGGATTTAGTTTAGGGCCCAAATGTGTTGCTAGACCCAAAGGCTAGGCCCATACGCTTAACATTTCCTCTTAATTTTTTTTTATAATTATCATAATGAATTTGTTCAATATTAATATGGAACTAGGTTTTTGACCTAAGCTGCTAATATCTTAAATATATTTTCCATATTATAACAGAGAAACACTACATATTCTAACGGAAAAAAGTATCTTCTATGTCTCACCAAGTACTAAATAATAAGTTATAACCTTTAAAATTTAACTGTGTATTTCCATCATTTTTTTTCCTAATTGTATGTTTCCAAAGTTCAAGAAAGCAATAGAGATTATTTGACTCTCTCATTTTAATCGAAATCGAAACTATCGTTGATATATAGCATGTATTATTCGAAAGTAGGAAGTTATGAATCCTAATATCCTTATGGAGTTGAGCTTTTATTATTTGATGAAATATGCTTATTATAGAATTAGTACATAAATATTACTCTTTATTATACAGAAGAACTGAAATATATTATGTTATATTCAAAGATTTCTTTTATCGGTTTTCAATATTATTTTAGTTACATTTAAAAGTAATCATGTTTTGTTTAATATATTTTCTGTAAATTGTTTAAAAAAATCTGAAGATAAACTCCGCGCATACGCGAGGCCTTCTCTATTAAAATAAAACAAAAAATGAAATAGGATAATTTATTAGCTGTAAAAAAAAAGAAAATTTATTATTAAATAAAAACAATATAGGATAAATTTAAGTGTTTTTTTTTTGCGAGTTTATCCTAGATTGGAAGGGAGTTGCAATTGGGCGTGTATAAATATAGTTGGTGGTAAAATAATTAGTTCCGGGACCCCAACTTTATATTAAAAAACATCCATCTCTCTTTCTCGTTTTAAAAGCTACGATCGCTTGCCCAGAATGGCCGCCGAACGGTCCAAACTTACTGTTTTACTGAATGTCATACTATTCGCCATGGTGGTGTTGGTGTACTCCGGTTTTTCAACGGAAGTTAAGGTCAGACTCGCGTTCAAGAAGACTTACCCCGAACCTGCGACTAAATCTTTCATCGAGGGTTTCCTATCTACTCTTGGTATTGGTGAAGCCGTGCACATATTTGCCTTCCTACTGTACTACACAGTCCGCAAAGATTGCTTGATCACGCGAGTGGTGGTAGACGAACTTTCTGTTATGGTGGGATGTGTCTTATTGGGCATACTTTCATTGAAGATTGATCCCTATCCCGCCGGTGTAGTTGTAGGATTCTCCGTCGTTGTGGGTGCATACAGTATTTACATGATGATTCGTAGAGTGGTGGCAGTGCTTCGCATGAGGAATGAGAAGATCCGTCCGGAGGTAAAGATTGGCGCCTGAGAACACAGTGGAGGTGGCGGCTTTAATAATCGGCAAACAAAAAAACTTATAATTGTGTTCTATCGGTTTATGTGCTTTTTTGTGAGTTTTAAAAGTGTTTTTTTTTTTCTTTTGATTTAGCAGAACGTTTTAGCATTGACATGACAAAAAAGGGTTTTATGAATGCAATGTAAATGATAAAATCAGCTTGCTGACCCAAATAACAGGTAACACAAAGTAGAACATGAACATGAAAACCAGAAAGAACAAACTGCTAAAGCCAACAGAGTGACGTAACCCACACGCAACCTAAAGTCACACTCAAAACTTACTGTGAAAAAAAAACTTCAGCCAACATGACTTAAAAAAAAAACTCAATTCCTTGAAGAATTTCTTTAATATCTTGACGACCATCCTGTAGCAAGTGATCTTTAGATGATGCTGACGTACTCGTGGCTTTACACTTCCGTTCTGGCACTTGTCTTGATAACATCCAACGTACGAATATCCTCTACATGGTCTACAAATACTTTAATATTGCCAACAAGCTCACCAAAACCTTGGATTTCAACACTCTGGAGAACGCTGCTTTCGGGATTGAAGTAGAAAACATAAAACGGTTTGCATGCAACTCTCCTCTTCATTGACAAAACAATATCACCTCTAGAAGTCACTCCAGCAACGAAAACTTCTTCATCAACAATTTTATCATCCGACAAAGTGAAGACATTTGCCGAGCCTTCCTGTTCCTCGACATCCTCTAGAACCCACATTGTCAACTCAAGGACACGCCTTCCAATATCATCTTTACCATACTCCAAACTAACCCCACCTAATCTACCTTTATAATTTATCAATTTAGCACCATGTATTAAACCAACGTGACATCGTCCAGTATCAATGTTTTTGAATTTCTCAGACCTAACATCAAGGCAAATAGTGTTCATATGGGTCGACGTTTCGTCAGCAGACCTTGAAGCCAAGTAATACAAAACCCCATTGATGCATATCCCTTCACTCGAACGATTGTTGTACCAGGGAAAACCGTTTATACTCCTCCACGTAGGTTCTTCAGTTCCCAATGTCAGAATTTTCCAAAAATCCGTCTCCATAAAACATGGATAAGTACCCTCCGCGAATACCTTGAATTGCTTCCCAACCGGATCAAACCCTAAAAAGCTTGGCGACGCATTCCTGTGTTTATTCACTTCAGGTAAGATCGCATGCTGTCCTGTCATAGGGTTACATACCACATCAAAATACCTGTTTGGGAACCACATGTTAGGGAAAAGTATCAAACCAGAGGCATAGGCACAACCGTGTCTAAAAGTGTATCCACGGATCTTTGTATGGAAATCGGCAGATACTACGATGGTTTATTTAAGTTTGTTTGTTAACTTTTCACCAAAAAAAAAAGTTTGTTTGTTAACTTTCGTTTTAATTTGAGTGAAATGTTAAAAATTTATGTTTAAGTTAATTCTACAATCTACGTATGTCGAGTTTTTTTTTTGTCAAATATAAATCAAATTTAGTCAATTGTTTTGTTTTAAAATAAGATAAAATTTGGAAAAATACCTTCCTTATATTTTTAAATTTAAAAAATACCCTTCTTTTTATACTTTTAGAAAAATATACCTTTTCAATCTAATTTACTGAAATATCTTTACTAAAACTGAATAAATTGTATATTCCAAAGATTATTATTTCAAGATTTTTCAAACAAATTACAAAAATATAGATTTTCAATGCTAAGGTTTTCACTTTATGTGAAATTTTAAATAATTGTTGTTAAAATCAATTGCGGGAAACTATATATATATATACGAATGATATTAGGGTTGCATATGTTGTTGAGTAATTAAAATGCCTTAGCAAAAAATAAAAATAAAATATAAGCAATATTCAGTGAAAAATAATAATACTAGCAATATATAAAAAAGAAAGATATGAAAAAATTTATAAAAAAATAAGATATTGCAAAGATTTCATTAAGGGCGTCATGTTAATTATGCGGCTGAAAGCGAACATGGTCCCTCGATATGAAATTCTGATTTCACAAATACTATAATGACTAGTAGAGGACCCGCACGTTTGTGCGGTGTGATGTTGCGGTTTAGTGAAGACATTCTAATATCTTAACCTCAAAATATATCACCTCATGAAGTAAAAAATTGGGTATTTTTACTATTAAAATTGAAGTATTTGCGGTTTTTGTGGTTTTTCATGAAAACCTGTCTGTAAAAACCAAACAAAAACGGTCAAAAACCTTTTTTTTTTAAACCAAAAAATCTGAAAATCCAAAATCCTTTAAAATCCAAAAAAATCCAAGATATTTACAGAAATTCAAAAAATATGAAAAACCTTGAACTGAACCAAAAAAAAACTCGAACTCAAACCGAATAGAAATTTTCAAAAAAACCTCAATTTCTATATCTCTATATATCTATAAAATTAGGTATGAAATTATCATCCAAACTCGAACTTGTTTAGAAAAATCCAAACCAAACCCGATTCAGAAATTTAAAAAACTTGAACGGCTTTTATATCACTAAACCCAAAAACCAAAAAAAAACTTTAAAAGAAACCTGAATTGAACCCGAATTAAAATTAAAAAAAAACTTTAAATCTGAAAATCCAAAATATTATTCTACTAATTTGGTATTATCGTTAGATTATGTTAAGTTTTTTTTTTTTTTGTAGATTTTTAAGAGCTTGAAAACAGAAGTTTTCTAAACCATCAGTTTGTTTTAAGTTATTATTCTTGTATCCAAACAATTTTTTCCATTTATTCTTCTATCCAAATAGTTTTTTTTTCTCTTATTCTTGTATCCAAACATTACAATGTACTAAATTGACCCTCATTAAATCTGTTGCCAAACACTTTTTCTTCATAACTAGATTAGTTTTTTGGTCAAAAGTTTTTCATATACTTCTCAATTAATATGTACTTCTCAATTAATAATGTAAAGATACCTAGAGAAACCTATAGTTTAAAAAGTGTTTTTAGCAAAGAAAAATAAATCAAGTTTCGTTTTTTTTTGAGTCAAAAGTGACAACTTATGTTTGAGTTAATTACACAATCCACGTATGTCGAGCCTTTTTTTATTAAATATAAATCAAGTTTTGCCAACTGTTTTGTTTCAAATGAGAAAATTTGGAAAAATAACCTTCTTTTTATACTTTTTGAAACTACATTTTTCAATCTAATTTACTGAAATATCTTTATTAAAACTGAGTAAATTTTATATTCCAAAGAAGATTATCTTATACTAGATAACGTTTTTTATTTTATGATTTTTGAAACAAATACAAAAAAATATTAATTGATAGAATTTGTTTTTTTTGTTAATGTTCACATAGGTTTTATATTATAGAACTATTTTGTTTTGAAAAAGGAAAGAAATATGAGAGGCTGTGACTACTACTTAAAAAAAATATTAAATGTTTATCATATATTTTTTAAATAACTTTTTTCTGTGTATTATTTTTTTTTTAAATAATTATTTGTCCCCACTGCTTTTATATGATAGAATCATTTGTTTTTTCGAAAAGGATAGAAATCTGAGAGGCTATCACTATTCCTTAGAAAATATTATTAAATCTTTATCATATAAATTGTTTACTAATTTATCCAGTGTATTTAATATTGTTTTTTTGAAAATATAAAAAAATTATTAATTTGTCCACGTAGGTTTTATATGATAGAAATATTTTTTTGTTTTGAAAAAGGAAAGAAATCTGTCACTACTCCTTAAAAATATATTTAATGTTTAAATATTAATTTTTTACTAATTTATCCTGTAAATTTAATATTTTTTTAAAATATAAATTTGTCGACATATATAGGTTTTATATGATAAGAGTAATTTTTTTGAAAAAGGAAAGAAATCTGAGGAGGCTGTCACTGCTCCTTAAAAAATATTCCCTCCGTTTTATAATAAGTGTCCTTTTGACTTTTGACTTACCCAATGTATCTAGATATATGTGAATGTATTAAGACTCAAAACATATCCAGATACATCATTAAATTGTCCATATTCATTTTGTCAAAACGACACTTATTATGAAACGGAGGGAGTATATTAAATGTTTAAGTATCATTTTTTTTACTAATTTATCCTGTAAATTTAATATTTTTTTAAAATATAAATTTGTCCACATATATAGGTTTTATATGGTAGAGTATTTTTTTTGAAAAAGGGAAGAAATCTGAGAGGCTGTCACTACTCCTTAAAAAACAAATTAATTGTTTATCATATAATATTTTTAATAATTTATTCAGTGTACATATTTTTAAAATATTGATTTGTTTATATGATAGAATTATGTTTTTGAAAAAGGAAATAAATCTGAGAGGCTGTCACTCATATCCATTCGGTCACAATCCATTAATGTTACCCTTACCTTTTCTTTTGTCTTTATCCAAATTTGATATTTTATTTGTAACGTCTCCAGAGTGAATCTTTCTACGTTGTTGACAGAGGAGCGTCAAAACCCTAACGCCTCTATGCTTTAAATACACTTTGTTTCCACCCACATTTTTGTAGCCGTTAATTTGCTCAGTGACTCTCATCAATATATCTCACGAGGGAAAGTGGTGACCTTGTCCGCAGCGGCGCAGCCATAGAGAAACCAACGTTGCCATTCACAAAGCGGTTGTCTTTGAGGAGATATATACCTTCACCTTCTCCCGCTGAATCTCCGAAATCTTCCGGTAGTGATTCAACCCAACGACGATCTCAGGCTCACAAACTTATTTCACGAATTATGCTTCGGAGACAACGGTTTCTGTGATCTCAGGTACATATGTTTCTTCCCCTTTGATTCCTTGTAGGTGGTAATGATATGGGTTTGAAACTCTTAGTGTTAAACTCTTACTGTGCATTGATAGGATTGGTAGAGTTTCTTAGGAGTTTTTGATGGGCTTGAACATGGGAATTCTGTGGAATTTGTGGCTGAGGATTTGCACAAAAATGTTTTTGAGATGATGGAGAATTGTGAGGAGAAGGAGGAGAAAGAAGACGAAGCCTTTAGAGCTGCTTACTTGAAAACTGAAAGTGATTTCTTCGAAAAGGTCCCCATCTTAACAAAAAACAATACTTCAAATTTTCCATGAGTAGTTACAATCTTTCTTGAACTTACTAGTAAGAACAAAATGCAGGTGTTAAAGAGTAGTGCCTGCTTTGTTACGGTTTTGATACAAGATCAGGAGATGATTGTGTCGAGTTTGGGAGATTGTAGAGCTGTTCTGTGTGGAGAAAGAGGAGTTTTTGAGGCTCTCGCAAGTGATCACAAAGCTGCAGGAACGGATCAGGTAAGGGTTGTAAAAGAAAAGTGTAACCTTTTGTTTCATTATGTATGTTGAGAGTAGCTTTTGATATACTTCACATGACATTTTTGCTGCTATAGGGAGGTCATGTCGCTGTTTTCCAAAGCATTAAAGATGCAAACTTGAAGAAATGGGTGATTGGTGAACACAAGACATTAAAGCTGAAGATTGAAGACCGTTACCATCCTTCATTGATTGGATTCGTAGAGCTTCTTTGGAGTTTATGATGGCCTTGAACTTGTGAATGCTGTGGAATTTGTGGACAAGGAACGGACAGAAAACTCATGTCAACGACCTGGAATCTTTTGGTTCCTTTTTGCTTCCCCTTGATTGGATCTCTTTCAGACCCAGTGTCAGTTGACTCGCAATGATCACCTTGATCAACTGACAGTGGGTTTGAGAGAGATCCAATCAAGGGGAAGCAGAGAAACAAAAGATTTCAGGTCGTTGACATTAGTGATGTAGATCCCGGTGAGAGTTTTCTCTTTGTTCCTTGTCTTCCTTCATAAGGTCATAATAGAGGAGTTTCAGTTTTTGGAATAATAGAAATTCATAAAAAATAAAATATTATTTCTTGTGTTTCACCTTTCACGGTTATCAGCGAAAAAAGACAGCACAAAAAAATCGGTTATAAGTGAATGTTTTTGTAACCAAGAGCTATTTCTAAAAAAAAGGTTTGTAACAAAGACTTACAACCATAAAATGCATTAATTCGGTTTGCTATCATATTTTGGTTGAAGAAGAAAACAAAAAATTAGAAAAATGTCATCTTGAATTTATTATTTGTGTAAACATTTTCAGACTTTTTCACTTATAACATGATTTTTTTTTCAATATTAAACGCGCTTATAAAAATTAGTTAACGACTTAACGTCCAAGAAAAATAAAGTTTATTTGGTCATTGTTTTATCAATTAATGTTCGATGTCAATTATTTTGGCTCCACTTAATCAACCAAGCAACGTTATGTTTTACGTCAATATAGTTGTGTTCTACCGCTTTATGTGCTTTTTGTGAATCTAAAAAGTATTTTTTTTCTTTTGTTTTAGCAGAATATTTTGGCATTGACATGACAAAAAAAAGAGGATTATGAAATGCAATGTATATAGGATAAAAATCAGTTTGCTGACCCAAATAACGGGTAACACAATCAGGACATGAACATGAAAACCAGAAGGAACAAACTGGTAAAGCCAACATAGTGACATAACTCACACGCAACCTGTAGAGAAAGTCGCACTCAAAACTTACTATGAAAAAAAAACTTCAGCCAACATGAATAATAAAAAAAAAACTCAATTCCTTGAAGAATTTCTTTAATATCTTGACGACCATATTGTAGCAAGTGAGCTTAAGATGATGTTGATGTACTCGTGGCTTTACTCTTCCGTTCTGGCTCTTGTCTTGATAACATTCAACGTACGAATATCCTCTACATGGTCTACAAAATACTTTAATATCACCAAGAAGCTCACCAAAACCTTGGATTTCAACACTTTGGAGAGCGTTACTTTCGGTATTGAAGTAGAAAACTTAGAACGGTTTGCATGTAACTCTCCTCTTCATTGACAAAACAATATCACCTCTAGCAGTCACTCCAACAATGAATTTTTTTTCATCAACACTTTGACACACAACCAAACCTGGTGATTGACTTTGAAGGCAGTCTTGAGAATATCTCGAGAAGGAGATCTTTCGGGATGGGATCTGATTCTTCTTCTGCTCTATTCATGATCCTTGTGTTTTACTGATGATGAAAGGACGGCGAGAAAGATATCTGAAGGTTTTATCGTCATACATAGAGAAACCTGTATATATTTTTTTTTTTGGAACAAATTCTCACTAGAATAAAACTTAAATTGTGCGATTACATGAGTAGAAAGCTGAGAACACTTTGCCAAGGAGTAAAAGCAGCTTGATGCAGAAATGAAATACAAATCAATAAAAGGATAGATTATACAGTTAGTCTAGATCGAAGATAAAAACTGGAAAATTCTTCAAAAGGGCTCCTATAATCGTTTTAAAAACAATCTCAAGTTATTTTGCTATTAAAAGCGAGCGAACAAGACGAATAGCTGGTGACGTCGTTAAGGCTGTTAAGTGTTTATAGTCGATCTCCATGAAGGAGAGAGGTCAGTTCAGAGATACACCGGTAAGTTGGTAATACTCTAGAATAGCGAAGAAGGGCTTGGAAATACGCCGGTAAGTTAGCAATACTCCAGAACCCAAATCGGTAAGGACTGATGAAAACCTGGCTGATAATCCTATAGTTTAACAAGAGTATTTAGCGAAGAAAAATAAAAAAGTGTTTAATGATGGTTTATTGAAGTTTTATTTTTTAACTTTCGTTTTTAATTGAGTCAAAAGTTGCAAATTTATGTTTGAGTTAATTCTACAGTCTATAGAATTTTTTTATTATTATTAAATAGAAATCAAGTTTACTCAACTGTTTTGTTTTGAAATAAGAGAAAATTTAGAAAAATACCCTTCTTTTTATACTTTTTGAAAACTACATTTTTTCAATCTAGTTTACTGAAAATCTTTACTAAAACTGAATAAAATTTCTATTCCAAAGAAGATTATCTTATAGTACGATTACACCTTTACTTTATGATTTTTGAAACAAATTACAAAAAATATTAATTGATAGAATGATTTTTTTGATTAATGTCCACATAGCTTTTATATGAAAGATTTTTTTTTTTTTTTTGAAAAAGGAAAGAAATCTGAGAGGCTGTCACTACTCCTTATAATTTTTTTTAATAATTTATCCAATGTATTTACGGAAAGAAATCTGAGAGGCTGTCACTACTAAAAAATAAAATTAAATGTTTATCATAATTTTTTTAAAATAATTTATCCAGGGATTAATGTCCATATATATATTTTTATAATTTATATCCAGTGTTTTTTTTTTTAAATATGAATTTGTCCACATAGGTTTTATATGATAGAATTGTTTTTTTTTTCTGGAAATAAATTTGAGAGGCTGTCACTACTCAGCATATCCTTTCTGTCACAATCCCTTTATGTTAACCTTATATTTTCTTTTGTCTTTATCCAAATTTGATTTGTCATCTGTAACGTCTCGAGAGTGAATCTTTCTACGTTGTTGATAGAGGAGCGTCAAAACCCTAAAGCCTCTATACTTTAAATACACTTTGTTTCCACCCACATCACTGTAGCCGTTTGCTCAGAAACACTCATCAATATATCTCAGGAGAGAAAGTGGTGACTTTGCTCAGAAACACTCATCAATAAATTCACATGTGCTTAGTTTTCGGCTGGCTTGAGGTAACATCTTTCCTTTTCTACCTCTAAACAACTCCCTTTTCAAAGAACCGTGAAATATCTCAGAAAGATGATCATACAACTGTTGAAGAGAATGCGAATGTAAACCGTGAAGAACCTTAGAAAGATGAACAACAAGGGAGTATGATCAAACAGTTGTTGTTCATCTTTCTAAGGTTCTTAAGGGTTTACATTCGCATTCTCCTGGACAGTTGTATGATCATCTTGCTGAGATCTTTCACGGTTCTTTAAAAAGGGAGTCGGTTAGAGGTAGAAAATGAAAGATATTACCTCAAGCCAGCCGAAAACTAAGCACAGCCGGGGAAACTTCTGAAAATGCCTCCAAAAGCTGTGGCGGCTCTGATCAAGGTGATCATAGCGAGCCAGCTGACAATGGGTCTGAAAGAGATCCAATCAAGGGGAAGCAGAGAAACAAAAGATTTCAGGTCGTTGACATGAGTGATGTAGATCCCGTGAGAGTTTTATGTCTCTTCCTTGTCCTCCTTTATAAGTTCATAATTAGAGGAGTTTTAGTCTTTGGAATAAAAAAAATTCATAAAAATAAAATAAAAATTATTTCTTGTTTTTCATAGTTAGTAAGCTTAAACGGTTATCAGCGAAAAAATACGCCACAAACAAATAATCGGTTATAAGTGAAAAAATTTGTAACCAAGAGCTATTTCTCAATAGAAAGTTTGTAACGAGAAGTTACAACCGTAAAATGCATTAATTCGGTTTCCTATTATATTTTTGTTGAAGAAAAAACCAAGAAATTAGCAAAATGACATCATGAATTTATTATTTTTGTAAATTTTCCCAACTTTTTCACTAATGACATGATAATTTTTCCAATATTAAACATGCTTATAAAAACTAGTTAACGACTTAACGTCCAAGAAAGACAAAGTTTATTGATCATCGTTTTATTAATTAGGACATGAACATGAAAACCAGAAAGAACAAACTGCTAAAGCCAACAGAGTAACATAACTCACACGCAAACTGTAACTTAAAAAGTCAAACTCAAAACTAACTATAAAAAAAGCTTCACCCAACATGAATAAAGAAACTCAATTTCTTAAAGAATTTCTTTAAAATCTTGACGACCAGATTGTAGCAGGTGATCGAGCTTTAGATGATCTTGATGTACTTGTGGCTTTACGCTTCCGTTCTGGCACTTGTCTTGATGATATTCAACGTACGAATATCCTCTACATGGTCTACAAATATTATAATTCTACGATGAAGCTCACCAAAACCTTCGATTTCAACATTTTGGAGAGCGTTGCTTTCGGGATTGAAGTAGAAAACATAGAACGGTTTGCATGTAGTTCTCCTATTCATTGACAAAACAATATCACCTCTAGCAGTCACTCCAGCAACGAAAACTTCTTCATCAACAATTTTATCATCCGACAAAGTGTAGACATGTTCCAACCATTCTGGTTCCTCGACATCCTCTTTAACCCACATTCTTAACTCAAGCACACGCCTTCCAATATCATCTTTACCATACTCCCAACTAATCCCACCTAATTTACCTTTATAGTTTACCAATTTAGTAGCATGCATGTCGACATCGTCCAAGATCAATGTTTTTGAATTTCTCAGACCTAACATCAAAGCAAAAAAGGTTCACATGGGTCGAAGTTTCGTCAGGAGACCTTGAAGCTAAGAAATACAAAACTCCATTGATGCATATTCCTTCACCCGAACGACTGTTGTACCAAGGAAAACCGTTCTTACTCCTCCACGTAGGTTTTCCAGTTCCCAATGTCAGATTTTACATTGATCCCTTTCACTAAAACATGGATAAGTACCCTCCGCGAATACCTTGAATTGCTTCCCAAACGGATCAAACCCTAAAAAGCTTGGCGACGCATTACTGTATTTGTTCACTTCAGGTAAGATCGCATACTGTCCTGTCATAGGGTCACATACCACATCAAAATACCTGTTTGGGAACCACATGTTAGGGAAAAGTATCAAACCAGAGGCATAGGCACAACCGTGGTCAAAAGTATATCTAGGGATCTTTGTATGAAAATTGGCAGATACTACAAGAGAAGACTTCTCATATGGATTCTGAGGCTGAGGCGACGAGTAGATGTTCCAGCTCCACTCAGGACCGTCTTCTTCAAGGAGAATTAAGAGACGTGGACGAGCCTGTGACCTGGTCAAGAACAACCGGGTGAAATCTCGACCACGAAGCATGGAACCTCATCGCTTGGACACGCAACGAAACCTCGCGATTGACTTTGAAGGCAGTCTCGAGAATATCTCGAAACGGAGATCATTGGGGATGGGATCTGATTCTTCTTCTGCTCTATTCATGATCCTTGTGTTTTTCTGGTGATGAAAGGACGGCTAGAAAGATATTTGAAGACTTTATACTTTTATAGTTATACCTAGAGAAACCTATAGTTTTTTGTTTTTGTTTTGGTAAGTAGAGAAAAGGGAAATTGTAATGGATAACAATATTACAACCCATATTTAGCAAAGTAACAATAAGAAAGTCATGGCTACGATATTCCATATTCTGCAATATATACGAAAAACCCCTTCCATGAAAGAGCAATTCAAATTTTAAAAGTTTAGGTCAATTTCCAAAGGGGCATTTCAACATCCTGTAACAGTGCTATTATCGACAACAGCAGAGAAAATTAGAGCCTACGATGGTGAAACCTTCTTCAACCTTTATCTCTCTCGATTGCTGCTTCATCAACCTCTCTTTTATTGTGAAGACCCTATAGAGGTCGAAAGTAAGAGCGATGACTGCTATCTCCGCCGACTGCTATCTCTGTCGGTGGAACCGTTGGTACATCTAGGTTAGTTTCGTTCCTAGATCTAGGATAGTTTCCTCTAGATTCGATTGATAGATAGCATCATTTTGATGGCTCATAGATCGTTTGCCCCCAATGATACTTTCCCCAACAACGAGGAACATATTCTTTTTGGTTTCTCATTTATTTGATGATTATCCCCAGATTCTATTCAATTTGCTTTTTCTGAATATTTATGGCTGCATCTTCATGGGAATTTAGTGAAGTCGACTATATACTTCTAGTTGAAATTGGATTTTGCTATTTCCAAATATAAAAACAAGTTGGTCTGTACTATATAATTAAGTATGGTATAAGAGAACACAAAATTATGTTTTGTTTTTTATCCATGGAAGTTTTAAGTTCGTATCTGAGATTGCTCTTGTTATAATTGATCATAAGTAGCATCATCCAACTTGGCTTAAATATACGACATATCTATAGAACAAACCTTTCTTTGATACGAGAAATCTAGTGGGTGTTACATTTAGCTGACTATGTTATGTTGTGTAGTATGGCGTGCTTCTGTAATGTTTACTGTACTATATTATAAACATACAGTGTCATCTATTTTGCCATTAGGTTTTAACATGGATGAGTAAGGCTTGCCAAGCAGGACGTTTGGGACATTGGAGAAGAAGACTTATCCATGAGGATGTGCGAGACAAGGTTTGAGCCAACAAGACGTAAACACATAAATAATTACTTCAAACTTCGATGAGTAAAAAATTATTGAACCAGCTTTGGATGAAGAATATTTGAAGATGCTTCAGAATTAGCAGTTTAGTTGTTTGATGCCCATTCACGCATCAAGAGGATTATGTTTGTAGTATGTTTTGGTTGTGTGTGGTAAGTTTGTATGTTGATTACAATCTTGGTATTTGTCGATATTATCTATGGTTTGGAAACTTTTGTGGGTGTCGATGTTGTTCACGTTATTGTTATTACCACTCTTGTTACAATTTTGGTTTTCTACGTTTAGTTGTTTTCTCTGCCAAACGCTGTCCATGTCCAATATAAGGATATTTGTTATACCATTTCATACCTTTTGTAAATAGTATAAGGATATTTCAATATGGTATAGTCTACATCCATTTTCTCTTCACTCATTTAACTGTTGTAGGAGGAATTCGTAGACTCTAAATTTCAAATGTAAACCGTAAACTCTAATTTAGATGTACTAAACATTTATCAGTGTACGTGTTCCCTAATTGTGTCTAAGGTTTAGATTTTGATTTTGGGTTTAGGGTTTAAATTTTGGATTAGGGTCTAGATTTTAGGTTTAGAGTTTTGTTTTTTTGGTTTAGTTTATGGTTTCTTCATCTTAACCAGTGTTTAGATCAATAGGCAAAGTAACATAGCACAATATAAAACTATTTTGTGAACCATCGTTAATTTATAGTATAAGCTAATAAGGAGCTGGTATGGTATAGTATAGTCTATTTTCCTTATACATAGGAATTTAATTAGGTATTTAATTGTTTTCGGCAAACAAATGACGTAATTACCTATGAAAGATTCTTACATGACGCATAAACAGAATTTTTAATACATAATGTGAGGTAAAATGTTTCACACGGCGACGTCGACGAAAAATTTTGGGGAGAAAAAGTCCCGCTCATATGTGGGAGAAAATGGACCAACAAAAATTTATCTTTGTTACTCACTATATTATCAAAAGAGCATGGCTATATGCTTAATTATCATACCCAATATTGTTATACAGCAAATTAACCCTAGAGAAAAACCTATAGTTTAATAAGTGTTTAACGAAGGTTTGTTTAAGTTTTTTTTTTCTTTTACTTTCCTTTTCATTTGAATCAAATGTCAAAAATTTATGTGTGAGTTAACTTTACGATCCTCGTGTTACGTCCGTTAAGATCGTGACACATGTCTTAGAGAAAAAAAAGAAAAAAAAAATAATAATAAACAATTTAGATAAAGAAAATTGTTTTTTTTAAAATTAATCCATTACAGTTAAAAGAAATAAAAATATATTTGTCATATCCTAATAGAGAAATGTTTCTTATTCATCAAATTAATATTATCCAAACAAATAAAATCAAAATAATGTAATAAAAGAAAATTCTATTTATACATGGAATATGTTATGTAAACTAAATTTCCTATAACTGCATGTAATAGGTTACTTGAACCCCTATAAAAGAGAGTCAAGATTTTTCAATCACAAAATCATCAAATCCCTTTGATTATATTTCTCCATTTTAAAAATCATGTTTTTGAAAGTTTTGTGATACATATGATTTTTATAACTGACAAAATTGCGACATCTGTTTAAAAAAAAAAACAAATTCTCGAAGTATGTAGATCGTAACATGTGTCATGGAATAAAAATAATAAAAAATTTAATATGTATAAAACTAACTAAAAATTAGAAAAACAGATAACAAATAATTAAAATGAAAAAAATAATATTCATTAAAAGTAATAAAAAAAACAGGAAACAAATAATATAAATTCTTTTGTTACATCTATTAAGAAAAGGAAAAAACAATCCGAAAAAGAAAAATATCAATCCCTAATATATTAAAAGAGAAAACACTATAAAATAAACCTTTGTCTCATGTGTTATTAACAGAAATGTCATGCTGATGTGTCAACACCAGGTTCACTTTCAAGGTTAGTTTTAATTAAGACAAACATTACTAGACTAATTACATGTTATGCCATTCATATTTGGTTAGAGAATGAAATATATATGATTAATTTAGTCAGAAAAATAATTATTAATGAAAATTATTTTCTTTCAGTTTCCTTATTTGGTAATGACGAAAATTTATTTATTAGTCAATCAATCAGTAAAATATGGAAAGTTTTATTCAATTGTATTATATTAATTTTTAAAAATTAATTTATTCATCTATCATTTTTGTTTAGCTTTACTTTCAAGAATAAATTATATCATCACATCAAAATATTTAAAAAAGAAAATTAGTTTTTTTCTACATATGCTATGGTTTGAATTTTTAAAAATGAAGCAAATCTCTAAAAATGTTAAATGTCCCACATGATTATATTTTGGGATAATAGTTCAAAAACCTATTATAAAATAGGATCCAAATAATGATCAACCATAATCACAAATAGGAAAGAAAAATTTACCATGTTTGGAAATCTTTAAAATTTCTTTTATTCGATTTAATTTGATTCTTTAATTGAATTAAATAATTAAATCGTATTTTTAATATTTTGGTTTGATCAAAATTTTAAACGTAATAAATTCTAATAACTTATCATATAAGTTAAATTATTTTAGTTATTAAAATTGATAAAAACATAAAATATATGTGCCATTTTATATTTATCAAAACAGGCTAAAAATATGACAAACATCAAAACCAGGCTAAAAAAATATGCATCACTCAAAATTTCGTCTAATGTAAATTGACATTTTTTTAATTATCTAACACTCTATGTTCCTAAAATTGTATGTAAATAGACATCTTTTAATAAAATCAAATTGAGAAAATATCACCCGTGCAAGGCGCGGGTCAAACTCTAGTATATAGTATTTATAATGGCCAAAGGCAAAAAGAAATTGAGGGAAAAATTCAAAACTACACCTCTTGAGGTGCCAATTTTCAAAAATACACCTCTATGGTGTTTATTTTCAAAACTACACTTTTTTCATGGAGTAAAAAAAAAACTATAAACCCTAAAATATAAATCCAAAACCCTAAAATCTAACATTGAACCTTTAAATCTAAACCCTAAACCCCAAAATCTAAACCCTAATCTAAGATTAGTGAACCCAAACATATATATTAAAATTAGGAAAAAATGTATTTTTGAAAATTTCCTCTCTATAGGTGTAGTTTTGAAAATTTGCACCTCAAGAGGTGTATTTCATAAAATTTCTCAAAAATTGAGAAAGAAAATATATAAATAAAAAACTAACAAAATAATTATCAAGCAATTAACTAATATTAAAAAATTATAATTGATATTCTAATTTTAAATAGTTTGATTTTCAATTTTTGTTAGGTAAAAAATTGAAATAAATATTTCATCAATTAAAATCTCTTGAATGGAATAATAAAAGTTTGATTAATTAATCAATTGATAAGATTTACACATGTCTAAGTCTTTCTGTATTGGATAAAAATAATAGTAAAACTGTAACATCCATAAACCAAAAATAAAAATTGGGAATTTTGTCGGTTCAATTTAAGTGAATTGGTTTGGATCGGTTTAGTGGAGAAAGGCCTAAAATCAAGTTTAAAGAGTGCAGCCGTCTTCTCTTTATGAATTTTCGAGTTCAGAGGCTACAGAGGAGAAAAGTGGAGTTTTTGGAGAGATTTTCGAGTTTTACTGTTCATCGGGTTACTGTTCATCGGATTACTATTCATCGGGGTACTGTTCATCGGGGTATTGTTCATCGGGGGTACTGTTCATCGTCGGGATTTCCGCACTGTTCATTGTATTTCCTTCAGTTTCAATCTATTGTCAAGGTGAGTGCATGACTGTGGGTCCGGGATTTGCTAGATTAGATTTGGTTTATAATTGTTCTTGATGAGTTTTTGTGTTTAATTGTTATTTCATGATATTTTGGTTGTTTATGTGGTGAATTGTGTGTTTGGTGGTTAAATCTGGTTTAATTGAATTTAATTGATTTGATTCTGGTTTATCTTGGTTCAACTGAATTTAATTGGTTTATATTTGTTTAATTAAATTTAATTGGTTTAATGGAAATAAATAGATTTAATTCGGATTTAATTAATTGGTTTAAAATAATAAAATATGGAAAATTATTATTTAATTATGAGAATTATTTAATAATTGAGAAATTGAGTTTTAATTATTAAAAATTAATTAATAATTGGAAAATGGTATTTAATAATAATTGGAGTTTATAAATATTATTAAATATCTAGTAAATTGCGTAAATGGCTCGTAGGCAGAGTGAGCTTATTTCATCTTTGTAGCCTCAGTTGTTGTTTTGGCTTTGGTGTTATTGTATTTTCGTTTTGGTTGTAACGATATACATTTTTGAGATTTATGAGATGCAGTTTTCCCTCATTTTGCCTTGGGTGTAGTGGTCCCAGTTTGGGTAGGTGCAAACTTGTCTGGGTGTAGTGGCCCCAGTACAAGTGGTTTGAGGTGATGAGTTAAGAGTAAAGATGTCTAGAGACGGGCGTATAACATAAGATTAGATGAGAGTCTTGGGGATCAGGTGAGGATCTCCTGTGTTGTGGCCTTGCAAGGTCGGGTTTGCGGTCTTTGTGACGTTTTTTGTTGGGATTCGAGGTCGAATCCAGTTTAGTGGGGGAGAGTTGTAACATCCATAAACCAAAAATAAAAATTGGGAATTTTGTCGGTTCAATTTAAGTGAATTGGTTTGGGTCGGTTTAGTGGAGAAAGCCCTAAAATCAAGTTTAAAGAGTGCAGCCGTCTTCTCTTTGGGAATTTTCGAGTTCAGAGGCTGTAGAGGAGAAAAGTGGAGTTTTTGGAGAGATTTTCGAGTTTTACTGTTCATCGGGTACTGTTCATCGGGTTACTGTTCATCGGGTACTGTTCATCGGGTACTGTTCATCGGGTACTGTTCATCGTCGGGATTTCCGCACTGTTCATTGTTTTCCTTCAGTTTCAATCATTGTCAAGGTGAGTGCATGACTGTGGGTCCGGATTTGCTAGATTAGATTTGGTTTGTGATTGTTCTTGATGAGTTTATGTGTTTAATTGTTATTTCATGATATTTTGGTTGTTTATGTGATGAATTGTGTGTTTGTGTGGTTTAATCTGGTTTAATTGAATTTAATTGATTTGATTCTGGTTTATCTTGGTTCAATTGAATTTAATTGGTTTATATTGGTTTAATTGAATTTAATTGGTTTAATGGAATTAAATAGATTTAATTCGGATTTAATTAATTAAATAATATTTATTTAATTAATTGGTTTAAAATAATTATTTTAATTATTTTAAAATATGGAAAATTATTATTTAATTATGAGAATTATTTAATAATTGAGAAATTGAGTTTTAATTATTAAAAATTATTTAATAATTGGAAAATGGTATTTAATAATTATTGGAGTTTATAAATATTATTAAATATCTAGTAAATTGCGTAAATGGCTCGTAGGCAGAGTGATTGCCTCACTAAGTATTTATTAAATACTTACGCAACTCCATTCCAATGTGTTGCAGGTAAAAGATTTGTGTGATCGCGGAATCAAGGCTGAAGAGGGGGATGATAGGATGTTTACTGTTTTATTGTTTTGCATTATTTTGCTAGACTTGTTTAATTATTATTTGCTTCCGCTGAGCTGATTTATTTGTTATTGATATTTTATTTATTTAATTTATTTTAAAGACCTTCGCTAGAATTGATTAATATTTAATTAAAAAAAAATGTTGGTTGTTTCAAAAACAAACTAATTCATTTTGTCATATCATAAATCTAAAAGAAAAATAATTACAATAAAAATGTAAAAGTATTACCAATCTTATTTTATTTAAATATTTTTTCTCGAGTTTTCAATATTATTTTGTTTATGTTTAAAATGATCAAATTTTGTTTAATATTTTCCATACTTTTATTATAAAATCTTAAAATATATCCGCGTATACGCGGGCCTTAATCTATTGATAAATTAGGTTAACAATATATATTTTAAACATTGTTTTAATTAGTTTTTTTTTCATTTTTTTTTACCAAAACATATGTCAAAATCTTAATAAGAAAAAATTAAGATTCACACATGTGAAATATACTAGATTAAGATGTTTAATTTGCAGGTTATTCTCCTACACAAATTTTTTATTTATTTAGTCTATCTTATTATATAAAGCTGGATGCGCGCGACGTGGTTGCGACACGTAGGATTTTTATAAAATTTAGGATTGCGACATGTGTCACTTTTAATGTTATGTCCGTTAAGATCGTGACATGTGTCTTAGAAAAAAAGGAAAAAAATACGAAATTTTAATCTTTTATAGTTAAAAGAAAAAAAAATTATGTTTGTCATATCCTAATAGAAAAGGTTTCTCATTCATCAAATTTATATTATCCAAACACATATAAGATTCAAATTAATGAAATAAATAAAATCCTATTAGTACATGAAATAGGTTAGTTTAGTTAATCTTTTATAGTTAAAAAAAAAAATTATATTTGTCATATCCTAATAGAAAAAGGTTTCTCATTCATCAAATTTATATTATCCAAACACATATAAGATTCAAATTAATGAAATAAATAAAATCCTATTAGTACATGAAATAGGTTAGGTAAACTAAATTTCCTATAACTGCATGGAATAAGTTACATGAACCCCTATAAAAAGAGAGTTAAAGTAGTCTTTTTTTTCTCATTCACAAACTCATCAAAGCAAACAACATGATAGCAATACATATGATTTTTATAACTCACAAAATTGCGATATGTGTAATAAAATAATGATAATAAAAAAAACTAACTAATAATGAAAATGAAAATTTATAATGGTCTGAGTCAAAAACAAAATTGAGAAAGAAACAATATAAATAGAAAACTAACAAATTAATTATCAAGCAACTAACTAATATTAAGAAAATATAATGAACCGATATTCTAATTTTAAATAGTTTAATATATTTTCAATATTGTTAGGTAAAAAATTATTAAATAAAGATTTCATCAATTGAAATCTCTTGAATGGAATAATAAAGTTTTGTTGAATTAATTAATCAGTTGATCATATTTAGACATATATAAGTCTTTCTATATTGGATAAAAATAAAAATAAAACAAATTAATTCATTTTTTATATCATGAATTCAAAAAAATATCAATTACAATAAAAACGTAAAAAGGTTACCGATCTTATTTTATTTAAATATTTTTATCGGGTTTTTAATATTATTCTGTTTACTTTAAAATGATCAAATTTGGTTTAATATTTTTCCATGATTTTATTACAAAATCTTAAAATAAACCCGCGTATACGCGGGTCTTTAATCTAGTATTATATAAATTGTGTTCGTGTTTAAAAATATTATATCGATCTGTCATTTTTATGATAATTGTAGGTTTTCTCATATCCAATTATTTTTCATTTTGGTTGGCGTTTTTGCCCTTTTCTATGGAAAATATAACACTTTTTTCTTTTTCTCAAAATTTTCGACATACAATTAGTAAAATAATTATTTCAGTTCCATTCTGAACCGAAATATTGAAATAAACCGAAGTAACTTGACTTAGCATGTTGTACAGAATGGTGGTGGAACATTATGGAGCATGTGAGAAACACACTCAAAAGAGTATCAGATCGAATAAACGCTTAAAATTTCTGTGGAAACTAAATATTATAACATATCACTGTTTGACTAAGCAATGATGCAACATATTTAATAATTCAATAATATTTTTTACAACAATAGCAATTTCCATCAAGCTATTAGGTCACATATACCTAATACGAGAATAGATACAAATTATCGAACAAAATATTAATCCAGAGCGCTGGAACACTATTTTGTATGGACAACGAGCCTTACAATAGTAGCAAAATGGTCGGGACATATGCTGATTGTTGGGCAGAACACCTACTTTTTTATCGTAGTATAACCACGATGCACCAGGCTTCATGTATAAGTCCTTCCCATTCAGACAATCAATGTGTAAGGTAACACAACAATACTCATCACACTTATAAAATCCCTTCTTCGGATTTATCTTTCCCTCGCAAGCTTCACACCAATACGTCATTGTACTTGTCTCCTTCCCATAAGAAAGAACGAGCATGTGCTTATCATGCTTATACCTCACCTTTTGAGGTATAGTAGCACACTTAAAACACAAAGCGAAGTCAGAATCAATGCAGTTGAATGTTTCTGTGTTATCTTTATATTGGCAAATTGAACATTCTCTCTTCTCTCCGGGTTTGGATGTAAGGAATAAAGGATGCATATGGCTTTCATGATCTAATGGCTCAGAAATTGTGGCACACTGCACATGTACCTTAAATTGACATCCTTCTTCACCGCACTCATAGAAGAAACCAGCTGTCCACAACCAAGGACAAGCTGAACATGAACTCTCATAGATCCTGGTATGAGGACTTATTTTTATAACACGGTCATATCCTGTCACTAGAGTAAGCAGATGTGGATGTATCGGGTGATGCATTTTGCGAGAAAGATTTGCACATGTTTCATGTAGTATGAACTCACATTGCATACACGAGTAGTAGTTGCCGAAATAGATCGGCGTGATGCATGCTTCACACTGCTTGTTCTCGTCGAAATCTCTGTCGGCATTCTCATCAAGTCTGAGATGATGATGTTCATGGCTGAAATGTTGAATAATACCATCACTTATCCTCACAAACGACGGCTTGACTTCTTCTTCAATTTCTGCTGGCTCTCCCTCTAGCTCTTTACCATCCCACACATTGCTTTGTGTGGCACATTTTGAATGAGCCGCGTAGGAACAACCATCCTTGATGCAAGAATAACCTCCGTAGTCATTGTTGATCTCTCTGCGACAAACACCACAAACCCAATTTCCTTGGCCAAATGAAGGTGTAAACGAGATTCGATGGGGATGGCGAGATATCCTTATGACATGTGGCAAGCAGAGACAGCTTTGATGGACCACAAAGTCACAAAGGAGACATAGATAGAAATGAGAGTTTGAATCTGTCAAGGCACAGAGGTCGCAAGTTAAGGAAGCTTGTCTTGGAAAGTGAGAAAGTGTATGCTCATGCCACTTTGGATGATCTATAGATAAGAGTGGTGGTTTCTCCACACAAGCTACATTCATAACATAGGCGCAGACCAAGCAACAATAAACTATTTCTTCAAGATCTCCATCACAGCAATAACATTTCTTCTTTTCACTATTTCTACTCAGCAAGACAAGCTTAAGGAAATGTTTTGGATGAAGAGGGTGTTTGATCTCGAGTGGAGCATTTTCATATGTTCCATGGTTCTCCCCATTGCAAGCAAAGCAGTGAAAATGGGTTACTTCTTCCCCAGGCAAACTGAATTGTTGCCACGATATAGGGAGACAATCCCTCCTTTTATTGCTCCCATGTACTTTTCCAGTCACATGAAATTTTCCTTTGTCACAAGCTACCTCTACTTGAGGGCACACGGAAATAAGCTTCTGCCACTTTGAATCCATGGAGATGGCGAGGGAGACTATTTGATGGATGAGTGACATGAGCTCCGGCTCCGGCTCGAGATCCAAGTATGTCATCAATAAGTAAGAGCTCCATTCCAAACAGAGTAGATGTTCTTGAGATAATGAGTGATATGAACTCCGTCAGCGGCTTAGGCTGCGAATCCAGATCCATAGACTTGACAAAAGAGATTGTTTGAGTAGCGAGTGTCATGAGCCTCGACTCCGGCTTAGGCTGTGAATCCAAATCCATAGAGATGACCAAAGAGATTACTTGATGGATGTGTGATATGAGCTCCGAACCCGATTTCATATCGAGAAATTGAGAAAGGAGTGATATGAGCTTTGATTCCGGCTCCAAATCTGAATCCATACAAGTTTGATGCTCCAGCTTCGCCTCAGACTTCTTAGGGACAACGAGAGAGCATAATCGATTAATGTGGGAACCGAGCTCCGAACCCCCTGAAGCCAAATAAGGGAGATAAAATAATACTTGAGTAATGAGTAACATGAGCTCCGGCACTTGCTCCTTCTTCGGATCCTGATCAGAATCCATAGAGCTTATGAGACAGATTAGTTCAGTCAAGAGTGATTTGAGCTCTGACTCCGGTTCATCATCCGGAATAGAGCTGACAAGAGAGATTATTTGCTTAATGACATTTATGAGCTCCGACTCCAACTCCGGCTTCGGCTGTGAATCCAAATCCATAGAGTTGATGAGAGAGTAAATCCCTCTAGTGACTGATATGAACTCTGAGTTTGGAGCCGTAGTGTCGTAGATAGTGATTAGTTGATAAATGAGTAATGAGAGCTTCAACTCCGGCTCGGAATCCAAATCCATGGAGTTGTTTGAGAGAGATGATCTGAGTAACGGACGAGTAATATGAGAGACGACTTTTGTGATTAGCTTCGTGCTCTCTCTCTTTTCCAATATGTATAACAACCAAAAAATAATAATAGATTGAAATAACTAAAACTAATGACTAGAACACCCTTAAAACAAACAAATCAGGAGACCATCTCAAGCTCACAGGCTGTCCGAACAAAAGTCAACGATCAATTTGGAACTATACGTCAAAAATTTTAGCCTCACATTTCTGCTGATTGGGCATATGGTAGGCTTATGCATCAAACAAAATAATATAATTCGTGCCTACTCGGCCACTCTTAACTTAATCAATATTAAACTTAATGCTCCCCACATAGCTGTGTTAATTGTCCCGACGCATTTTTCTATAAGCCCCGTAGATTCCGGATCTTTGTTTTGTTGTATATATGTAACTGAATTTTTATAAAGCAGTGCAATTTATTAGTGATTTACAAATTACAAGTCGTCCGAACATTATTAAGTCAATGATCGATTTGTGTTTTAGTTAATGAGGGTTAAGGTTGGCCTATGCAACTGGCAAATTTTCTTCGTAGACAAAACAAATTGGGTTAATCACTACAAGAAATCCATCACTTAAAGTCACTTAAATAACGTCACTCGTTAAACCGACGTAAAATTAATAAAAAGGAAGGGATTTGGAGTCATTTACTAAACCGACGGTACCAAACCGATGCTAAATAAAAGAAAAATTAAATTTATTAAATTTTATTAATCAATTAGAACAAATCAATCCTTCTTCCTCGCGAAGAAACTGCAAAAATCTTCCTTCAATCCTAAAACATTTCTGCAAAATCATGGGGGTTTTCGTTTTTCTGCATCCCTAAATTTGATTTCGTTACTTCTGCAATCGTCGTCAGTGTCAATAATCACAAGGTTGCTCGAGTTTATAGAAATCCGATTTCGATCCTTTCTCCAGAAGCTCAGGCTAACAATCCGATTTCGGGTCAAGCTCAGGTTCGTAAAGTTTGAATTTCCTAAAAATTGAGCTGTGTTTATGACGAAATACAGAAGAAGAATACATTATGCTTGAATCTAACAATGCTTATGAATTTCGTTCAAGGATATAAGGGATTTGTGAAGAAATTTAAGAGGAGTTTCAGAGCTCGCGAATCTCAAATTTCTCTGCAAATTTAAGGTAAACTTTCGATCCTTATAAATTTTCTTTTCTTAGCTTTAACGAGGTCAAAATCAAGTTGTTTGAAGCTCTATTAGTTTTGCATCCGATCTATTAGTTTTGAGCATATGAATTTCTCATGATCTTAGAATAAGAATTTCTCTTCATGGTTCCATGGGAGAAAGCCACTAGTGAAATAGTGGCAACAAATTTGGTTTTGTTGAGTCTGATTGTGAAATTTCATGATCAATTTTCTCATAAAGCATTGTCTTACGAGAAATCTAGTTTAGCTTCTTTCATGATATTATTGATATTGGCTTAGCTTCTTTCATGATCTGGGAATTGAACTTCCGAAACCTTTAATTGACTGTGAATGAATCTCTTGAATATTTGAACTTGTTTTGTGAACTTTGGTCTTCTCCAAGTCTCATATTTGGTTTTGTCTACTGATTTTTATGAATGGTATTGTGTTCGTACCTTCTGAAACTGATGGCTTGGAAAGTGATTCAGGTAATCTCGTACCTTCTGAAACTGATGCCTTCTCATACCTTTTGTATACTCGTTTTTCTCTGTTAATGGTTCACTTTTATAAACATAGAAAAAATTCTGGTTTTGATTTGAATAGACTGTGTCTAGTCTTGCCTTGGCAGTTTGAGTTTGAGTACTGTGTGCACTTGGCATATGAGCATTGACTAGGTTCTCACTCTGAACTGTTGAATGGAATGCAGGGAGGTTGCTGTCTGCGTTAATCTGTGAATACTTGGACTGGGCACAACTCAATCACACGCTCAAAGTTTATCAACCCGAATGCAATTTGGTAATCAAGTTGTTTGTTTCATTCAGTAAAATTTGGATGAGTGCTTTCGTACTAATCTGAACTAGGCTACTTTAGTAGCAACCATGGTTATGAGCTCAACAGAAATGGAGATCGACCTCTCCTTCTCGATGTTCTTCAAGGTTTCTTGCAGTTCGAAGTATCATGATTCACTGTAAAACCTGTATCATTAGTCTTGCTGTATTCTGCTCTCAGGTTTTAGTGATCAACATTTTTTTTTTTCAGACATGACAGAGACGACCATGGGTGTTAATTCAAGGAGAGAGTCAGAAACTGAGTCCTCATCAAGCCTCGACTCCAGAAATCCTCCACGTAGGTCATCTGCTTTTGATAGCTTACCTCCTCTACGAAGGTACACACATCTCCAACTCCATGTTAAGAATTCTAATGGTTATGGTGTGTGAAGGTGTGGTGTTGTTTTAGTTAAGAGCATAATGGTGGCTAGCTAAGTTATAGAGAACCATACTTTCTGTTTGAGTAGTCTCATATGTGAATGGTCTTGATTAGGATACAGATTCTGGTTTAGAAGAAACAGAGATTCTGTTTTCGTTGAAATGTATTAAAGGTCTTGCTTTCATTTTACTTTTGGTTACTGAAATGATTAGAAATCATGATTACTGATCTTACTTTTGTTTTTGCAGGTGAGATATGTTCAGGTGATATATAGGATTCGTTCGGGAAGTTGGAAACAAAACATTGTATTTTCTATTTGATATTACATTCATACGCTCCTGTCAATCTTTCATTTATACATAAACAAAACATTGTATTTTCTACTTGATATTATATAAAAGATTTGATTTTACTATGAGTTTATTGTCATCTAATGTTTTAAATTACAATTATATTAAATACAAGACAAAGTTGTATTAGTGACGTTAGGCTTTTAACATTTACGTCGGTTTTAAAAATGACATAAACATAAGTGTTGGAGTCGTTTGTGAATTGACCCTAAACACACAAAATAATGACGCTAAATATATGACGTTATGCCTAACGTCGGTTTTTTAACTGAAGCAGCAATTGACGTATGGTTAACGTCGGTGTTGTAAGTGAAGCAACAATGGTCTGCGTCATTGAATGACACGTCGGTTTATAAACTGACTTCAAGTTTTTAGCGTCATTCTCTTACCGACGTGAACCCCATGTATAACCGACGTCAAACTCCGTCTTTCTTGTAGTGAATGGGTTTATTACACTCACGACATTTTCTGAAAACTAATTTATACATTGACATTTGTTTGCTACTTAAACATGGCCTAATAGACATTGTTTGTCAAACCATTTTCAACCCATCGACCATTTTACGGTTTTATACGATGTCCACATATAGTAGAAGCTCTTTAAATTAACAATGTCGGAATTTTGATATTTTATTATTTTATAGAATTATTAGTTAATTTGTAGTCAAATGAGATAAATCTAGTAATTTCGCACTTGAGGGGAGTCAATCCCTTACCTTGGCCAACATGGCAACTCCTCAATCAAGTGGAAACCACTAGACCACCACCACTTGGTTAAATTATGATAATCTTCTATAACTTTATTTATATTGAATAAAAATTTTCCCTATATTTTCTTAACTTTCTGTTTTTTTTAACAAAAAATATTTTATTAACTTTTTTTTCAATATTTATGTATTTATTCTAGGGAGAATTAGCTTAATAACAATATTAGGAACAAAAATTAAGAATATAATTATACAAAGTTTGATATTAAGAAAGTAACAGTGAGAAAAGATTTTGGACAGTATTGCCCTTGTGGTTAAGTTTTATGTAAAACCAAATTGTTCTTATGATCGATCAATCCAATGAGTAAACGATTTTCCAGATTTAAGATCAATTTGAAACAAAACAGATGGATTTAAAGTCACAATTGAATTCAAACTATCGACATCTAACCCAAATGTGATTACCAATTGAACCGTAGAATTGAGAGACTTTCACTACTCACTATATTAAATAAAACAATAAAACAGAAAAAGTCAAACCGAGCGAAAAGAAGCAGCCAAATATCGAGATCTTCTTAGAGAAGTAAACGAAGAGATCGATGAAACATATTGGATTCACAAAATTGAATAGAAAAAAAAACATAAAAATTTCTAAAAACTGAAAATATCAAGAATACGGGATGTAACTTTCTCGTTGCATAGATCTCATCAATCTAAAGACAATCTAAGGAAACAAAGACGTATATCAACAGAGAGAAGAGAAAAATCAGCCCTGAAATTACAGAAAAAAAAACTATCTACGAACTAAACGAAAATCTGAAACCTAGAGAGCTAAAACATCTAGGACTTTACTAAATATAGATTTTCAATGCTAGGGTTTTCACTTTGTGTGAAAATTTAAATAATTGTTATTAAAATCAATTGCGGCAAACTATATATATACAAATTCTGATCACGAATGATATTAGGGTTGCATATGTTGTTGAATAATTAAAGTGCCTTAGCAAAAAAAAACTAGCAATATTCAGTGAAAAATAATAATATTAGCAATATACTGTATAAAAAGGAAGATATTAAAAAGGAAGTACACTAGCCAGTCTCAATTCCTTGGAGGCGGTATAGTCCTTCGCCATGCCTTTCACCCACTCCAAGATCGAGTCGATTCCATGATTATAAGTTCATTCCATACCGGACCAGACCGGAATGATAAGGGGTCATTCGAGTGTATCTAAATAGATACTATGTTTACATAGGGATCCATGCCAGCTATATCAGAGTAATTATGCTGGAGTTGAGTCGTGTAGCTTCTCATTTGCTATGGCTCGGCCCTTTTATGGCAGATATTGGTGCACAAACTCCCTTTTTCTACATTTTTAGAGAACAAGAATATTAAAAAAAAATTATAAAAAATAAGATATTGCAAAGATTTTTATTAAGGGCATTATAGTAATTCTGCGGCTGAGAGCGAACATGCTGTCTCGATATGAAATTCTGACTTCGCAAATACTATAATGATACATAGAGAAACCTATAGTTTAAAAAGTGTTTTTAACAGAGAAAAATAAATCAAGTTTCGTTTTAATTTGAGTCAAAAGTTACAAATTTATGTTTAAGTTAATTCTACAGTCTATAGAGCCTTTTTATTATTATTAAAATAAATCAAGTTTACTCAACTATTTTTTTTTTAAATAGGAGAAAATTTGGAAAAATACTCTTCTTTTTATACTTTTTGAAAACTACATTTTTTTTCAATCTAATTTACTGAAAATCTTTACTAAAACTGAATAAATTTTATGTTCCAAAGAAGATTATCTTATAGTACGATTATACCATTTATTTTATGATTTTTGAAACAAATTACAAAAAGTATTAATGGATAGAATTATTTTTTTGATTAATGTCCACATAGGTTTTATATGATAGAATTGTTTTTTTTGAAAAATGATAGAAATCTGAGAGGCTGTCACTACTCCTTAAAAAAATATTAAATGTTTATCATATATTTTTTTAAATATTAGTTTGTCCACATAGCGTTTATATGATAGAATCATTTTCTTGAATAAGGAAAGAAATTTGAGAGGTTGTCACTACTCATTAAAAAAAATTGTTAAATTTTTATCATATAAATTGTTTACTAATTTATCCAGTGTATTTAATATATATTTTTTAAATATAACTTTGTCCACATAGGTTTTATATGATAGAAATATTTTGTTTTTTTTTAAAAAGGAAAGAAATCTGAGAGGCTGTAACAATATTCTATTTTTATCATATAATTGTTTTAATATTTTATCCAATGTATTTAATATATTTTTTTAAATATTTATTTGTCCACATATGTTTTATGTGATAGAAATATTTTTTTTAAAAGGAAAGAAATCTGAGAGGCTGTCATTACTCCTTATATCCTTTCTGTCACAATCCATTAACCTCACCTTTTCTTTTGTCTTTATCCAAATTTGATATTTTATTTGTAACTGTCCAGAGTGAATCTTTCTACGTTGTTGACAGAGGAGCGTCAAAACCCTAAAGCCTCTATGCTTTAAATACTCTTTGTTTCCACCCACATTTCTGTAGCCGTTTGCTTATCAATATATCTCACGAGGGAAGGTGGTGACTTTGTCCGCAGCCATAGAGAAACCAACGTTGCCATTCACAATTTAAAGCGGTTGTCTTTGAGGAGAAATATACCTTCACCTCCCCGCTCCGGTAGTGATTCAACCCAACGAAAAGTGTAACCTTTTGTTTGATTGTGTATGTTGAGAGTAGCTTTTGATATACTTAACATGTCATTTTTGCTTCTATAGGGAGGTCATTTTTGAAAGATCTCAGAAAGATAATCATACAACTTTTGAGGAGAATGTGAATGTAAACCATAAAGTACCTTACAAAGATGATCATACAACTGTTGAGGAGAATGCAAATGTTGTTGTATGATCATCTTTCTAAGGTTCTTCACTGTTTACATTCTCATCCTCCTCAACAGTTGTATGATCATCTTTCTGAGATCTTTCACGGTTCTTTGAAAAGGGAGTCAGTTAGAGGTAGAAAACGAAAGATGTTACCTCAAGCCAGCCGGAAACAAAGCACGGCTGAAATGTTACATCTTTCACGGTTTTCATGTTTATGTGCTTTTTGTGAATTGAAAAACTATTTTTTTTTCTTTTGTTTTAGCAGAACTTTTTGGCATTGACATGACAAAAAAAAAGTTTTATGAAATGCAATGTATATAGGATAAACATCAGTTTGCTGAAACCAAATAACGGGTAACACAATTATGACATGAACATGAAAACCAGAAAGAACAAACTGCTAAAGCCAACAGAGTGCCTTAATTCACTCGCAACCCTGTAAATGAGAAACTCACACTCAAAACTTACTATGAAAAAAAACTTCATGAATAATAAAAAATCTATTTCTTAAAGAATTTCTTTAATATCTTGACGAACCCAGAAGAAAAATTTATATGGGGCACCAATAAAAAGAAACAAAAGATATGGAATAAGTTGTAAGAAAAAAAATTTGTATGGGGCACCAAGGGAAGGATTCGAACTCTTTTCCTAATGGTATATCCACTAAATCTTCAACCATCTAACCTAACGAATAATATTTATCCATAATGTTTACAAATATTTTATAATCTGTGGCACTTGCCCCACCCATCGTCAACGTAGATCCGCCACTCATGTGACTGATGTGAGCTTTAGTTGATGTTGATGTTGATGTACTCGTGGCTTTACGCTTCCGTTCTGGCACTTGTCTTGATAACATTCAACGTACGAATATCCTCTACATGGTCTACAAATACTTTAATATCACCAAGAAGCTCACCAAAACCTTGGATTTCAACACTTTGGAGAGCGTTACATTCGGAATTGAAGTAGAAAACATAGAACGGTTTGCATGTAACTCTCCTCTTCATTGACAAAACAATATCACCTCAAGCAGTCACTCCAGCAATGAAAACTTCTTCATCAACAATTTATCATCCCACAAAGTGTATACATGTTCCGACCATTCCTCTACATCAAGGCAAATAATGTTAACATGGGCCGACGTTTTGTCAGTAGACCTTGAAGCTAAGTAATACAAAACCCCATTGATGCATATCCCATCACTCGAACGAGTGTTGTACAGGGACAACCGTTCTTACTCCTCCACGTAGGTTTTACCAGAGATGGGCTGATTCTTCTGATGATTTTACCGCTTAGTGTAGAAGTATTAATTCCCTTAATCAACCACTAGGATAAAGGGCTTCCACAAGAAACTTATAGTTTAAAGTGTTTTTAGCAAAGAAAAGAAAAAGTATTTAACGATGGTTTATTTAAGTTTTTTTTTTTTTTTTTAACTTTCATTTTGATTTGAGTCAAAAGTTACAATAGTTAATTCTACAATCCACGAGAATTTTTTTATTAAATATAAATCAAGTATAGTCAACTGTTTTGTTATAAAATAAGAGACAATTTGGAAAAATACCCTTCTTTTATACTTTTTAAAAAAAACTACATTTTTTCAATCTAATTTACTGAAATATCTTTACTAAAACTGAATAGATTTTATATTCCAAAGACTATCTTATACTAGATAACGCCGTTTATTTTAAGATTTTTGAAACCAATTACAAAAAAATATTAATTGATAGAATTATTTTTTTGATTCATGTCCATAGGTTTAATATGATAGAATTAATTTTTTTGAAAAGGGAAAGAAATCTGAGAGGCTGTCACTACTCATTGTATATTTTCTGTCACCATCCATGTATTACCTTTTCTTTTGTCTTTACCCAAATTTGATTTGTCATTTGAAACGTTTTGAGAGTGAATATTTCTACGTTGTTGACAGAGGAGCGTCAAAACCCTAAAGCCTCTATACTTTAAATACACTTTGTTTCCGCCCACATTTCTGTAGCCGTTTGCTCAGTGTCACTCATCAATATATCTCAGGAGGGAAAGTGGTGACTTTGTCCGCAGCCATGGAGAAACCACCGTTGCCATTCACAAAGCGTTTGGCTTTGAAGAGAAATATACCTCCACCTCCCCCGCTAAATCTACGAAATCTTCCGGTAGAGATTCAACCAGAGAATGATCTCAGGTTCAAGAACTTATTTCACGAATTATGCTTCGGAGACAACAGTTTCTGTGTTGTCTCCAGACAGGGTAAGAGGAACTATAGGTATGTGTGTTTCTCTGGCAGCTCAAACAAGGTACGTATGTTTCTTCCCCTTTGATTTTCTTGTAGGTGATGATATAGGTTTGAAAATCTTAGGTTAATTGGTTTTGGTGTGCATTGATTGGATTGGTAGAGTTTCTTTGGAGTTTATGAGGGCCTTGAACGTGTGAATGCTGTGGAATTTGTGGCTGAGGATTTCCACAAAAATGTTTTTGAGATGATGAAGAATTGTGAGGAGAAGGAGGAGAAGGAAGAGAAAGAAGACGAAGCCTTCAGAGCTGCTTACTTGAAAACTGAAAGTGATTTCTTGGAGAAGGTGTTCACATCTTTACAAAAAAACAATACTTAAAATTTTCCATGAGTAGTTACAATCTTTCTTGAACTAACTAGTAAGAACAACATGCAGGGCTTAAAGAGTGGTGCCTGCTGTGTTACGGTTTTGATACAAAACCAGGAGATGATTGTGTCGAATATGGGAGATTGTAGAGCTGTTCTATGTCGAGAAGGAGGAGTTTTTGAGGCTCTCCCAAGTGATCACAAAGCAGGAAGGGATCAGGTAATTAAGCGTTGTGAAAGAAATGTAGCCTTTTTTGTTGATTGTGTATGTTGAGAGTAGCTTTTGATATACTTCACGTGACATTTTTCTTCTATAGGTGATTGGGGAACACAAGACAAGAATATTCAAACTAGAAGAGGATATGGAGTTTCTAGTCTTAGCTTCTGCTGGAATTTGGGATGTGGTTAGTAATCAAGAAGCTGTTGACACAGTGGTGAATGTTTTAGCTCAGGATCATAGAGAAAGCGAAGATGAGGCCTTGATCCAGATGCTTGACAATTTGATGCCATGTCGGAAACTCCAACGAGTTTGGCTTGTCAAGCAACAAAAAGAGCTGTTGCCTGTTGAGTCTCCCATACGTGCAAAGCCGACAATGTACACCAGATCAGATGGTGAATCTCCAACTTCAAAGCAAAAGAAGATCAAGGCGGCTTGCAAAGAGCTCGTGAACCTGGCCGTGAGTAGAGGTAGCAAGGATGATATCACAGTGGTGATTGTTGACCTCAAGCATTACAATTAATGCTGAAGAGTGAAGACCGTTACCATCCTTCATATACATATGCTTTGGCTTATATGATGTTTCATATCTATAAGAGACTTTAATGTTTGTGAAGATTCTCCTCGTTGATAACAATGAATCTATTTCATCACCCTTAATCTTAGGCCTCCTTTATGAGTTCATAATCATTGGAGTTCCAGTTTTTGGAATAAACTTAAAAAATATTATTTTGTGTTTTTCATAGTTAGTAAAATTAAGCGGTTATAAGCGATCAGTAAAATGCATTTATTCAAGTTTGCGATTATATTTTGGTTGAAGAACAAAAAAAAAATTAAAAAATGTCATCATCAATTATTATTTTTGTAAATTTTCGTAGACATTTTTCTTTCTATGTAATAATAACAAGTTTTTTTGTTTTGTTGTTTAAAGGAAAAAGAGTAAAAAATTAAAGTTTGGAAACGAAGAAAAATAGTCTCCAGATATTTACGGGAAACCGAACTAGCAACCACAAATTTAACTACGCCATAATTTACTGCGTTGACCACCACATGTCAACGTGTGGTTGCATCAATGGTTGTAAGAAAATTAGTAAGTTACCATAGGCCCATAGCTAACAAACAAATAAATCACTCTTCTAAATATTATCACTACACTCACATTCCTCGTTCCTTCATCCGATACAATGACGGACACAACAGATGATATCGCAGAGGAAATCTCGTTCCAGAGCTTCGAAGATGACTGCAAGTTGCTCGGCAGTCTCTTCAATGACGTGTTGCAGAGAGAAGTTGGAAGCTCATTCATGGTGAAAATCGAACGCATTCGGATCCTCGCTCAGGTTTTGTTTCATTACCTTGTCCATTTTTTTTCTCTCTCGTTAATACTACTAGTACATGTTTTGCCAAGTCATTGTCCTAATACATCATAATTGTTTTAATTTTTTATTTTTTTTACATCATTGTTGTTTGTTTTAGTTACTAGGGGAGAATGAATGATCAATTTGCAATTTGTGGCTTACGATTTGTTTATTTAGGTTCGGAAAAGAAAAAATAAAATGTGCATCATTTCGAATTGCTATTGCTTCACAAAAAGTTCACGTAGGATATTGTTTACAGTACATTTTATATGGTTTTAAACGTTTCAGAGTGCGTTAAATTTGCGTTTGGCTGGTATTGAGGATACTGCAAATCTTTTGGAGAAGCAATTGACTTCTGAAATATCCGAAATGCCACTGGAGGAAGCCTTGACATTGGCTCGTGTGTTCACTCATTCTCTTAACCTAATGGGCATTGCAGACACTCATCACAGGTCATTATTATACAATTTAAGGAACACTTTACAACAAAAAATATTTACAGTTAATAAACACACATGATAGATTCTCAAAACTTGTTTGAGATTTTGGTATAAAACAAACTTATCATTCTTTTCTTTCTTTTGCAGAATGCATAAACTCATAAACGTTACACAGCTTTCAAGATCATGTGATGATATATTTAACCAGCTATTGCAAAGTGGAATTACCCCGGACGAGCTTTACGACACGGTTTGTAAGCAAGAGGTCGAGATTGTACTTCTAATGAAGTTTGACATATATAGTACCCCAATCTTTAATTATATAGCTTAGAGTTGATTTTAATTAGATACTTCTTGCAGCATCTTCTTGAATATAAAAGCAGACCAGATCTAGGCCATGAAGACCGAGAAACACTCATTGAAGATTTGGTAATTAACTCTCGATCCACCTAAATAGATTCCTTACAATTTCTCATCTGAAGCATCAATTTTTTTTTTAATAAACTAATTATATTTTAAAGGTTAGGGAGATAACTTCACTATGGCAGACTGATGAGCTTAGACGTCAAAAGCCTACTCCAGTTGATGAAGCTAGGGCTGGTATATATATGCTAAATCGAAATTTATAAATGTCCCAAAAATTTTAGTTGATTTAACCATTTTTTGGCTTATGATTCTTCAGGTCTTAACATTGTTGAACAATCTCTTTGGAAAGCTGTACCACATTACCTGCGTCGTGTCAGCAATTCATTGAAGAAGGTATTACTTTACTTAGATTTCTATCCTATATATGGACAACTCTGAAATAATAGTTAAGTTACTAACCTTAAGACAACACTGTTGTTTTGTATATTTTGGTTTAGTTCACGGGGAAGCCACTTCCATTAACATGTACTCCTATAAAATTTGGTTCTTGGATGGGAGGTGATAGAGATGGAAACCCAAATGTCACGGCAAAGGTTAGGTTTCATGAGCTTCAAACTCAAAAATAATTGAAAATTACTGGACTATCTAATGTTCTTTATATATTACTCTAAGTTCACTATTCCATTATGAGATTCCTAACATATACTTCTCCATGGAGATAAACTTCTATTACTTTTATAACGTTGCAATCAGAATATTTGGCTGCTACATATTTCTTAGATAACTCACAGTTGAATCTTGTATAATGTTATTTTTCAGGTCACAAAAGAAGTATCTCTCTTGTCTAGGTGGATGGCTATTGACCTGTACATAAGAGAGGTTGATAGTTTAAGATTTGAATTGTCTACGGAACGATGCAGTGACAGGCTTTCAAGATTAGCGGATGAAATTCTTGAAAAAGGTTTTATTCTCAAACCAGCTAGAGCTCACCTTCTTTCTCATTCATATCTTTTACTCATGAAATTTATGGAATCTTTACTCTCTCTCTTTTTTTTTTTTTTTTTTTAAACCTTTAAAGTTGATGTTTTCTCCCCTCAGAAAGTTTTGAAAAAGATTCTGACAGAGGCCAATCAAGTTTCTCAAACCAGAAAAGTTCATCTCTACCATCACAACTTCCAGCTAGAGCTCACCTTCCTTCTTGCATTGGTAAATAAAAATAAAAAAAAGTTTCGTATATTTTGCATTGGTAAATATTCCACATTGTTTTAATGCATTCATGTTTTCATATCTCATTCCATTGCAGAATATGGTAATTCACAGCATCCAAAATTTGAAATTGATACGACAACAGATTTTATGCCACCAAATAAGGTAAAACAAAGCCTTTCAAGCATGTTGACGTGTATGTATACGTGAAACATAGTTTGGTTGAGTTGCTCTATTCTTGACAAGTCTTTTGATTTTTTTTCTTATATAGAAGCAGAATGGACAAGGCTTCCCCAAGACTGAACCGAAGCAAACCGATGAGGGTACTCAGCCAGGTCTTACTTCCCGAGGTTCTTTCTCATCTACCTCTCAGCTTCTCTTGCAGAGGAAACTATTTGCGGAATCTCAGATTGGGACAGACAGTTTTCAAAAGCTACTAGAACCACCTCCACTTAAACGAGCTGGAATGGCTCCTTATCGTATTGTTCTTGGAGAAGTTAAGGAAAAGGTACAAGCTAGTTCTCTTAAGCTTTCTAATCAAGATAGTATAACGATTTAGGTTTAGCTTTTATTTTTTGCTTGCATCTCAAGCTACTTGTGATTCATTTATTAATATTTTAGGTAGTCCAAAGTATGAAAGTAGATCATCTAAAGCTACTTGTGATTCATTTATTAATATTTTAACTGATTCTCAATTTTTAATGTTTTGTGATCAAAGCTTGTGAAGACAAGAAAAATTCTTGAACTTCTACTTGAGGGTCTCCCTTGTGAGTATGATCCTTTGGTATCTTATGAAACATCAGATCAACTTCTAGAGCCATTGCTCCTCTGCTACGAATCTCTGGTAACAATCTTAGTTCTATGTGAAAATAGCGTTTCCGTCAAAACCTATGTTCTTTAACATCATTCATTTTCTCAGCAATCATCTGGTGCTGGTGTGCTAGCTGATGGAAAACTTGCTGATTTGATCCGTAGAGTTTCTACGCCAGGTGAAATTTTCTTCTATCCGACATTTTCTTGGTTTTCTTGGTTATAGTTATTTAGTCTTCTTAAATGTATATATGATTCACTTACCAGGAATCTGAAAGGCATTCTGAAGCTTTGAATGAAATTACAACATATTTGGATCTTGGTACTTATAGTGAATGGGATGAAGAGAAAAAACTAGACTTTTTAATAAGAGAACTCAAAGGGAAACGACCCCTTATTCCTCCGACTATTGAGGTTAGTCATAATTGTCTTCTTGCATGTGTAACTGGTGCACTCGAACATGGACGATTTCAAGAAAATATATGAATATGTATATCAATTGTGGTATATGATCTATTGATCTTTGTAGGTTGTTCCTGAAGTTAAAGAAGTATTGGACACATTCCGAGTTGCTGCTGAGTTTGGAACTGAATCACTTGGAGCTTACGTTATTTCCATGGCTTCAAATGTATGTTTGCTTTGGCTTATCTAGACTCTAATGTAACTATAAGTTATGCGAGAAGAAAAAATATAATATTTTGTTTCTTGGCGTGCAGGCAAGTGATGTCCTTGCTGTTGAGCTTCTGCAAAAAGATACTCGACTTGCTGTTACTAGCGAACATGGAAAGCCATGTCCTGGTGGAACGTGAGTTAAAAGCTACAGATTAAAAATTACATTATTGTCATACTATTTCCCTTGTTACTTAATGTTTGCAATCATTATATTTTGTACTGCTTTATCGTGTTAATAGGCTGCGAGTGGTTCCACTTTTTGAAACGGTGAAAGATTTAAGAGCTGCTGGTTCTGTGATAAGGAAACTGCTCTCAATCGATTGGTATAGAGAACACGTCCAAAAGAACCACGATGGTCACCAAGAGGTACGTTACAAATTTTACAACCAAAATTTAGCCATGTCTTTGTAAAATATAGCCTCTAAAAAAACATGTAATAATGTTACGTACGTGCAGGTTATGGTTGGATACTCTGATTCAGGAAAAGATGCTGGACGTTTTACTGCAGCATGGGAACTATACAAAGCTCAAGAAGATGTTGTGGCCGCTTGTAATGAATATGGCATCAAAATCACTTTGTTCCATGGTCGAGGAGGAAGTATCGGTCGTGGTGGTGGCCCAACATATCTAGCCATACAGTCCCAACCACCAGGCTCTGTAATGGTCAGTTTCCATCTCTTCCTTTTTGAAACCCTAATAGTGACACGTCAACTAGACATGCATGATGCATGTCCATGCGCTTTGCATAGTTATTTTTCAATTTTTTTTTTTTTATTGCATTGGTTTGGGCAGGGCACTTTGCGTTCGACCGAGCAAGGGGAGATGGTTCAAGCCAAGTTTGGGATACCGCAAACCGCTGTTCGACAACTAGAGATATACACAACCGCGGTTTTACTAGCTACCTTAAAGCCTCCACAACCGCCACAAGAGGAAAAATGGAGAAACCTAATGGAAGAAATCTCAACATTTAGTTGCCAGAACTATAGAAACAGTCTATGAAAACCCAGAGTTTATCTCATATTTCCATGAGGCAACACCACAAGCCGAGCTAGGTTACCTCAACATAGGTGAAACAACCAACATTTTTTTTTTTTTAATAAATATTAATCAATTCTAGCGAAGGTCTTAAAAATAAATTAAATAAATAAAATATCAATAACAAATAAATCAGCTCAGCGGAAGCAAATAATAATTAAACAAGTCTAGCAAAATAATGCAAAACAATAAAACAGTAAACATCCTATCATCCCCCTCTTCAGCCTTGATTCCGCGATCACACAAATCTTTTACCTGCAACACATTGGAATGGAGTTGCGTAAGTATTTAATAAATACTTAGTGAGGCAATCACTCTGCCTACGAGCCATTTACGCAATTTACTAGATATTTAATAATATTTATAAACTTCAATAATTATTAAATACCATTTTCCAATTATTAAATAATTTTTAATAATTAAAACTCAATTTCTCAATTATTAAATAATTCTCATAATTAAATAATAATTTTCCATATTTTAAAATAATTAAAATAATACCAATTAATTAAATAAATATTATTTAATTAATTAAATCCGAATTAAATCTATTTAATTCCATTAAACCAATTAAATTCAATTAAACCAATTAAATTCAATTGAACCAAGATAAACCAGAATCAAATCAATTAAATTCAATTAAACCAATAAACCAGATTAAACCACACAAACACACAATTCATCACATAAACAACCAAAATATCATAAAAATAACAATTAAAACATAAACTCATCAAGAACAACCACAAACCAAATCTAATCTAGCAAATCACGGACCCACAGTCATGCACTCACCTTGACAATTGATTGAAACTGAAGGAAAAAGGAAGGACGATGAACAGTGCCGAATCGCGGATGAACAGTAACCCGTGAACAGTACCGATGAACAGTAACCCGTGAACAGTACCGATGAACAGTGCCGATGAACAGTAAAATTCGAAAATCTCTCCAAAAACTCAACTTTTCTCCTCTACAGCATCTGAACTCGAAAATTCTCCAAAGAGAAGACGGCTGCACTCTTTAAACTTGATTTTAGGGCTTTCTCCACTAAACCGACCCAAACCAATTCACTTAAATTGAACCGACAAAATTCCCAATTTTTATTTTTGGTTTATGGATGTTACAACTCTTCCCCACTAAACTGGATTCGTCCTCGAATCCCAACGCAAACGTCACAAAGACCACAAAACCCAACCTCGCAAGGCCGCAACACCGGAGATCCTCACTTGATCCCCGAGACAAACGTCATATCTTATGTCATAAACACGTTCCAAGAAAATTTCACTCCTAACTCATCATCCAAACACACCAAACAACTTGTACTGAGGCCCACTTGCACCCAGACAAGTCCACACCGGTCCGCACTGAGGCCCACTTGCACCCAGACGAACCCGAAAACGTCCATACTGAGGCCCACTTGCACCCAGATGAACTAAACTGCTTATACTGAGGCCTACTTGCACCCATATAAGCTACACTCAACTGAGGCCTACTTGCACCCAGAGAGTCTGCCAGAGAACGAAGTCTCCAAAAACATGATGAGTTATTCAGGATCGCAATCCTTAGAGTAAAAATTCCGGAAAATGTCTATAACCATAAGATTAGACCGTCTCACAACCAAAAACTGGTCAAACATGTGTAACATCCGAATACCTTTTCACAACACAAGGCAAAATGAGGAAAAACTGCATCTCATTAAAACTCCAAAATGTATATCGTTACAACGAAAACGAAAATACAATAACACCAAAGCCAAAAATAACAACTGAGGCTACAAAGATGAAATAAGCTCACTCCTCGACCTGCTTGTCGAACCACTTCCTGAACTTCAACTTCATCTTTGCCTCTGGCTCCCAAGTCTCCTCTGTAGAACCACTGCAATCCCACAAAATCCTCAGTAAGGGAATCCTCTTGTTCCTCAGAACCTTTTCCCTCCTCTCTAAAATCCTCATAGGCACTGCCGGCACTGTCAAATCTGGCTGAAGATCCTCTGGAATCCTAGCCACTAACTCCTCTGTAGGTGAAGACACTTCCTCAGCATCGACACATGAAAAACCTTGTGAAAGGCTTTCATAATCTCAGGCAACTCCAGCCTGTAAGCCAATGGCCCAACTCGCTCCACTACTGGAAACGGACCCATAAATCGCGGACTCAGCTTGTTCTCTGCTATGGATCTGTTAGGACCCCTCAACATAGCCATCTTGAGATAAACTCTATCTCCAACCTGAAACTCAAGCTCTCGTCTGCGTCTATCTGCATAACTCTTCTGCCTATCCTGAGCCTCCTTCATGTTCAGCCTCACAACACGAACCTTCTCTGTCGTCTCCTGAACATAAGTAGCTCCATACATGCTGCGCTCCCCCACTTGGGTCCAGCATAGGGGTGTCCTACATGGCCTCCCATACAAAGCCTCGAATGGAGCCATGCCAATACTCGCCTGAAAGCTGTTGTTGTATGCAAACTCAACTAAGCTCAGGTGATCTGCCCAATGGCCACCCCAATCCAACACACACATCCTCAGCAAATCCTCCAAAGTCTGAATAGTCCTCTCTGACTGACCATCTGTCTGCGGATGATAAGCTGTACTCAGATGCACCTTAGTGCCCATCTCTGCCTGAAACGCCCTCCAAAACTCTGAAGTGAATCTGGGATCACGGTCTGACACAATACTAGCTGGCACTCCATGCAGCCTCACAATCTCTCGCACAAACTTCCTAGCCAAGACAGCAGCTCCATCTGTCTTCTTGATGGCCAAGAAATGTGCAGACTTAGTCAACCGATCCACAATCACCCAGATAGCATCGAAAGTCCTCGAAACAGGTAGTCCAACCACGAAATCCATCGTAATCCTGTCCCACTTCCACTCTGGAATGGGTAAACTCTGCAAAAGACCACCCGGAACCTGATGCTCTGCCTTCACCAAGGCACAAGTGTTGCACTTCGCAACCCAATCTGCTACATCCCTCTTCATCCCGACCCAATGATAGTACCTCTTGAGGTCATGGTACATCTTGGTCGCTCCCGGATGAATGGAAAACTTGCTCGCGTGAGCCTCTCCCAAAATCTGATGTCTCAACTCCACATCCTTAGGCACACAAACTCGCCCACGAACCAAGATAGTCCCATTCGCAGAGACCTCATACTCAGAACCAGTCACTCTCGTCGCATCTAGCAAACTCTGATCACTCTGCTGAGCAACTCTGATCCTGCTAAGTAGATCCGCCTGATCCACCGCCTCTAAACCCAAAGGCTCATGCGAAATGGCACACAAACGCAAGGTACTGATCTCGCCAACTAGAGACTCCACATCTCGCTCAACTGCGGAATCATACCTCCGTCTACTCAACGCGTCCGCCACTAGGTTAGCCTTGCCCGGATGGTAGTTAATGCTCACCTGATAATCCGCCAAGAACTCAACCCAGCGCGTCTGTCTCGCGTTCATCATCGGCTGAGTGAAGATATGCTGCAAACTCTTGTGATCCGTGAAGACCTGTACTGTCTCACCTAGCAAGTAAGACCTCCAAATCTTCAACGCGAAGATCACTGCTCCCAACTCTAAGTCATGTGTAGGACGGTTACGCTCACTGCCCTGCCACTGTCTCGAAGCATATGCTATCACTCTGCCCTCCTGCATCAGCACACAACCAAGACCAATGCCTGAAGCATCTGTATACACCATGTAAGGCTTCCCTGGCTCGGGTAACGCCAACACTGGTGTAGTAGTCAACATCTCCTTGAGCTGACTAAAGCTCTCCTCACACTCAGCTGACCAAAAAAAGGGACATCCTTCCCGGTCAACTTCGTCATCGGCTGCGCCATGGTAGCAAACCCCTTGACGAACCTCCTGTAGTATCCTGCCAAACCCAGAAAACTCCTGATCTCGGTGGCACTACTAGGTCTAGGCCAATCTCTGATAGCCTCAATCTTAGCCGGATCCACAGAAACTCCCTCTGCAGAAACAATGTGGCCAAGAAATCCCATCTCTCGCTGCCAGAAACTGCACTTGCTCAACTTAGCAAAAAGCTTCTGCTCCCGAAGCTTCTCCAGAACCAACCTCAAGTGAGTCGCATGCTCCTCCTGACTCCTCGAGTATACCAGAATATCATCAATGAAAATGATGACGAACACGTCCAAATACTCCCTGAACACGTCGTTCATCAATCTCATGAAGGCTGCCGGCGCGTTAGTCAAACCGAAAGGCATAACCACAAACTCAAAATGCCCATAACGCGTCCTGAAAGCAGTCTTCCTGACATCTGCCTCATCTATCGGGATCTGATGATACCCCGATGCCAAGTCAATCTTGGAGAACCAAGTAGCACCCCTCAACTGATCCAACAACTCATCAATCCTCGGGAGTGGGTACCTGTTCTTCACAGTGACTCGGTTAAGACCTCTGTAATCGATACAAAGTCTGAAACTGCCATCCTTCTTCTTCACAAACAACACCGGTGCTCCCCACGGTGAAACACTCGGTCGAATGAACCCCTTAGACAAAAGGTCCTCTATCTGCTTCTTCAGCTCTGCCAACTCAGCTGGCGCCATCCTGTAAGGCGTCTTCGATATTGGTGCTGTCCCCGGCTCTAACTCAATCGTGAAAGGATCAGACCGAGATGGTGGTAATCCCTTCAGTGACTGAAAGACATCCTCAAAATCCTGGACAACCTCAATATCTCCCATAACAACTCCAGCTCCTGACTCAGACATAGAAATCGTCGCCAGATACGCCTCACAGCCCCGCTCTAACAACTGCTCGGCCTGAATAGCAGATATCACAATACTCCCGGAAGTCGGTCTCACTCCCTGATAAACCAACCTCCCTGCATCTCGCTCGAAGACCACTCTACCTCTGTAGCAATCCAGATGAACTCTGTAGTGTGACAACCAGTCCATCCCGAGAATAACGTCATACAGCTCCACCGGACTGATGACTAAGTCTGCTGGCATTGACTGCCCCGCAATCTCGATCTCGACTCCTCTAGCACGGCCCAAAGTAGACAAGAATCCACCTCCCGCCACCTTGACCATGCCCGCGCTCTCGCCCGCGCTACTCCGGATGCCACTCTTCTCGGCACGCTCCGGTGTAATGAAGCAATTCGATGCTCCAGAGTCGAATAAAACGTGGGACTCAAAACCGCCCACTAACAAGGTCCCTACACATTCAATTGCGTTGAGAACCTCCACAAGACTATCACAGATAAAAATGACTAACAGACAATACACAACAACAATTCTATACTAAGAATTTACAAAGTCTGAGTCGAAGATTTACCTGTGATCTGCCCGGTCTGACTAGTCCCGCCAGTCTCCACCGAAGAGTAACCCCGCGGCGCCGGTGCAATCTGACCCAACGGCTGCACTGCTGCGATCTGACTCACTGGCTGAGCCGCTACTGGCTGAACCGAAGCCACCGACATACTCCGCAACTTAGGACACATGGGCTTGATATGCCCAGGCTCCTTGCAGTAGTAGCACACCCTCGGTGCTGACTCTCTCTTGGGACAACTCGAAACACGATGCTCCGTGCTCCCACACCCAAAACAGGAACCACGAGGAAACTGACTAGCACCAGAAAACTCCTCTCTACTCCTCTTCTGACCCTGCGCAGGCAAACCGCCCCTGCCAGAACCAGAACTGAAACTCGAACCACCTCTGCGCTGCTGCTGCTGCTGCTGTCGCGGCTGCTGATGCTGACCCCGAGGCTGGGTAGCAGAAGCAACTGCTGACGGCACAGCCACCGGACCAACTGGCCCACCAAGATCCGCCTCAACCGACGCGGCCAACTCTACCAGACTCGCCCTCGAAGTGTGCATACTACTCCTGCATAGAGTCCGAATATCCTTGCGAAGTCCCTCCAGAAATCTGTTCGTCAACTGATGCTCAGACTCCATACCAAAGCCCGCATGCACTAACAGACGGCTGAACTCCTCATCATACTCGCGTACAGAACGCGAACCCTGCTCAATGCCCATAAACCGCATCTGAAGACGATCACGAGCCTGCCTCGGGAAATACTTGGCGTTGAACTCCACAAGGAAGTCGCCCCAAGTCCAAAATGCCCTCCGGCCCACCGCGGCCTGCCACCACAAATGAGCATCGCCACTCAAATAGTGGACCGCTAACTCCACCCAGTACTCTATCGGACAACGGATCGAATGAAAGTTCCGCTCCACTCTCTGACGCCACGCGTCTGCCTCCTCTGGACCAACTCTACCCTCGAAGAAAGGCGTACCAATCTCTGCATGTGGCCCATAAACTCCAAATAACTGGTCACACCCGCATCCACAGCCTCCGGCTGCGCAACGCCTGCAGCAACATGCTGCACCTCTGCCACTGGCGGTACTCCTGGAGCCCCCTGTGGAACCACCGGCGGAAAACGAGCCAACAGCTGCGTCAGCAAACCCACCACTAAGTCATCATGACCCGGAGCCGGAGCGCCACCCCCACCCGGAGCAGCCCCCGCTCCCAAACCAACACTCGCACTGGCATCACCCGCCAACGGAACTGACTGGGTCACCGACGCAGTATGCACACTCGGTGCCGCACTCTCTCCCGACTCCTCCGGAAGTCCACGACCACGACCTCGGCCTGCTCGCCTCCAGCTCTACCACCAGCTCTGCCGCCACGGCCAACTCTGCCGCCACGACCTCTAGCACCGCGCCCTCTCGCGCCACGACCTCTAGGAGCTCCGTCCATCTCACTGCATGGACCCGAACATGAGCAACTAGACAATAACACAAAACACAAACACCAATAACTAACCGCGGAATCTCCTTTAGCTGAAGGGGATGATACTAAGCCTAGCAATTCTAGCTGTCCTAAAACCGTCTAGGCTCTGATACCAAAATGAAACAACCAACATTTTTTTTTTTTAATAAATATTAATCAATTCTAGCGAAGGTCTTAAAAATAAATTAAATAAATAAAATATCAATAACAAATAAATCAGCTCAGCGGAAGCAAATAATAATTAAACAAGTCTAGCAAAATAATGCAAAACAATAAAACAGTAAACATCCTATCATCCCCCTCTTCAGCCTTGATTCCGCGATCACACAAATCTTTTACCTGCAACACATTGGAATGGAGTTGCGTAAGTATTTAATAAATACTTAGTGAGGCAATCACTCTGCCTACGAGCCATTTACGCAATTTACTAGATATTTAATAATATTTATAAACTCCAATAATTATTAAATACCATTTTCCAATTATTAAATAATTTTTAATAATTAAAACTCAATTTCTCAATTATTAAATAATTCTCATAATTAAATAATAATTTTCCATATTTTAAAATAATTAAAATAATTACCAATTAATTAAATAAATATTATTTAATTAATTAAATCCGAATTAAATCTATTTAATTCCATTAAACCAATTAAATTCAATTAAACCAATTAAATTCAATTGAACCAAGATAAACCAGAATCAAATCAATTAAATTCAATTAAACCAATAAACCAGATTAAACCACACAAACACACAATTCATCACATGAACAACCAAAATATCATAAAAATAACAATTAAAACATAAACTCATCAAGAACAACCACAAACCAAATCTAATCTAGCAAATCACGGACCCACAGTCATGCACTCACCTTGACAATGATTGAAACTGAAGGAAAAAGGAAGACGATGAACAGTGCCGAATCGCGGATGAACAGTAACCCGTGAACAGTACCGATGAACAGTAACCCGTGAACAGTACCGATGAACAGTAACCCGTGAACAGTACCGATGAACAGTGCCGATGAACAGTAAAATTCGAAAATCTCTCCAAAAACTCAACTTTTCTCCTCTACAGCATCTGAACTCGAAAATTCTCCAAAGAGAAGACGGCTGCACTCTTTAAACTTGATTTTAGGGCTTTCTCCACTAAACCGACCCAAACCAATTCACTTAAATTGAACCGACAAAATTCCCAATTTTTATTTTTGGTTTATGGATGTTACAATAGGAAGCAGACCAGCGCGTAGAAAAAGCTCTACTGGCATAGGACATCTTCGAGCTATCCCTTGGGTTTTTGCTTGGACACAAACAAGGTTTGTTCTTCCAGCTTGGCTCGGTGTAGGAGCTGGTCTAAAAGGAGTCTCTGAGAAAGGCTATGTGGATGATATTCAACAGATGTACAAAGAGTGGCCATTTTTTCAGTCTACCATTGATCTTATAGAGATGGTCTTAGCTAAAGCAGACATTCCCATTACCAAGCACTACGACGAACAACTTGTCTCCGAGAGTAGAAGAGGACTTGGTGACATGTTGAGGAAAGAGTTGATGACTACTGAGAAGTATGTTCTTGTGATAACTGGACGTGAGAAACTCTTGGACAGCAATAAGAGCTTAAAGAAACTCATAGAGAGTAGACTTCCGTATCTTAACGCAATGAACATGTTGCAAGTTGAGGTACTCAAGAGGCTAAGACGTGATGAAGATAACAATAAGCTTAGGGATGTATTGCTCATTACAATCAATGGTATTGCTGCAGGAATGAGAAATACCGGTTAATATGCATGCGTACTACCAAACCATTTTGAAATATTTAATTTGCCTTCTTGTTTTTTATTGTTTTGGTTTCTTCTTCTGTATTGTTTACTGCATCTTAAACTGTTGGATCGAGTACTTGTGTCGAACATTGTTAAGCGAGAGGTTTGAAGTTTTTAAAGAAAAATAAACAAAGGGTGATCCATCTTAATCTTCAAATCCGGTAATGGATTTAAAACATAACATTATTTTGATTGGTCAAGTTGGAATATAAAAATTTCCAATAATAATTGAACCGAGAAAAAGAACAAATTTACGCCATTTCCCTAGAACTTTTACCATTTTGTCACCACTTAGTTAGATTTGCAGTCTTATTCCAATTAAAAGGCATTATCGCATAACAATTGAATAATGGAATTCATAAACGTGACATAACAAAAGAAGGTCATAATTTTATTTTTGTCCATTACCACTGAATTTTGTTTCTGTCAAGTGTCAACTGGCTTCCCTATATACATGTTTTAAAAATTCACAACTTGTGTAATTTTTTTTTTGTTTTTTTTTTTGATAATGTCAACTTGTGTAATTTCTATTAATCGTAACTACTTCTAGTTCTTTATGATAATTAATGTGAGTTACAAACCCTTAAGCATAAGTTATTGGAAACACCTTTTCATGTCTAAATCCACTAGCAACTTGTGGTTCAAGGTTGATAGATCAAAATCTAGATTTAAAGTAAATTTTAGTCTTCTATGATTCTACCTCTAGTTTCAATTGCTTTTTACTATTCTTTTCTTTGTACACTGAATGGGCAGCCTTTTACATGTCTCAAATAAATAAATAAGGATAAATACTGGGCATGACCCGAGAGAGCATATTCCTAGAGAATATTATTTGATTGTGTGGTACATCTTTTGTTTTTTTTTTTTTTTTTCTTGTCAGCGATTGTGTGCTACAGTTACTAAGGTTTATTTGATTTTTTCCTTATGAAGGTTTGCTTAAGGCTTTTTTTTTTTTGGCAGCGGTTTCCTTAAGGCATTAATAGTCGATTGTCAAAGCAACAAATAAAAGAGGTAACCTAACAAATCAAATTGCAAGAATTTTAATAAGCAGATCCAGTTCTACTGTCATGTTAGGAAAAAAACAACAAGCTGCAAAAGTTCAGGTGTAGCTATGATAGAGTCTTTCCCTTGTTAAAATTTGATCTTTTATAATAGCTATGATAGAGTATTTCCCTTATTATACGTTTCGTGCTCATCATAGCAGAAGCTGGAATTAAGTATCAAGAGGAGAAAAGGCAATAATAGATAATAGTGAGCTAAGCAGGCACTGATGCACGAATACACTGTGAAGATGATAATTATTGCCCCAAATGATTGAATTCACTTTACCTTTTATCTCCTTTAGTCAAATTGATGTTTTCGTTTGTTGTACAACCACAAATATGATTGTAGTCAATATATATAAAATAAACAACTGTGTTACATATTGTGGTTTCCGACTTGTGGGGATTACGTGCGTCAGGCCAAAATCTGCAACAATATGTTTCCATGCACCAAAAACACTTGATTTACAATGTACAAAAGTTTACCTAGTTGCGACATAAAGAAGTAGAAGGCTTTTTCTTCCATGTATGATGTATATGATTGTAGGCAAATGCATCTAATGTGGAAAGTATAATTTTCGATGACAAAATTATAAGAATGAAATTAGATGTGCAAAAAGGTTTACAACAGAATTATCCTAGGCATTATACTAAGAAGATAAGGCATAATTTTCTCATAGTATTCTAACTTATATAATTATACAAGATAAGATGACAAAAGTATATATTCAGATTACGTTCGTTATTAAATGTTTAAGATTTTTTTTTTTAAATGATTAAGCGATTCCTTTTGTCCTGTGGCAATTTAGATTCACATGTCTTTGTAATCAAGAACATTCGGGGGTAGACACATGATCCGTTTTTTCTTTCCTCCTAAATTGACAAAAACATATCAATTGTTTCATAGTATTAATTTGTTAACTACTGTATATAAGATACTCGAAGCCATGGCCAAAAAATAAAGTAGGTAACACATCTGAGGAAAAGGTCGAGGTTTTGATAAAATTATAACAGCTGGTGAATAATATGATTCTAAACATGAAAGTGAAACTATCATAGGCTTTTTTAGGGGTACTATTTTAAAATTTCAATATATACATTCTTAAATTTAATTAAATAGTACATATAGTGTGGAAATTTGTTAAAATAACATTTATAAAAGAAACATAATTAAAGTACCACTGAGATTTTTTAGATCAATTTTAGCTGAGCCAAGTGTTGCTTTGTTAAAAGGCTAAGTGAAATAACTCATATGGATATACCTCTTTTTCGAGTTATATGAAAGAGACGTAAAACTATTAAAGATTCCACACTAAAATATAATATCATTCAACCAGATCGATAAACAAATATCAGTTTTAAAATTCTGCGAATGGCAAATTTAAAGGGTGCTTCATGAAGAGAATAATATCAAACTTCCTTAAAGTATTGATCCACAACGTTTTTGAATTTTAATTTGATATAGCTAAGATTACAATAACCACGCAACTTCTCATTTTATATCTTTAACTAATATTGCAAGAACGGTTAACCATTCAACTATAACCATTTTTAGATTAATTAATACATTAGATACTAAAAGTGTATGAGACCTAAAAAATAAATATACTTCTTTTAAGAGAAAATAAAAACATATATAGACTTTATATGCAATACCCGCATTTAGTAATGAAGTCCCTTCGGGGACATCCGATAAAATTGGAACGATACAGTAATGAATAGTATCTTCAACATTGTCCAAACACATGGAATTAGTTCAAGTAGATATACATCACAATCACAAAAAATTCCAGCTCCAAACCAACCTTTTTCACTAGAGAATTGTCAGAGGATCGTGGTGTGTGTGTATATATATTCTCTTCTAAACGATTCGAAGATAATTGATACTAATTAACAAATCAGCTTGTAAGAATCCGAATCCAAAAACAGGCAAATTGGGAGAGTCTTCCCTAATCCATCACTGCCTAAATTGAAAGCATATGCTTAGACATATGCTAATTAAGCTAGCCATCGCTGTTAGTCTGTTACTCCTTTTAAACTGTAAATAAATTAAAGAACTCAATATAGCAGTGTACATGAACGTTGGCAAAAGACAAAAATATAAAAGAAAAACAAATAAATAAAGACTGTGCGACATACACGTACTTTCGTGAAAGGTGGCTATCTAAATAAGAATATATTCTTTAGACTTCAATAGTACTATGCAAAGGGCATATACCTACGCCATTTTTTGTTTACATACATCATTTTAGCTATTTCCAAAAATTATATTATTTTATTCTGAACTCCAAATATTATCTTCGATTTACATTGATTTCTTACGACATCAAAGAGAGTGTACTATTGAAAGTTGGTATCTTATTCTTACAAAATGGATTTTCTTAGGTTTAGCTAAAATTTCTCACATGATTCAGAGTTTTCTGATTTGATAAACCTATTTTTCTAGCTCCTAGATTCACTAAATTACATGTCACCACTACATATATCACTACAAGAAAACATAGCCAAATCCTACCAAATGTTTTACGAAAAGTTTGGTAGAAAAATATTATTACCAATTTCTTACGAAATTATGATGAAAATGAAAAATTGAAGAAACTTGGTAGAAAATTTTCTACGAACTAAAGTCGTCAGAAAGCCGTCAATTTTATTTAACTAGTTTCCTACCAAGTTATTGTCCGTAAAAAACTTGGTAAGCAAATGGTAGGAATTCAGTTGAAAATTTTTAACAGTTGAAAAGGTTGAAAATTCGTCAAGAATTTATTACCACTTTCTTAACACTTTTCTACGAACTATGATTTTCAATATTAAATAAATCGTAGTGAATCCGTAGGAAAAATAGTAAAGCAATAAAGCCAGTCAATTCTGGAAGGCCTGTCGAAAAATGGAAGTCTTCCTCTAAGTCTCAAACCCTAGCCGCCTCCTTAATAAGATTTCAAGGAAGAAGATGATTGTGGAAAATAAATATGTTTGAAGTGGCTGAGCCTGAGCAGTTTCTCCCTTCCCTTGCTTCCTAACACTAAACGTGACCACCATCAAGCGACTTCCTCCAATGACTCTTGTATCTTCCCTTTCAATTTCTTCACCAATTTTAGGGAAAACATGAGTAAAGAAGGGTTTATGAAGATCCAGGTTTGCTTACCATGTTTTTTCATCTTTTTATGTTTATATTCTTACAGTAATATGAGACTTTACTCTTTTTTTTTTTGTAGACTCATTGTGATGGTTTTAAGCAAAAGTGAAGAAAAACTTGCAGAAAATTCAAGGTAAAAAACATTTCTTTCAGAATTTTACTTTCTCTAGTTTAACTTTCTGAGTTTTTTTCAGATTTGGCTCTTGAAATCTGGGGAGTTTTTTAAGGGAAATAGGACAGAGAAAGGATAAAACTTCAGAGGAAAAGCAGGAGAAAAACCAGCATAGAGAGATGATTTCAAAGCTTAGATAGATTGGATGTAATTTCAATTTTATAATTTGTTCTAGACTTTTTAGGATTTGTTTTCTGTATTGTTCAAATATTTTATTTTAATTGTTAATTGATAGTAATTTCTTAATTGTATATTTAAATTTCGAAATAATTTTATTTTTAAAAATAATTTTATTATAATTTTATTATGGTTGTAGGAATATGGTCACATATGGGTCAAGAATTCCCCTACAAATTATCTACCAGTTTCCTATCAACATTTCTAACGAAATTTCCTACAAAATATTTCGTAGGAATTTGCTTAATTTCCTACGACTTTTTTACCATTTCATATTTTTCTACGGAAGAAAACCTAGGACATATTTTCATAGAAAAATGGTAAAAACAACTACTTCCTACAATTTTATTACGATATTTTCCGTAGGAAAATGTAATGTTTTCTTGTAGTGTTTATATATACCTTATATCTCTTTTAGGCAATAGCAATACCAAGAG